TGCTCGTCTTCGAGCCAAGCAAGGGTTTGTCGCACCTCGGCGCCAATCCGAGCGAACTCCTCCGCAGCTCGATCCAGGTCACGCACAGCAACGATGCCCCGTTTAACCCACGGATCGGTGGCCCAAGCAGCTTCAACATGCGTGAAAAACCCGTCTTGCCAGAAGAAATCAGTGTCTTCAAGATCAAGAATCGATGCTAGGCTACCGACTGATGGAAGATTGTTGAGGAGGTGCGATGGTGATGATCCGCCTGCCGTTCGAAACGCGTTGACAGCCTTGTTGTATGCCTTACGTGCCTTTTCAGCGCCAGAGTGAGTCTTGACTTCCGTTTTGCGAGCTTTGTTGGCCTGTCTCTGACCAAGTGTTGACCCGCCCCTGCCGCGACGCGTCGATAGCAAATTTTCACGGCTAGTTTTGTAGGCAATCACTTCTCGATGAAGCTTGCGCAGCGCAACGGAACACTGGCACAAGTGACGAAGCTCTGTGAAGCAAATAGGCACGTCATCGCAATCAGGAACAGGGAAAACTAAGTAAGATAATTAAGGCCAACCTGTGGACGAGATGCTTGTCCCACTTCTTTGCAGTTGGACAATTGCTGCTTGATCGATCTCCCTTGCAAGACGATCGTGCTTCGAATTCAGCCCCACAAGCGCTTCTGGTTCAGACTCGTCACTGCTCAACAAGATGATGAGTCAGTGAGAACGAAGGACAAGCTCAAGCTCAAGTAGTTATCACCAAGCACGTACATGATGCAGTCAATCCTGTAAAGTTCCTCAGCAAGTTTATAAAGCTCGCTTTCCCTCAAACGATCTTCCTCAGCTTCCTGCGTAGCTGTTTTCGACGCTTGCGCTCGTCGCTGGTCTTGCCAAGCGACGCGGAGCGCCTCCTCCGACCAGGTGGCATCGTGGGCGATAACGGCGTCAAGTTCCTTTCGAGCAGCAGTGCTCCGAGCCTTGGCTGAGCGAAGTCGGCGGGTGAACCAGGACCCTAGTCGTGTGCAAAGAGTCAATGCGGCGAAAGACGAAGCGGCGACTGCGGAGCACTGACCAAGCCTTGAGACGTTCGCGTCGTTCACTGCCTGCGTGCGGACCGCCAAATTGACGAGGCGGTGGGACTTATTTGATGGACGATTGATGGGGATGAGGGAGCGCAGCGCGCTCCATAGTCGCTCACAACCTTCTCCATCAGTGAATCCAAAGTTCGGGATGAGACGGGGGTTGTAGTCAACCTGGCAACCCCAGGTATGGGCGTATGCATGGAAGAGACTTGTGGCGAACTCGAGTCGCTCAAACAGCTCAGGCAGCAGATGCCTCTGAAAAGGTTGAAACACAAAGCCCATATGATCAGCAACGACATATCGGAGAGGGGCCCGAGCCGAGGTGGTCAATGCAAACCTTCTCAATGTGGTGCTTGAAATTACAAGCGATGTCGTACAAAATTCCAATCCTAGCATCTGGGGGAAGATGGTCCGAGATGTGCTTGACAATGGCTAAAGCGAAGTACAGCCTAGGTGATTGGAGTGCAGGCATGAGCATCAGCAGTGAAAGTAAAAATGCAAGTTGGAGTTGAAGAACATAAGCTCAATACACTCACTTTTCGCCGGTCTTCTCAAGATTCACCATTTTTAGGGCGATATCATGGCGGCACACGCCGGCGACAAGTCCTGTATCGATCTTGCGCGACGAGACTCGACCAGCGCCCCCGTCAGCAGCCTTCCACGACTCTGTGCACGCCTTCCGACGGGGCCGGAGCGATATTACTCAGTATTCGAGGCGGATCGCAAATATATCACGCTCCTCACCTTCTTCGTTGGCCGCGCTGTATTCTCGACGAGTGCTTTCATGTCCAGGACGGCTTTATCAGACAGAAACAAGCTCGGCACTATTCCTTGGACGTCGTATGTCGCATTATTTTCTCGGGTTTGCTGGAAGTTGCCGTCGAGCGCGATCATATAATCCAGTTGGAGGGTGTGATGGGGTCGGTTGAGCCGTTTCGGCCCGAAGCACGCTGGGCATTTGTTGGCCAGCGCGTCGACGGTGCCCAAGAGAAAGTCGCCAACGTTGCGCTCAGATGCTTCGATGGCGCGAAACTCGTCGATCGCCCGCTGCCATTGCTTCCTCAGCTCTTTATCCTGAGCTCCACAATCAGGCAGCAAATGAGTCCAGGTAGAGCCCATGGCAAAAAACCGATAACAAATGCTCACATATGGGTGTCCATGATAATGCTCTGGTTTCGACCACCCGTTGTCCCCGAATTAGTCTTCGAAGCCTGCAGCGTGGCCAGTGAGGGCGTAAGGGGCGTTACGCCAACGCGAGTTTTCTAGGCGGATCATGCGGAAGGAGAACGCTGATCCTGGGTTGACAGCGGTCGATGCTATAAACCCAAGTTGAGCCAGGCGTACAGCTTCCGCAATACAGGGCGGATTGGAAGCGCAGAACGTGACTTGCTTGGAATAGACTGAAAGGCAAGGCGCAGAGGGGGTTTCACGTGTCAGTGATACCAGGACAACGGCGAGAAAAGATGCATCGCGCAAATCGGTGAACGGAGCTGGCATGACACATACCGGTCAGTCCGTCGTACAGGACCACCTCGCGAGCATACACGTGCTGACAGTGGCATGGTGAAGGAACGTTCAAGTCGTCCTTGTCGCTGTTCGAAACGAGCGGCAGAAACTGCCCATTGGTGCTTATGCGTAAATCAAGACAGAGACCCAAAAGGGCAGCGCGCTGACCCTCGCGCTGCTCGTGCTCGAGTGTGATAAACTTGAAGTAACCTTCTTGCTTAGCGGCAACCGGCGGATCGGAGACGCGGGGAGTTGGTAAAACCTCCTGTGCGAGTTCCTGGTGAGTTGGGCGTTGTAAGTCGGGGTCGGGTGGGTCCCAGCGCTCCATGGAAAGATCCATTCCCCCTAGGTCTTCGTACTCGGCCTGCTGAGCAAGAGGGAAGTCCCTGAGATAATCCTCGTTGAAATCATCGTGGGAGAAGTTCAGGTCATTGGCGAAGACTGAGGTCGAGGCGACAGGGACGCGTTGGTTCGTGCTCGTTTCGACGTTTGACGTTGCAGATGTGGTGGGAGTGGCATCCATATCTGTCTTGGCCTTCCTCGGCCTCTTACGTCCTCCTTTATCGACGATCGTACCTCCGAAAGTGACAAGGCACAGCGGCATCGTGGCGTATTGATTCGGGCAATCGGGATGGTCGAGGTAGTCCGAAGGCTTGATCCGCGGAAAGCGTGGTTTGAGTCGCGAGGGGCGGCCCATGGTGACTGAGCGGAATGAATACGAGAACACAAGTGTAGTAGCTCAGCAGCAACGAGCTCCGGGTGGGTTAAGTCTGCGACGATCCAGGTAGTACGTCCTGCAGGAAGCAACGGCGGCCGCCTGCATGCACGCGCGACAGATTCCTTGCGTGCCAATTTGACGTGTTCCTCATCTTACAACGCGTCAAGCACGTGACTGGACACCCGCCCATGAGCACGAGCCCCGGCCTCAGGCGCTCAGGCGCTTAGAGTCTTAACATTTAAAAAATTACGTGTGGTTACTGATTCAACTCGAAATCAATCTTTGCTTCTTATTATCTCTCATGTCGTCACATGATCAATGTAGTGGTCTTAACGGACTTGGAAGAGGTGTACGGGCCTGTCCCGGCGCCGAGTTGCTACCGTCGGTAGCAGTGTTGCTACCGGGCTCAGGTCGCCTATTTGCATAGGGTTTTCTGGCCGCGCGGCGGCGCTACTAAGACTGGTTACTTTTTAGTCTGCCTGAGGTGAGCCAAGGGTACAAGGCTACGCTTAAGCTTAGTTGCTCCATAGTTAGTTAGTTAACTATGTGTAAAATCCCACCTTTCAGCCATAACTATCTAACTATCAACTATGACCCAATAGTTAGTTAACTAACTATAGTTGGGATAGTTAACTATGCAAAACTATCAAAATGGCCCCTAATAATGGCGCACGCCGAGCGTCGTTGAGGGCTTACCCAGCGCAATTACCCCATACGGCTCAGCAGTATACAACAATTGTTTGGTTGTATTGAGCCTATTGAACCTCTGGTTCTGCCACCGACTTATGAGAGCCGCTCGATGCCATGCTCTCAAACTACCCTCTTATGATAGTGTAATAGTAGAGTATATATGAACTCGAGCGGTATACATTACTCTTGAAACAACCGTTGACAACAGTAATCTGATTCTACATGACAGACCTACACCTCATCATCATCATCGAGGTAAATTGTTTCTCTGGCGCGAAAGACTCTGGGGACCAGGCCTCGCCCGCGGGCGGAGTAATAGTGTGGCATGAGCGCTGCAGCAGTTTTTACTAATTATAATTTGGTACCTGGCGGATACTTCCTGGCTCATCAGGCTCGGGTATCGGAGCTGCACTGGAGCTGTTTGATCGAACACTAGTGCCTAGGAAATTTGGTGTTGCACTTCCAGCACTTCGACTGGGGGCTATAGTTGCCATAGTTACAATAGTTAACTATGATATCCTCCGAGCCAGAACTAACTAACTATCAACTATGCCTCAATAGTTGGGATAGTTAGTTAACTATTTGCGGTGGCGTAGTTAGTTAACTAACTAAGCTTAAGCGTAGCCTTGCAAGGGTATCGCAGCACAGATGCACATCCGGGAACATTCAAGACTCAAGACTGGCCCGGGTGGGGATGGAACTTGACTCACAGAGACAGAAGAACAGGCTCCAGCCCGTTCGCAGGATGTTATCGACTAGTAGAGGTCCGAGCTCGAAACCCGACCACGACTACAAATCGACCATTTTTGACGGCGAGTTGAAATCGATCAAGCGCTCTGAGCTCCGAGCCAGCCTCTGCGCCCCGACTGAATAATAGTGACCGAGCAGCAGCAGCAGCGGAGAGCAGCGGCGCGCCTCCGCCTCTTACGTGCAGGAGCGTGCAGAGGGCTCTTTGACCTCTGTGCCCCATCTGCTCTCGGTGGTTTTTATTGATCCTTTTCCCGCTCCCAAACCCGATTCTTCTTTGTCATGCTGAACGTTGATTCCGTAAGTTGCCCCTTGTGTAGCTCTCCCTCGTAAAGCTGTGCGCTGACGTGCTGTCCCTCTCCTCCTCCTCCCGTCTTATCGTCTCGCGTCCAACCCGGCCGGACCCAATCGAATCGATCTCGCACCCATTCGTCCATTTGACCCATTCGCAACCCGACTCGAACTCGCATCGCACGCCCGCCAGGTCTCGAGCCAGTTGGAATGGCTGACGACGCTGTCGATCCCCCCCAAGGTCGAGGCCGGTCTGACGGGCAAGAACTTGCGCAAGGTGAGTTACTACTGCATGTCGTGTTCGTGGTCGTGTTCGGGGTCATCGTCAGCGCTCGGTCCAATCGATGCGAGACCGCGCGCGCGTCTGCCTTTCGTTGGGCCCGATACCACACATCAGATCGAGCATACGGCCACGAGTCACCTCTTCCCAGCTCCAGCGATCCTTTCGATCAAAGCGCAGTACTGACATGCACACTCCGCCCACGGACAGACCTCGATCATCGCGACCATCGGTACGCTCACACCCCAACTCAAAACTCAGCTCCGCAACCCGAGCCTCTTCGGTCAACACCCTGTCTTTTTCCGCGGCTCTGACATGCTTCCCCACCTCGTCCAACAGGGCCCAAGACCAACAGTGTCGAGATGATCTCCAAATTGCGCACCGCCGGTGTCAATGTCGGTCAGTCCCACCTTCACCCCTCCCCTCGACGATCCCTTTTCCCGTCTCCGCAGCCCCACTTGTTCTGCCCATCCTCGACATTCTTCAGAGCGGTGAACTGACCTTGCTTCGGCCCTCACCATCTTCGTTACCAGTCCGAATGAACTTTTCTCACGGCTCGTACGAGTACCATCAATCCGTCATTGACAACACCCGCAAGGCCGAAGCCAGTACGTCTCCCTCGACCGAGGCCAACCAAGAATCCCGTGACTGACCTTCTTCTTGCTCTTCGTCCTCTAGGTGCCGAGGGTCGTCCTTTGGCCATCGCTCTCGACACCGTAAGTCTGCGAACGAAATATCGCGCGGACGAAGCATGTGAACTGAACCCGACTTGAAAACCTTGACGCCGGTCAAACAGAAAGGTCCCGAGATCCGAACGGGCAACATGGTCAACGACGAGGATGTGAGTGTAAAGAGCTCTTGACCTACCAGACCGGATCTGACCCATACTGCATCGTTTCCCGAAATACCAGGTCAAGATCCCCGCCGGTCACCGAATGCTCTTCTCGACCGACCCCAAGTACGCCACCGCCTGCACCGACAAGGTCTACTTCATCGACTACGCCAACCTGCCCAAGGTAATCGAGGTCGGCAAGCCCATCTACATCGACGACGGTGTCATGTCGTTCCGCGTCCTCTCGATCGAAGGCACCGACGTCCACGTCGAGGCCATCAACGCCGGTACGCTCTCGAGCAAGAAGGGCGTCAACCTGCCCGGCACGGACGTCGACTTGCCCGCCATCTCGCAAAAGGACAAGGACGATCTCTCGTTCGGTGTCAAGAACGGCGTCGACATGATCTTTGCCTCGTTCATCCGTCGCGGCCAGGACGTCAAGGACATCCGCGCCCACCTCGGCGAGGCCGGCAAGAACATCAAGATCATCGTCAAGATCGAGAACCTGCAAGGTGTCGCCAACTTTGACGAGATCCTCAAGGAGACCGACGGTGTCATGGTCGCGCGGGGTGACCTCGGTATCGAAATCCCGGCATCGCAGGTCTTTATGGCCCAAAAGATGATGATCGCAAAGTGCAACCTCGCGGGCAAGCCTTCGATTTGCGCGACGCAGATGCTCGAGTCCATGACCGTAAGCTCTTTGTCTGGCTTTTTAAGGTTCTGTTCTTCGCGCGGAAGCCTGACTTCAACATGGATCATCACAGTACAATCCGCGACCGACGCGTGCCGAAGTGTCGGACGTCGCCAACGCCGTCATCGACGGTGCCGACTGCGTCATGCTGTCCGGTGAGACGGCCAAGGGGACCTACCCGATCGCCGCGGTCGAGATGATGGCCGAGACGTGCTTCCTCGCCGAATCGGCCATCTGCTACCCTCCCTTGTTCAACGAGATCCGCAACCTCGCCCTCCGACCGACCGCGACGTCCGAGACGGTCGCCATGTCCGCCGTCGCCGCCGCGCTCGAACAAAACGCCGGTGCCATCTTGGTCATGTCGACCTCTGGCAACACGGCTCGTTTGATCTCCAAGTACCGTCCCCCTTGCCCCGTCATCACCATCACGCGCAACGCCCAGACCGCGCGCCAAGTGCACTTGCACCGCGGTTGCTACCCGATGCTGTACGAGGAGCCCCGACCTTCCTCGAACGAAGGGTGGCAAACGGACATTGACAACCGTATTCGATACGGTCTGTCCAAGGCTTTGGAGTTGGGCGTCTTGAAGAAGGGGGACACGATCGTCGCGATCCAAGGATGGAGGGCCGGCGGAGGCTCGTCCAACACCATGAGGGTGTTGAGCGTCCCGACCCACGACGATGGCTTCACCCTCAAGCCCGTCGATTAGATACGGGGAAAGGTGTTACCGAGATGCGATTCAAGGATATCAAGGGCCGTTCCCTTTTTTGTGCTTACCCTTCTACGTGTGTGTTTATATTTTCTCCTCTTCTTCCGACGTCACAAAGGCGGTTTCATGTTCAAGTTTGCGCGCGCTCGCCTTCCCTTCCCTCTCTTCTACGAGATAACTTTCCTCTTTTGCATTCCGAATATAGACGTGATCATTTGAACACATTCTCCCCAAGGCTAGCTACCATGCCGTGGATCTTTGCAGAGGTGGTGAGAACTCTAGGCCTAGGCTGGTGACGTGCAGTGCAGTTCTCCCTAAAAACAAATCACACTCCGTAAGGTGGAGACCTCGAGTCGTCATTCTCAACGCGTCACTTTTTACAAATTTTAAAACACTCGTCAGAAAAAATCATCCTCTGATCATCTACACTACGGCGTGAGGTGCGGAAAGTCAACCTCGCTGAACCAACGCTACCCTCCCTCGGCGCCGAACCTAAACGAACGACCCCAACCCGATCGTATCCAACAAAACCCCTAACCCCTCTCTAATTCCCGTCCGAGTCCGCTCACCCTCACCCTCACTCTCCCCACCCATCCCCCCCTTCCGATTCCCCGCCTCCGCCTCAGCATCGACGGGTCCACCCAACCTGGCACCCGCACCAGAAACCTTCTTCTCCAATCGTTTGCCAACCTCATACCTCTCCAATCTAGGATCCTCCAATTCCCACCTCAACCCTTCCAAGTTCCCACTCGATTTGGCACGATAATACGCCGTCAACTCGCCCGTTTCGGACCACGCACCTTCGTTGAGTACGTCGATGGGTTCGAGGTGGGATAGGTCCGAATTCCCCAAGGGTGTCATACGGGTCGAATTGAGATTACCTACTTTAAAGGCGTTCGCAGTTGAGGTGGAGGTGAAGGAGGGTGGGAAGTTTTGTTGGTGCGAGGGGTGATCGTCGAAGAGATGGGAAAGTGAATGATGGGACGTTACCCTCGAAATGGGTAAAGATCTTGTGGTCGGCGGTGTCGATGGTTCGGAAGTTCTAGGATCGACGAACGAGGACGAATCCTTCGAACGATTCTTGTGCTGCGTTGCTCGTTTAGGATCGAAAGAAGATGACCAAGGCCATTCGAGCACGGATTCGACGAGAGAAAAGACGCCCAGTTGATCTTGCGCTGACAAGACTTGATGGGCGAGAACGTTGGGGTCATCGAGATCGATGCCGAGAAGTTCGGCTTCGTGTTCGGCTTGGGCTCGAGTCATCGCTTTCGAAAGATGAGGAAGGGGTTCGAGTCGACTCATTCGAGTGCTTGGAGAGGTTGGGGTCGAAGAAGGACGAGATCGAGGTTTTGAAAGGATGGGACTGGTCGGTCGAGAAGAAGTGTAGTCGAAATCGAGGGTATGGTCCTCGCAGTTTTCAAAAGGGTCGTGAAAGACCGAGAGGGAAGATTTGTTCCTCGTCGGTCCCCAGGGTCTATACCTGTTGGCAGCACTGGTAGAGATGTGCAATCCTTGTCGACCATCTCCCTCGTCCGGACTGTCATCACCGTCCTCGTCGTTCCCAAGACGACGTTGAAGAGGAGACCTCCTCGTGCCTTCTCCGTCGTGTGGGGCCCCCATCTCGCGCGAACCCGCTTCGCCGAGCGTATGATCATGCTCCGTCGTCCACCTCCCAAACGTCGTCGCCCTCTTCCCCAACCTTTCCAACCAATTCCCCTGCTCATGAGCCGCCAAAGCCCCACTCGAAAAGGACGATAGGGATCGATACATCGACGTCTCGCTCGAGTCAATCGTCATTGTCGTCGTTGTGACGACGTGTTCACCGGCATGCTCGAACGGATCCGCTTCAAAGCCACGACTCGAGTAGTGTGTACGTGATGATGGGGTGAAAGTCTTCATTGATTTGGAACGACCCTGTTGAGCCAACGATCCGGGTGGTCGTGGACCAGTTGCGGCGACGGTTAGAGAAGGTAGCGATGACTCGTCCTCCGGGGAGGCCGAGACCGAATGATGTTGAGCAGGCTGGGCCCCAACCTCTGCCAGCGCCACGTCCACAGTCGCCGACTCGGACGATAGAGGTGAAAAGGACGTCGCTAGTGCGGCTGTAGAATGCGATCGTTGCGATCGTTCGAGTTGGTCAGACGAGGGCATCGGTGTCGTTCGAACTTGAGGGTGAGCAATGGGTCGGCAGAGGTCAAGCCGGTCGAAACTCTGGCATGGCCGGGAGCATGCGGGCCGGTCCGGTGGGTGGGGGACCTGGGCGGACGCCAACTTTCGGCAACGGCTCTGGCCGAATCGGAGGTAGAAACTTGAAATGATCCAAGAAAAACTGTGGGTCATACTCGGTCATGGAGATGTGCGGATAATCAAAATTGATTGGAATCGTCATCAAACGCGTTATATTGAAAACACGGCCGTGACAGGGGTTTCCCCAACGCACCGCCTGGCCCAACTCCTCCCTCACCCCTCCCGGCAACCTCTCACTGAACGCCGCCAGGAACTCCACAAAGCGCGTTAAACAAAAGCATGAATTCACAAGTCAAAAAATAAACTAACCACCAGAGTTAAGCCTGTTGTGGCAAGCCCGAACCCGAGACCGGCGGCGGTACACCCACGACCCCCATCGCCGCCGCCGCCTGAGCTTGAGCCTGTTGTTGATCCCATTCGGCCTTTTTTCGGTAATACTCTTGCCAAGCCGCATCATCCGCGCCGCCTTCGGCGTTGTTCTCGACCGCTGCAGGTGCGCCAGTCTCGAGAGGCTGCGTCGCTACGGCTCCAACGGGGCCAGGATAATAGGCTTGTGCTGGTGCAACGGCGGTGGGAGGGGGTGATGCTGCGTGCGTGGAAGCAACCGCAGCGTTGGGATCGGCATAAGTCGTAGAAGAGGCCATGGGTCGGTCGTAAAGCTGATGTCGGATCGTGTCGGCCGAGACGAGCGAGCTTGCCGAGGAAGGTTGGGGTTGGGGTTCGTGCGTAGGCGGTGTAGAAACGGACAAGGATGCCATTCGGTCGACCAAAGCACCCGGAGTAGCGGTGGAAGATGGTGTTGGTGTTTGAGGGAACGAGGTCGATATGTTTTGTTGTTGTTGCGGCTGGGATTGAGCAGTATAGATCGAAGATGAGGTCGAGATGGCGTAGTTCGACGTGGGCGGAGGGGGCGACTGCGTGGGAACCGGAGCGGATGCCAAATTTGGTGCCGTGGTGGAAGGATAGGGTTGAGCCGGATAACTCTGGCTCTGCGCCGGATAGCCCATCTGGGGAGCCACAGTCGCGACGGCCGGAGGTGGCGACGAAATGGGTGCGGGGGAGAATATAGGAGCGGACACATACTGTGTTGGACCTGCAGCAGGGGAGGCCTCGGCAACGACATGCTGACGAGGGTAAACCCATTGCGAGCCATCCCATACCGGTTGGTTGGGACCAGCAGAGGGTGCGAGGGCGGGGGCTTGTTGGTGACTCGGCGTCTGAGCTGCCCATTGCTGGGTCGAAGCAGCCGCGGGTGGAGGCTCGAAACCGTGAGCTCCATGTTGTGCAGGTGCGTCGTATTGCTGTTGGTGAGGTTGCGGGTAAGCAAGGTCGTGGTCTGGCGTCGGTGCGTATTGTTGTTGAGGCTGGTAGTCCTGAGAAGGATAGTACTGCTTGTTCGGGACACGGAAGGTCAGTGTCCCTCCTCAGCGAGCATTGAGAGAGTATCCCGACTCACCAACGACTGCTGAGACTGCTCCTGAGCGGCCCTCCATGCAGCCATCTCCTTCTCGTACTGTGCCATCTGCGTCTCGTACTCGCGTTGAGCCCGCGCATCGGCTTCTCTCCGCACCATCTCTTCCTCGTGTTGCCGTTGCTGAGCGAAGTGGGATTGCTGCTGCTGTTGGCCTTGCATTCCCGGAGCTCCATACGGAGGATGTTGTTGCTGCTGTTGCTGCTGCCTCGGATCAGGATATCCACCGTATTGCCCCTGCCCCTGCTGCTGCTGCGGATACCCCTGCGGTGACTGAGACGGATGACCATACCCAACCATGCCTTCGTACGTCATCTTAGCCCTCCCAAATTTGTCGTTCATCGATCGCAATTCGGCACCCTTCTGATCGTACTTCTTGATCAAACCCACGACCTTGGGTCGTAACGTCATCAATTCGTTGTAGAGTTCGCCTAGTTCTTCGTTCTCGGCGACGTTCTCGCCGCGCGAAGAGAGCGATCGCATCATGTTCAGCAGACGGTCAATCTTGGCCGATTGGGCAAACAGTTCGGCTTCCAGTTCGGCTTCCGAGGATTGGGATGACGGAGGTGCCACGGGCGTATCGGGGAGCTCCTCCTGTCGTCGCCAAGGGGTCAGTGTCGTCAGAAAGGCCGGCCCACGACACGAACCTCACAGAGACTGACCACATAAGTACGGGGAAAGATGCCGGTTGCGCCTCGCAGTTCACCCCTCCACCAGTCATTGTACGGCGAGTCGATGACTCGGATGATATCGCCCTTGTGGAATGGCAGCTCCTCGGGGCTCTGTCCTCCAGCAAAGTCGTACATCGCTCGAGCGCGTTGGGGCAGTCGAGGGGGTGGGAGGGACGACGTCGATGTCGAAGCATGCGACTGATATGCTTCATGCAATCCGTTCGTCGAAGGCTGGCGCGGCAAAGCTTTGGACTCGTAGTCTTGCGCTCTCCCCGGGCCACCTCCCGAGTTCCCCACCCCGGCCAAACGAGCGCTCTCCTCTAAAGCCCGCTGCAGTTCCTCCTCTTCTCGCCTAAGTGCTTCATCCGTCCTCGATCGGTCGGGCTTGGGTTCGGGCTTGTCGGAGGGGAACTTCTGACCTTGACGTTTGAGTTGCTCATACGTCTCGACAAGGATGTCAAAGTCGGGGTTGTTGGGGTGCTCTTTGACCCAGGCTTGGATGAGCGATAGGGCCGAGGTCTTGACCGATTCGTGTGTAGACTGCGATAAGTATTGAATTTGGTAAGTCTCGCGATAGATCTATGACAAAGCGGTGGCTATGAACTGACTCGGTCAGTGATGAGTCGAGTCAAGGCGCCGGTGAAGGCCTTGCCGCTGATCTCTCGGTGCAGCGGAGGTCCGCAATTGTTGACGAGTGCTCCGGCGAGCTGAGTGGATATTGATTGATCGGTTGTCAGGTCTAGGATTCCGAGTCATCTGGTGCGACCTGGATCGTGCTTACGGTGAGGGAGAAGAGGTGGACGTTGGCGCTACGGTGTACGAATCGCTTCTGCAATGCGGCGACACAGTTCCTCGCTCTGCGGGTAATTCGAAGAAGGTTGATGTCAGCATCCTAGCCACGGGGCCGCATTGCAGTACATCGTCGTCGCCTCTGTTCGGTGACTTGCCCTTGCTCGCCGTCCTCGTTGACCTTGTCCCAGACGGTCAACAAAATGTCCCAGTTGACATCGGTCTGTTTCTCATCCGTAGCTTTGGCTGTTCGTGTGTGCAAGTAGGCGCGTATCGAATCCCAGGTGCGGTGTTGGAAGTAGGACCGGATCGCGAAGGCCGAGGAGATGGTGTCAGATGGTCGAGTCAGTTTGAGCGTCCGGATGACGACGACCTGGCTAGGCCCGGGGTGTGTGCACTGACCTACGACCGCCTCGTACGGATTGACCGTCTTGGAACTGAACATGTCTAATGGGCGCACTCCCTCGGGTGTGGCTCAGCCTACGGAGAGGGGTCGTACGCGCGGTGTCGGGTGACGCGCTTGATGGAGAGGCGCTGAGAGGCGCCGGGTCGAGGCGATGACGATGACGACGACGACGACGACGACGACGACGACGGCCTGTAGACTGCACCTAGCAGCGTCTACTATGGCTGCACGAAATGAACCTGAGATTGTGTTACCCTTGAGGTGGTTAGGTGTCGTCGTCGGCTTGGGTGTACCAGACTAAGGCGCACGGTCACGGTGTCGGTGTGCAGGGTGACGCGGTGACGTCTGACTGGGGAGAGCTTTGCTCTCGAGCTCGAGCACTCGGCTGCACTCGGTAAATCCCTGAAGCTCGTTAGAGCTGAAGGTTTCGTTTCGAAAAATTGGCTAGAACTGTCGAGTTCTAGTTACGACTTGCTTTTAGCCTAGCGGTCAAGGCGACAGATTGTAGTTTATGCACATTACTCTATTACTCTAACTAGTAAAAAAAAAAGTGTGAGTTAAGGAATGTACCTAAAATCGCTGTTTTTAACTAGGTTGCGGCCCGGAGGGCCGCCTGTGGTGGATGTACCAGCATACTGTTGTGTCTGCCGTACCTGCCCGTGGTGTCCATGTTCCGATCAGAAGTCATGTACAAGCTCTGTGGCACCTTTTGTATTTTTCGCGCCAGTCGAACGAAGCTACAGCGTTCCCAGTATTTTCCTTCACTTCTTCGTTGAGGTAGAACAGTGCGAACACTTATATTGTATTTAGTGGACGGCAAGCGCGTGGCTTTGTATGACGATGCTTCTACAGCAGAGCTCCGCCTGACGGGCGGGGCGAGGGCTGGCGTCTGTCACGTGATGCGGCGCGCCAGCGGTGTCAGTGTCATTCCGGCAGCCGACCAGCGGCATTAGGTGCTGAGCAACAAATCACACTCCGTGAACAAACCCGCGCCACTCCCTCTAACCTTTTCTTTTTCTCTCCCACTCTCATCGAATTTTGTAACACTCATTCAAGGAGAAACCCTCGCCACTATGTCCCGGTCCTAAGGTCGCCAAGGAGGGCCATCGCAACCTCGCCAAGCAAGTCTTGGCCGCGATGAGTGAAAAATAGTTTCTCTGCTGTCTTTCGTCATTATACCGTTCAATTCTCCTGCTATTTGGAATGATATTCCCGTTAATTTAACGGGACGGAATGACACTGACACCGCTGGCGCGCCGCATCACGTGACAGACGCCAGCCCTCGCCCCGCCCGTCAGGCGGAGCTCTGCTGTAGAAGCATCGTCATACAAAGCCACGCGCTTGCCGTCCATTAAATACAATATAAGTGTTCGCACTGTTCTACCTCAACGAAGAAGTGAAGGAAAATACTGGGAACGCTGTAGCTTCGTTCGACTGGCGCGAAAAATACAAAAGGTGCCACAGAGCTTGTACATGACTTCTGATCGGAACATGGACACCACGGGCAGGTGCGGCAGACACAACAGTATGCTGGTACATCCACCACAGGCGGCCCTCCGGGCCGCAACCTAGTTAAAAACAGCGATTTTAGGTACATTCCTTAACTCACACTTTTTTTTTACTAGTTAGAGTAATCAGAGGCGCATACCTTACAGGGGGAGGGGGGGGGTCCCAGCCTCGAAAATGATGCTACATAGTTGGTAACGAACTGCTTGGCATTAGGCATCCAAAAGCCAAAAGGAGCGTTTGAGAAGTTCTAGGGTTTTTTCGATGCCGGGGTGCCCTGCGGACGTTGAGTCATGGGTTGCTTGCAGGACGGCTAATCGTGCACGATTGCTCCTGGGCACGTACGGTTTGGTTTTCCAATGAAGGAGACCATTGTACGAGTCCTGGGTGTCGAGGTTTTCTTGTTCGGAAGAAGTCTGGGGCGTCTGGCGTAACGCTGGATCCTATTCCTGCTCAGTGATAAGAATCTCCGAGAGTTCGGGAAAAGGATCGGCGTTCGCCTGTTCGGTGGGGACGGGACACCTTGGCGCTGATTTTGAATCGCTGCGGGTCAAGAAGGATGACCGGGGCGCCATCGCTTGCTTTCGTGCCGTCTTGATCATCGGTGCGGCGCGACAAGGCGTCGGGCTTTCCCGAAAGTGTTCCGGGTCGGTGTTTGAGTTCAAAATAACTGAGGAAAATTTGTACGTCTTTGACGCTTTTTGGAAGAGGCCAATTCTTGATCGAGGACACCTTTGATTCGTCCATGGCGATACCGTGATTTGTAACGATATAGCCAAGGAATTCGACTCTGTCGCGGTGAGATTCGCATTTTGTGGCTTTAGCGAATAGCTGAGCTTCTCGAAGTTTTTCGAGAACTTTTTGGACGTGTAGTACGTCCTCGGCTTGCGACCTGGAGTAGATCAAGATGTCGTCGAGGTAAACTATGACAAAAGTATCGAGATAGGGGCTGAGGACGTCGTTGATAAGGTTTTGAAACGACGCGGGCGCGTTGGTCAGCCCGAAGGACATCACGTTATGTCAATATATTGCTGTTTCATCCCACTGGTATTCCCGATTATGATTAGTTACTAGTTGTTGATATTAGTCGCCCCGCGCGTCTCGAGCCTGCCTCGCGCGCGCTCCCTTAGCGCTTATCTTCTTTGTGCAACTATCTTTACTATCTTCATCGGCTCTCGTACTTACGCACTTCGTGCCTCGGCCTCAGTTCCTGAAAGGTTATGAGCCCACCTAGCCTATCAGCGGCGGGCGACCTCGACGTCCACGGTGACATGGCATCAACGCCTCCACCACCGTCATCAACGTCGTACCATACCAACGACGTCGCCTCCACTACCTCCGTCACGCTCACTAAAGAGCAATTCGACGAGCTGATCAGGAACCAGCGCCCCGCACGGGACGACGACGCATTATCCATGCGTCAGCGCCTACCCCCAGCCAACCCTCCGGTCTTCCCCGACGACTCGAAACTTACGGAGGACAATTACGTTGACTGGGTCCCCACGATGCCGCCATGCCCGCCCTCTTGGGCTGGATTCAACGCTCGGACGAATCGAGCGACGGTCCCCGTTGCGAAGGCGGTCGTACCGACCAAACGCTCTGCACCAGGCAAGAAGGGAAAATGGGATCGTTCTGGTCCTGCCCCGAGCAAGTGCCCCGCTTGTGGTCAAGGCAAACACTGGCTCGACAAGTGTCCGGAATCGCGCAAGCGAGCCAAGTACCTCGAGCTCAAGAACGCCATGAAGGAACTCCAAGGCTCATCATCGCCTGCGTCCACGTTCGTGGCCACCGAGGCAGCATCCAAGGATCAACACCTGTCCGTCGTTTCTTCTGCTACGTTTGTCAACATCGGGCCACCGGCGGAAATCCTTCTGCTAGACTCGGCGTCGGCGTGCCACGTCGTCAACGATGCGTCCTTCTTTGACGGCCCCCTTTCGCCTACCCCGCAAGTCCTGCAAGGTCTAGGGGGAACGGTGAAGGCCTCGGGAATCGGCTCGGTCAAGCTCGTCTCCGATAATGGTACCAGGTTCACCCTCAACGACGTGATCTACGCCCCCGAGAGCCCTGCCAACCTCATCTCAGTCCGGGCCTTCGACCGCAAAGGCGTTCGCATCACCTTCGAACACGGACAAGTCGAGCTCCGCACGCCGCAAGGGTGCATCGCCACAGCATCAGCCATCGCGTCCTGCGTTTACAAACTCAACGCTTCGGTCCAAGCTGCCAGCAAAGATGCGCGACACACCCTCGTTGCCACCAAGTCCAATAGGCTACCTTTACTTACCCTTCACCGGCGCTACGGCCACGCCTCTGTCCAGACACTTAAAAAACTGGCGGCCTCTGGCCAGGTGGAGGGTTTAGATTGGCCCTATAGTGACTTCGAGTGTGATGGCTTCACCTGCAACGCGTGCCTTGCCTCCAAAGCGCATCGTTTGCCTTTCCCCTCTTCGTCGTCGCATGCCGCGGAACCACTCGCATTGGTGCACTCGGACGTCTTATCTTTCCCCGAGGAATCCTTAGGCCATAAGCGATACCTCGTCACGTTCATCGACGACTTCTCGAGGAAGACTTGGGTTTACACTATCGGGCACAAGAGCGAGGTCCTTCAGACATTCAAGGATTGGCTTCTGGAGATCGAAAACGCCACGGGTCGCAGGGTCAAAACACTTCGCTCGGACAACGGGGGCGAGTATGTCTCTACCGCTTTCAACGGCTATTGCGTGGCCCGCGGAATTCATCGCGAATTGACCATACCGTACACACCCGAGCAAAACGGTCGGGCTGAGCGAGCCAACCGGTCGATCGTCGAGGGCACCCTGGCTCTACTGTCTCACTCGGGACTCCCACGATCGTGCTGGGACGAGGCTGCCATGTGTTACATTCACGCCAAGAACCTCTCGCCTCACGCGGCCCTTGGTGGAGCCATCCCAAACAGTCGTTGGTCGGGCCACACACCAAGCGTAGGGGGTCTTCGGGCACTCGGTTGTCGCGCTTGGACCACCGTGCCGGCTCACCGACGGGACAAGCTCGACCCAAAAGGGATTCCTCTGGTCTTCGTCGGGTACGATCGACACGCGAAAGCCTACCGTCTTCTCGATCCTTCCTCCATGCGTGTGAGTCTGGGCCGCAATGTGACGTTCGTAGAAACCGAGTTCCCCTTCGCTATCGCGCCCACCCGAGTGACGCAGCCGTCCATCCCGGGTTACGCCCCCCAGCCCCCACCCGTCGAAGCTCCAACACCCGTCGAGCCTCCCCCACGGCCACCGGCCCCAACGCCTGTCGAGGCACCCGCGTCGCCCGCATCGACCAGCTCGGCCGACAACGACGACGCCTCATCGACCACGAGCGCAACGACGGAGTCAGCCGTGAACCTGCCGCAACCACCTCCGGATCCAGCTCCACTCGCCAAAGTCAAGCCGAGTTGGGAGTACGGCGACGTCGCCAAGGTTGGTCCCGATCCAGGGAAGTACGGTGAAGTCGACGCTCGAAACATCATTGATGGCCCCCGGACTCGCCGCCAACCCGTTCCCACCATGATCACGCGGGAACAGCCAGTCGACGGCACCGACGGACCCACCGCCTCTTTCAAGAGCCTGCTCCTTGCCTTCGCATCCACCAAGGCCGGCTTCGCAGATCATGACTTGTCGGTTGTTCGCGATCCGGCAAATTGGGGCGACGTCATCCGATCGGGACAAGAGGACGTTTGGGGCGCTCCGGCACAGGATGAATTCGATTCGCTTCTGAACGATTACGAGGTCTTTCAAATCGTCGAATCCTGTGAGCTCCCAGCGGGTGAGATCCTCCTGCGGTCGGGCTGGGTGTTCCGGACTAAACACAACCAGCATGGCGACATCACCGATCACAAGGCCCGACTTGTTGCTCACGGATGTGCCCAACGCCCTGGCCTTGACTTCGAGAAGACCTACGCCCCTGTCGTCAAATTCACGTCCATTCGAGCCCTCATCGCACTCGCCGCGGCCAACGGCTATCACGTCCATCAGGCCGACGTCAACAAGGCGTATTTACACGGCAAACTTGACAAGCCTCTCTACATGCGCGTCCCTCAGGGCATAAACCTGCCAGGCAAGATCCTCAAGCTGTCCAAATCCATCTACGGCCTTCGCCAGGCCGGCACCATTTGGAACGCTGAGATCGACTCGACTCTGCGGTCCCTCGGATACGTCCCCACCAGGTCTGACATCTGTATCTACCGCCGCGAACACGACGGGCACTCACACTATATTGCCTTGTACGTCGACGACTTGCTTTTGGTTGGTCCCTCTACCGCCGAAATCGAGCGGGTGCTGGACGCGCTGGAACTCGCATACGGCATCAAACGTCTCGGACCTGCCGAATATATTCTAGGCATCCAAGTCAAACGTGGACAAGACGGCTCTATCACGCTCTCACAAGAGCGCTACCTTCGGGACATCCTTGCCAGGTTCCAATTCACCGATGCCAAGCCGGCAAGTATTCCAATGCAGCCAGGTGTCGTCCTTGACTTCGAGGACTTGGCGGCCACTCCTCAGGATCGTACGCGCTACTTGCAGGCCATCGGTTCGTTGATGTACGCCGCAGTTGGAACTCGTCCGGACCTCGCCTTCGTGGTCAGCTACCTCGCTCGCTTCTCCCAGCAGCCTGGCCCGGAGCATTGGACAGCCATCAAGCAGGTCCTCCGTTACATCAAAGGCACGCTGGACTTGGGCCTCACCTATCGCAAGACCAGCCAACCACTCCGTGGCTACTCGGATGCGAACTGGGGAGCCTGTCTAACGACCTCACGATCGACCATGGGCTACGCGTTCATCTTGTCCGGAGCCGCTATTGCTTGGTGCTCCAAACGCGAGCACAGGGTGGCCAAGTCCACTACCGACGCAGAGTACCTCTCTCTTTCGTACACAAGCGGTGATGCCATCCACCTGAGCGAACTCCTGGCTGAACTTGGCGCTCCGGTCTCCGGTCCAGTCGTACTCTACGGGGACAACCAAGGTTCGCTGGCTCTTGCGCAGCACCCAACCAACCATCAGGGGTCTCGTCATGTTCGCATCTCGGAACATTACGTCCGCGAGAGGGTAGCTGAGAAGGAGATCGAGGTCCGCTACATCGCCACCGGCGACATGATTGCCGATATTTTCACCAAAGCCTTGGGTCCCAAGCCGTTCATCTTCCATCGGGAGAATTTGGGTTTGCGAGGTGCAGTGGTATGACAGCACGGGGGGGTGTCAATATATTGCTGTTTCATCCCACTGGTATTCCCGATTATGATTAGTTACTAGTTGTTGATATTAGTCGCCCCGCGCGTCTCGAGCCTGCCTCGCGCGCGCTCCCTTAGCGCTTATCTTCTTTCTCCAACTATCTTTACGATCTTCATCGGCTCTCGTACTTACGCACTTCGTGCCTCGGCCTCAGTTCCTGAAAGACGTTATACTGGAAGTGCCCGTAACGTGTGCGGAATGCTGTTTTCCACTCGTCGCCTTTGGCGTTGCGGATGAGGTTGTAGGCGCCACGAAGATCGATTTTTGAAAAAAAATTGGCACCGGAGAGTCGATCGAGGGATTCCCCGGCCCGATCAGGGGCAAGGGGTATTTGTTCTTGATTGTGGCGCTGTTTAGGGCACGGTAGTCGACGCACAGGCGCATCGTGCCGTCCTTCTTTTTGACGAATAATATAGGTGCTCCTATGGGTGACTGTGATGGCTCAATAAAGCCTTTCTTGAGATGATCGTCGATGTAATCGGACAAGGTTTTTAATTCTGATTGGTTCAAGGGATAGAGGCGTCCGGCCGGGACTTTGATCGAGGGGTCCAATGGAATGGTGGGGTCGTACGGTCGACGAGGAGGAAGCTTATCCGCTTCTCCTTCATCAAAGACGTCAAGATATGAGTGATAGATGGGCGGAACCAAAACTTTGGGATCTTTCGTCTTTGGAGTCGATTCATCAGAGTCGGTCGCAGGCTGCACGTTGGGTGAACTGGTCATGTAGCAAGCGATCCGAGTATTACCGTCGTCGCGAGCAATGGCGCCCATCGAAACGATATCCGTGGATGAACCGAGGAGAGTCCGGAACTCTGCAGCGGCGACTATAGTCACTGCTGGGTGATCCACCGCTGCAGACGGTTTCACACCTGACACTTCGAGTGCTATCTGGGGACTTGGGAACGAGGGGTGCTGGGGAAGAGTCTCGATCGTCGGAGCGATCGGGAGGCACTGGTTGGCGCAGTGATCGGAGGACCAGCGCAAAAGTGGCTCCATTCAATATCAGGATCGTGGAGTTTGAGCCAAAGGATACCCAAAATGATGGGGTAATGGGCGATAGAGGAGATGTCGACGGAAATTTGTTCGTGGTGATCGCCGATGAAGATGTCAGTTGGGACTGTCTCGTGGGTGATTGGCAAAGCTGGATGGCCATCGAAGCCTTCCAGTCCCTGAGGAGTTGCCTTTTTGTTGGTCTGTAGACGAAGAGCTTCAACATAGTCGGGACTAATCAAGTTCGCTTGCGAACCTGAGTCATTCGAGGCGTATGTGAGCTCGTCGATCTTTTGATTACAGAGTACAATGAGGTGTTCGTTTTTGTCGAATTTTGGGGAATTAATTGAGTTAGCGAGAACGGAGAACCTGTTGGTGAGGAACGGACGAGGATCAGGGCGCGGTTTTGGTACATTTGGAGTTGCAGAGGAGTTAACGCCCAGGAGTTCGTCTCCTAAGCTCCGTCCTAGGCTCGATCATTTTTCGAGGTGTTGGGGCCAAAGATGGTCGCGTTCGCGCCAGTCGGCGTGAACGACACGGCGGCGGCACGCTTGTTGGTATTATCGTAGGACTTACGATTGCGGCCGGCGTCGTTATACCTATTGTTGGTAGTGCGGTTGTTGTTGCCATAATTACTGTTGGTTTGCACAGGGCGAGATCGACAATTTGGGAATAAATGGCCAGCGCGCCCACAGTAAAGGCACAAGTTGTTTGCTCGAGTCGGCGGTGTTCCTTCTCGGCTTCCGAGAGGGGACCGCGACGAACGACCTTGGTAGAATGGATCCGACGTCGATTAGCGTTGATTTCCATAGGACGAGGGCCTCCATCATCCATCATGGGGACACTGTGGTTTTCGGCATGCGAGGTGGTGACTCGGCGAGATGCGAAGATCAGCGAGGCGGCCTTGTCATTCTGTGAGTCAAGGTCAATCTGAGTGGCTTCTTTGATGAGAGCTTGTAAGTTCTCTGGTCGGGGGCGGATGAGCAGAACCGCCGATCGAACATGAATTTTCAATCCCTTGCGGAAGAGCCAGAACAAGGAACGGTCGTCGGTGAGCTAGGCCAAAGTTGAGAGCCTTTGGAATTCGGCAGCGTAGGCGGAGACCGAGGTGGTTTGAACCACGTGATGGAGTTGTTCAAGGGCGTGCTCTTTCTCGTTAGGATCTCCGTAGACTTGGTTGATCTTCTTTTGGAAAGCAGACCAATCGCTCAAGAACAGGTATTCGGGCTTGGCGTTATCCAGCTCGCTAAGTTGGCGGAAAGAGTGGAACCAGCGGAGGGCTTCGTCTTGCAGACAGCCTACAGCAAAGTTAATCTTGGCCTTATCGGTAGCGAACTGGGTGGGAGCTGATTCGAATACGGTCAAGAGTTGTCCTACAAAGTTGGTGGTCTTTCTACGGTCGCCGTTGTACTTGTCGGGTTGGGGAGTCTTGAAGACGGCTCGTTGAAGCGCGGAGCGGGAGAGGTGGCGGAGGCTGTTACCGCTTGCTGGATCGGCCGGGGCCCGGACCGCAGCCTGGGAATTGAGGAGCTGCTGCTCGCGTTGGTCAGAGCGTTCAGTTTGGTTACGGACTGCAGTAGTGAGATCGTGCAGGCCGAGATGGAAACCTTGCAGTTGTTGGACCATTGAATCTACGCGAGTGAGAAGGAGGCGGGCTACATCTTCGTCGCCGTGAGGAGCTCGACCTTGAGTACCGAGGGGAGCTTGCCCGTCGTGGTGGTCGAAGTGCATGCCGGGGTCATTGTGGTCGGAGTGGATGGATTCCATGATAGAGGAGTAGTAGTAACTTCGAAACCTAAGGTGATCTTAAGTAGAAGCAACAAACTATGACGGTCCTCGCGGCAGGAGAGAGGTCTAGGCTGAGACTAGACTTTCGGGGACGAGGTGCGAGAGAGTTCTCGAGGGAACTTCGAGGGAGGATCAGGTTAGGTCTGCGAAGCAACTGAAGCAGGACTTGAACTGTAGGGTTTCTCGAGATAGGTAAGGAGTGTGATTGCAAAGGAGTGTGGTAGTAGTATGAGTTGTTGAGGGTTAGGATTAGTATGAGGATTAGTTGTTGCTTGCAGGAAGCAAAGGAGAAACTATCAGATGGCCGGCTTTTATAGTAAAAGCCATGGAATGTTGTGGAAGGTTATGGAAGGTTTTCTACAAGCGAGAGATCACGATGCCCGATGTCCGGGCTGCCAGATGGAAGGTTGAGGAACGATGTGGAATCCCATGGAACGAAGACGACTCTCGGATTTCGGCGTGCTGTCTCGAAGAGGAAGGTGAGTGTAAGGTATGCGCCTCTGATGTGCATAAAATACAATCTGTCGTTCTTGACCGCTAGGCTAAAAGCAAGTCGTAACTACTAGAACTCGACAGTTCTAGCTACTCAGAGGCTACTTATGGGGCTGTTCTGTAAGGCATCCCCTTATTACAGTGAGGAGGATCGGAGTGTCGCGCTTGATCTTTGACCCGGACCCCGTCGGTTGGCTCACCAAGACCGTTATAATAAGTGAGGAGGATCGGAGTCAGTCGCGCTTGATCTTTGACCCGGATCTCGTCGGTTGAACTCTGGCTCACCAAGACCGTTACACTTAGTAATACTAGCTGACGTTGTCAGTCGGTGTTACTCCGTCAGAGGTTCGGGGACCCGTCGCCCCCTCCTGGCGCGCGTTATATAGCGTTGTCAGTCGATGTTACTCCGTCAGAGGTTCAGGGACCCGTCGCCCCCTGAGGGGGCGCGTTAAATTTTTTACACCTTTCATGTGGAAGGTCTTGGAAGGTTTTCTACAGGCCAGAGGTCACAATTATGCCCGACACCGGGTTCCTGGAAAGCTGCATCGACGAGCCGCGGGTAACGTCGTGCTGGCCCGGAGTTGAAGAAGCCAGAAGAAGGCGAGGTGAGTACCGGATTTAGTCGCGGTTGATATTTAAACCGGATGCTATTTTCCACCAAGACCGTTACACTGGAAACTCCGTCGGGGGAAGAGGCCGCCGGGGTAGTGGGGAAACGCCGAATCACTGGTAACGTCGAACGACCCCGCACGACCCCGCGTATACATTTTGCCATCATGGACCGAGATTCCACGCGCTACTACCCTCTCATCTACAGAAACCTGTGATAAAAATTTGCGTTATCCTCATTAGGTACCTGAGGACGAACTGCTGTCAACTTGTTCACCTCTTCGACCTCTTTTACAACGCTCCATCCGTCCAGCTCGTGCTCAAAATGACTTCACTCCAGGAAAAGGTGCAAGCCATCCTCGATAAAGCTACAGTACGTACATATTTCGTCTCCATTACACGATTCCATATGGAGCCGACTCCCAACCTGCTGAAACTTATCCGCCCTGCCGTCCTCCCATGCGCCCCTTGGTTCTGCCCCACACTGCCCCCGCACTCGCACTCCGCATTGTTCGACACCGCAGTCCTCTGGAGGCCCCGCAGGATGTGTTTTCGCAGCCATGGATCGTTCCGGCAAGATCATTGTCAAAGTGAGTGGGCACCTATTGGCTTGTGGTCTCCTTCTGGACCTCCCGTACTCACCGCGCCGGGTCTTCACGAGCAGGCTGCTTCAGGGGTGGAGGAATTGGGCAATGCTGATCGCCCCATGACCACCGATTCGCTCTTCTGTGAGTCACCACTGGCTGCGCCGAGTCGATGCCAATTTACATGAAGCAACTGACTCGGGTACTTATTACCCTTGCGTGACGTTCAACTAGGTCTCTACAGCTGCACCAAAGCGCTTGCCTCCATCGCCGTGATGCAGCTCGTCGAGCAAGGCAAAGTCGAACTCGATGCCCCTGTAGGGGACGTCTTGCCCGAAGTGGGGAATGTGGCCTTCTGTGATGGGCGCAAACCCAAGAGAGCGATCACCCTTCGTCACCTCCTCACCCACACCTCTGGATTCGGCTACACCAACTTTCACAAGGACTTGCTCGCTTGGAGCCTGCAGAATAACGTGAACGAGTGCGCCGGACACATTGCTGCGTTCATGTCGCCGCTCATTGCCGAGCCCGGGGAGGACTGGAATTACGGGGTCGGGATCGATTGGGCAGGAGAGTAAGTCCTTCTTGGCTCTCGCGTCTGCATCCTTCCTCACAAGAAGGCCTGCCATCCTGAACTCCCTGCGCTCCACGGTTTACCCCCTTCACAAAGGTACCTCCATCGAGTCACGGGTCTCACTCTTGGCGAGTACTCCAAGAAGAACATCTTTGAGCCTCTTGGAGCGGACGACCTCGAGTATCGTCTCCTGCCCGAGAACGAGAAGCGTCTCGTCGCGATGCACGCCCGAGGGGAAGACGGCAAGCTTTCCGTCGTCAACCACATGCCGTTGACGTATGACACTTCGTTCGATTCAGGAGGTGCAGGCGCGATCGGTTCAATCGAATCGTACCTCAAGTGCGTTTACATCCTCATGAACGAAGGTGTAGGTGCGAATGGGGCGAGGATCCTCAAGGCCGAAACCGTTAAGGTGATGCTACAGGATCATTTGGGTCCGATTCGAGAGATCTTGGGCTCGGACCCCCTGGAGCGAACGATCGAATGCGTTGTCCCTGTAAGTACCTTGGATGCCTCTCAAGTTTCCAGTTGAGTTTGACTCATTCGAACGCCTTCGCAGGGAATGAGCTACCCGCTGGTAGCGATTCCGGGCCAACGCAAAGGCTGGGGTGAGTCAGAGACAGGAGCTCGTTGGACATCAGTGAACCCGAGTTCGCTCCGGTAAAAGATGGCGGCTTTGGTCCGTAGTCCACGTTACTAACACGCCGACGAGGGCCGACCTTTGGAACTACCAGGAATGTCCTTCCAAATTGCCCTCGATCCGCTGCCGACCGGCCGTAAAGCTGGCTCGGTCAACTGGGCAGGCCTCCCGAACGTTTATTGGCAAGTCGATCCCGAGTCCGGAATCTCGACCATGCTGTGTTCGCAAAGCTTCCCTTTCGCCGACCCGGCCGCGATCATGCCGTGGCTGGAGTGCGAAACCGAGGTCTACAAGGCGGTCGCAAAATAAGCGGATGGACTGCAGTTTGAATCTAGGGGTCATGGTGCGCATTGCTGGCTGGGGATGCGCTCGCGGCCGCCTCCTGTTGAAGCGACAAGGGAAGGTTTTGCGGTTGCGATGCAACTTTGAGCGACTTGTGCTGCCGTTATTTGAGATAAAAGTTTCTTGGGATAAGTATTGAAGCAATCTATTTGTAGGAAGTTTCTACTGCATGAAAGGTTCTTTGGCGTGTGTCCGTACGTTGTCATGCGAGTTCAGCCATAACCACATCTTCCTCAAGCATTGGTGGCGCCACTTTGGATGACAAATTCGGGCGTGTCTCGGACTCCGCTACCGTCGACCGAACTTGAGCGCGATTCGCCTACCATTCACACCCATCGCTTTGCTTCGCTTCACTCGACTTCCCTATCCAGCCCCTCCCCCTCCCTTCTCTTCCACCACTTTTCAGCACCTACGAATAGCGACCATGCCCACCAGCTACCTCATCACGGGAGCGTCCCGAGGCCTCGGCTTCGAGACGACGCGACAGCTGCTCACCACGTCGGAGTCGAATGTCGTCTTCGCCGCCGCGCGTGACCCGCGGTCATCGAAGGCGTTGCAGGCCTTGGCTGAAGAATACAAGCCACGATTAAACCTCGTCGCGTTGGATACGACGTCCCAAGTCAGCGTCGATGTGAGTTGAACGGTCATCAGTACTTGCTCAACTCCATGGAGTCCCTCTGACTCTGCTCCTTGGTCCCTGGTCGCTGGCTCGCCTCCACCCCCACCCTCCGATTCCGTCATTTCGAACCCGACTCGCGCAGGCCGCCGTCGCCCAAGTGACCAAGATCCTCGGCGATCAGGGACTCGACGCATTGCTCAACAACGCAGGCGTATTCTCCGGGGGGCCCACAACCTTCTCGACGGCGTATGTCCCTTTCAATCCACCAGGCGAATGAGATCAACGAGCTAACATGACTCGCATACTCCTTCGGGATCGACGACGAACCGACTAACTGTCAGTGACAAGGACTCGCTCATCGCCGATATCTCGACAAATCTCTATGGCGTCATTTACACGACTCAAGGATTCCTGCCTTTGCTCAGGAAAGGTGAAAAGAAGCAGATCTTTGTCACCAGCTCTATCATGGGCTCGATGGTATGACCCCACGTTCCTTGCGAGCCGAATGTTCTTGCTCAGCTATTGACCTCCGCACGAGCACTATCTGACAGGGCGACGATTTGGGCAAGACGGCCTATGCGATCAACTACTCGGTCTCGAAAGCGGCGGTGAACATGTGGACATTGAAGGTCGCAAACGAGCTCGGACCGGTCAGTCCCCGTCACAGTCTGCTTCCGAGGTTCAATTGCCTTAGCTAACGCGCCATGTTGCAAATTCGTAGGATGGCTTTACCGTCGTTCCCTTCCACCCAGGATACGTCAAGGTATTTAGACCTCGCGTTCTCGCACTCGAAACAACTGCGATGCTGACCGCGGTTCATTCACGTCCTATTTCCAGACCGACCTGAACGGCGGAACGGGCGGCGAGATCACACCTCAAGTATCGGTGGAGAAGACGTATGTTGCCCGCATCTTAATTCCCACGCTTATGTTATGCCACTGACCCCGGTCTACGATGATGATGACGATCGGCTGCAGATTGAAGAACATCATCCTCAAAGTCAAGCCTGAGGACAATGGGAAGTTCCTGTCGTATGCCGGCAAGCAGCTCAAGTGGTGATCAATCAAAAGCGAACGCATAGAGAATTGGCTCGTTTTCATCTATAAAATATATCTGTAATGCATTTACCGTGTTTGATCCACACACCCTCCAGCGCCTTGGGTTTTGCACAATGGAGAACCAAACTCGAAAGCTACGATACCAAGAACGAGAGGTGAAACCAGAAAGTCTCTTGGAGACATGGCCTCACGTACTATCTCAAGATGACCTTCGTTCATTCAGGCACAGGCAATAAAAGCAATGCGGTGGCATGATGCGTAAGATGGGTTTACAACAGCGGCTAGCCGATCGAGCTAAGAAATCAAACTACAAACAAGGCAAAAGAGACGGCCACCAACAGATGCCTTCCCAATAAACCCCTTCTCCCCGCTCCAGCTGAAATACGAAATGGCAACGTCCTTCCTCCCCCTTCCTTCCATCGAACAGGAGAAGCGCTTACGAGCGCTCACCTCTGAGACGACGAGCGAGCTGGATGTCCTTGGGCTGGATGGTGACACGCTTGGCGTGGATGGCAGCCAAGTTGGTGTCCTCGAACAAGGAGACGAGGTACGCCTCGGCGGACTCTTGAAGAGCCATCACGGCCGACGACTGGAAGCGGAGGTCGGTCTTGAAGTCTTGCGCGATCTCGCGGACGAGACGCTGGAAGGGGAGCTTGCGGATGAGGAGCTCGGTCGACTTTTGGTAACGACGAATTTCACGGAGAGCGACCGTTCCGGGACGGTATCGGTGAGGCTTCTTGACACCACCGGCGGCGGGGGCCGACTTGCGAGCGGCCTTGGCAGCGAGTTGCTTTCGGGGCGCCTTGCCACCTGAGAACATTCAACGAGGGGGGTGAAGGATGAGGTGGTCAGCAAGCGAGGCGACGACGACTTGAGAGAGGCCCCTGTCCGAGGACAGAGCAAGGGTTGGGGCCATGCGAGGGTGTGAGACGTACCGGTAGATTTGCGAGCGGTTTGCTTTGTGCGGGCCATTGTAGATAAGATTGACAAGTAGACGTTGAAGTGTGGATGTGAGGAAAGGGAAGGCAAAGGGCGACCGAGTTGGTTGAATCGTAGTCGCGCGTCTCGGCAAGCGTGTTGTTTGCAGGTCGGGGCCTAACTCGAGGCATGCCCTGGCCGCGCGCGCTGATGATGGCCTCGAGTTAGGCGGCGCGGGCCTAGGTCGAGGCGTCTCCCCGTTACGCTCGTTCGTAGGCCTGCATCGTGGCCGTGCCCAGCCTAGGTCGAGGCAGATAAACAACAGACCGGCGCTGCTGAGTGACTTTGACCGCACCCGCTCTGCAGGCTCTCTCCCTCCTTTCCTTCACAAGCTCGCGAACTCGCACTCCCCTGCACCCAACCCCCCTCAACAACAACTTTTACAAACAGTCAGTCCCACGCATCAGTTCTCACTCAAAAAGCCATCGACTGACCTCATAATCTCCTGCAGTGTCTGGACGTGGAAAGGGCGGAAAGGGACTCGGAAAGGGTGGAGCCAAGCGTCACCGCAAGATCGTACGTTCCATCTCATGTATCAGCCTGCACGTAATGGAACACCGTGCTGACTGCCCACCGTCCATCTACAGTTACGTGACAACATCCAGGGTATCACCAAGCCGGCCATCCGCCGTCTCGCACGTCGTGGTGGTGTGAAGCGTATCTCCGGTCTGATCTACGAAGAGACGCGAGGTGTGCTCAAGATCTTCCTCGAGAACGTGATCCGTGATTCGGTCACCTACACCGAGCACGCCAAGCGCAAGACGGTCACCTCGCTCGATGTCGTCTACGCCCTCAAGCGATCCGGCCGAACGCTCTACGGTTTCGGTGTCTAAATCAATCGACTCCTGTCTCCCCCTTACCCCCTCGAATGGGCTTTGTGGCTTGTCTGTTGCGGCGCGATCACATTGTTGTTCTTCATCTCCTACTTTCGTATTTCACTCCCTACTGTGTAATCATTCCTACCTTTTCGCGCTGCCGCGCACCGCATCCCCCAATTCTTCCCTGCTGCCGTTCGCCTATGAAACCCGAGAGCGGTCGCTGCTACATAATTGAAGTTACCAAGTATTCCGTCTGACATTTCTCTGAACGACATCGCTTTCCCAGACCAGCGCAATCGGTGCAGATTCCTACGATGTGTCAGTCCGAAGTCGAGTAATTATGATTGCGCCGGCTTTTCGATGGATTTTATCAAGCCTCTTGTCTCGCTCCTCCATGGTCTCTGAGAAGATCATATTTTTCGGTTCAATTACACCATTTTATAAATGAAACCGACCTACTTGCCTTGGAAGATGGTCGGGGACGAGGTCATACTGCCCCGCTCGTCGGAAACTTGAACGCGGTTCTGGGCGCATATCATGACGGACGTTCACGTCGCACGCGTCAACCTCGTGCCTTGTCGGATCTGCTGGAGCCTCCTTTCCCCTCCCCTCTCCCCCCTCCCCCTCCCCACCCTGCGCTTTCACTCCAGCATAGCGCCAGTGTAACGGCTCGTCCTACGAGGCAGGTCCACGGCGCGGTCGGCTCGATGATGAGCGGGGCCTACGCCTATCGTCCGCAGCATTCGGTGCAGGACTCGCTCAGCTCCGAACCTGGCAACTGGCCCGACACGCCCGGCTCGTCGCGACCGTCAGTTTCCCAGCCTATCCGAGTCTCGAGTAGCCGAGGTACAGACGTGCTGACCTGTTGACCGATCGTAGCAGACCATCGGCGCAATCGACGCCTGATCAGACGTGCAAAGGCAGTCGGGTCCGCTTCAACCTGAGCCCAATCCCGAACGGCCTTCGCACGAGCACGGATGCCGCCACTGCAGCTGCTGCAGCTGCGGCGGGAGCAGGAGGCTCATCACCGTCGTCGCTGTACTCGCGTAGGAGTAGGATCAAGGGAGAGAATCACAGCTCGATTGACTGGAGCCACGAGTATGCAAAGGAACGCATACGCCAGCAGGCGCTGCAGCAAGTGCTCGGAGTCAGGTGAGTGAGCCAGCAGACCGGGAGCAGGAGCCCCACACGCCGGCCAGCCGGCCGTTCGCAATCCCCATTGCGCAAGGTCGACAACGCGCTGAAGGTGATCATCTGCCATGTACAACAGAGGTATCATGACGCGCATCTGGGACGCGACAATACCATGGATCGTCGTCGTCGCCACCGGACTGGCCACCGGACTCGTCGCTTCGTGTCTCGACATTCTCAGCGCTTGGTTGTCCGATCTGCGCACCGGCAAATGCTCCGACGCGTGGTGGTTGTCCGAAGCGGCTTGCTGTACTGGACTGGATCGTAGGTCTCATTTTCCTCGCTCGCTGTACCCGCGCTCCTGCTCACTTACTACACTCTTGCAGCGACCGACACTTGCAACTCTTGGCGGACATGGGCACAGATCGCAGGCGGCAACGAACCAGGACAGCGGGTCGTCTTGAAAGCAGTAACGCAGTACAGCGTCTACATGGTCCTTGCAGTGAGATGGTGACCGAATGAGATTATGCGTGTGGCTTGGGGCCCTGATCAGAACTTTTCGTTCCTCGGGGCGGCAAAATCAGGTTGCCTTCGCGGTGGTGGCTTCGTTCTTTGTACAAGTGTACGCTCCCTACGCCTTTCACACCGGGATACCCGAAATCAAGGCAATCCTTGGCGGCTACATCCTCAAGGGCTTTCTGTCTCCAATGGTCCTGCTTGTCAAGTCGCTCGGACTACCTCTCGCTGTGGCATCCGGCTTGCAGCTCGGCAAAGTGAGTCCGAGCGTCCAATCGAGCAACTGCAGGAACTGATCTTCTGGGATTAATTGTCTCTGTTCCGGAATAGGAAGGGCCGCTTGTGCATGTCAGCTGTTCGATCGGCGACCTGATGCTAAGACCGTTTCGGAAACTGAGGCAGAATGAGGGTTCGTCCGATCTACCCTCTGCTTGGCCGGCGATCATAGCTGACCGCACCACTGTTCGGCAGCCCGGTCTCGTGAGATATTATCAGCGGCAGCTGCTGCGGGTGTTTCTGTGGCTTTCGGAGCACCGTTGGGAGGCGTACTATTTTCCTTGGGTGCGTGACGATGAATTACGGCGGTCCGCTACCTCCCTGTTCGTGGCTGATGGATTCTTGACTTCCGTTGCCGAGCACAGAAGAGATTTCGACCTTCTTCCCCGGCTCTACTCTTTGGCAGTCCTTTGTCTGCGCAGTCGTCGCCGCAATCACCCTCCAATACATTGATCCTTTCAACACCGGCAAGCTTGTGCTCTTTCAAGTCACCTCGTCGCAAGTGTGGAGAGGTTTCGAGCTTATCCCTTGGTTGGGGCTTGGCGTATTCGGAGGTTTATGGGGTGCTTGGCTCATTCGATTGAACGAGGAGTGGGAGCGGATGCGGCGAGCATCGGGGCTGTACAAGTGGCCCGTCTCAGAAGTCGCCGTTCTCGCCCTCTTCACCGCTATCGTCAGCTACTTGCTCATCTTTATGCGTATCCCCAACGCCGAACTTGTCGTCAACCTTTTTCAAGATTGTAGTGGACCCGACAACTATGGTCTCTGCGAGTGAGTTGACCGAACAATGGCTTCAAAATGCTCTTGTCGTACTGACACAAAGTGTTGCTGGACGTTCGCAGCATCTCCAACACCCCCTCGCTCGTGTTCCTCCTACTCGTCACTGCCTTCTCCAAAACGGTTCTTACGGCCGTCACCTTTGGCGCCTCTTTGCCGGCCGGGATCTTCATGCCGTCGCTGACCATAGGCGCTTGCGTCGGTCGTGCCGTCGGTTTGATCATGGCTTCGATTCAACGTGCGAATGCGGGCACGTGGCTCTTCTCCAGCTGCCCGCCTGATGGACCTTGTATCTCGCCTCCGGTGTACGCCGTCATCGGCGCGGCGAGTGCGCTTGGCGGAGTGACGAGGATGACTATCAGCTTGGTGCGCACAGCAGTTGAAAAAGGTTCAAGAATGAAACCCGCAGAACTGATATGCCGTTTCGGTGGTCTGCTCTTGCAGGTTGTTATCCTTTTCGAGTTGACGGGTGCGATCGAGCTCGTTCTTCAGGTCATGTTGGCCGTCATGGTGGCCAAGTTCACAGGCGACTTCTTCTCCAAAGATGGGATCTATGAGAGTCAGTCCCGCAACTCTCTCTCACCCGTCTTCGAATCATCTCAGCAGAATCTTCTGGCTTAACGAGAGCTCTCCGTGCAGCTTGGATCATCCTTCGCAATTACCCCTTCTTGAACAACAAGGTCGAATACCGGCAGGATACGATCACGGCACGGGATGTTATGACCCAGATTAAGAACATCGTCTACGTCAGCGACGAAGGGTGGACCATCGATCAATTGGGTAAGTCACCCCACAGAAGAATCGCCGTTCAACTCCAATCCATGTCCAGACTAACAGATCTGTTCGGACACCCCAATCGCAGAATCGATGCTAGCCACCGAGGGTTATCGAGGATTCCCTATCGTCCGAACCCTTCGGGATCGCATCGTGATCGGGCACATCACCCGACTCGAACTCATCTCCGCTCTTGAACAAATCGCCCTCGAACCAACTATCAAGGGGACGACGAAGTGTTACTTTTTGAGGAAACCCAATACGGAAGGAAGGCAGGTTGGACCGAATGCACCTTTTGAGGAGGAGGGTGCGAGGAAAGTGAGAAGAGAAGGGGTGGAGGAGAATGAGGATGAAGCGTGTTGGATCAGTTTAGCTGCTTGGGTCGACGAGGTCAGTTTCGGTTGTGTTGCTTTCGGAGGAGAAGGTGCGGAGGATTACACGTGCTGAGTCCTGAGTGCTGATTTCGTTTCGCTTTTGGCAAATCCTCGCACACGGCGCACAGATCCCGATCATGATGAATCAGGATACGCCGATGGAAGTGGTTGTGCAGATGTTCGGCCGATTGGGTCTGCGATGTGTGCTTCTCACAAAGCAGGGGGGCTTGCGAGGGATCCTTACCAAGATGGTACGTCGAGGCAACTTGTTTTCAGGCACTCATCGATCCTAGACTGACAAATTACTTCGGCTCGGCGTCGCGCAGGATCTTCATGCCCACATGCACCCCTTCTCCGACGCGCCAGATCGATCAGCGACGTGGAAGACCGCCGTCACAGCACGAGCAAGACCGACCCAGAACGCATCCGAAGAAGCCTACCAAGATGCTCGGGATCTACGGCGTGACGTGGAGGAAGACGATGCACGGAAAGCCGCTCTATAATTGACGCCGGGGGGCCATAGTCTTTGCAAGAAGCCGTTGAGGACGTGTCTTCTTGAGGTGCTAACTTTCCTTATAGAAATGTGCTTGTTTTGTGCTTGTAATACTGCCTTGCTACGTAATGACACCAAAGAGAATGGCTCATGTATGGCCGACTTCCCAAACGCCCATGCCGAGTCGACGCCAGTCGACACCGACCATGTCCTGTAAACGGTCCATGTCGAGGTGAATGCCGAGCGATCGAGAACCATAGAGGGGTCGCGCAAAGTCGATGTTGCCCGAAAGCAACGCGTCGTAGGCGTAGGCCGGTGTGACGAGCAAAGTTCGAGACGAGTTCGAGTTGTGGATGATCGTCAGCAATTCGGAAAGGGGTGCGCCGGCGACGTCCTTGATCGTGACTTGGAGTGGAGTGGCTGAGATAAGAAGGGGGTAAATGATTTGAGTAAATTCTGTCCAAGAGATAAAGGGACAATCAACAGACTCACTTCTCAGCGGGACCAACAGATGCCTCGGGGGCATGAACGTCCTCCAAAATATGATATCCACGCTCTGGGCCGAGTCGAAGGCGTTCGACCGTAGACTCTCATTAAGTCGAATAAGGGTGGGGAGAAGGCCGCCTTGATGGAGATAGCCAAAGATGAGAGTGAACAGGATCGTGTGAAGGCACCATAAAGACTGAGAAAGATAGGGAGCGTCAACGACGAGTTCGTGTCGTGATGGACGACTCATTCACTTACCCAGAATAATTGGTATTTTCTTCGAGCGGCGCTGGTGCCGGTTGACAAGAAGAATGCCTTGGAGATGAGCAAGCTCAAAGGAACGATCAGAGGGACGAGAAATCGGGGCTCCTGATGAGGTTGCAGCGATAGAAGGAGCGTTGGAACGACGAAGCACGCTGCAGGGAGCAGGACTGGCGTAGGGATTTCACTGAGTCAGCCCTCGAAGTCGTTCCAATAGCAGGCCCGGAGAGAGCTTACCTCCATCGAGACCGGTCAGGTTCTTAGCCGGTATCGCCTCCACTTTGGCCTTTCCCTTCTTCTTTCTCTTTGTCACAACTTTCGGCGCGCTGGCTGGAACAGCTTTGCGAGCCAAAACGGCCGCAGTGGCTGCCCACAGCCCGGCTCCGAACAACATCGGCCAGTTGAGGACGATGTGCAGATATCTCGGATGCAAGCCATGTGTCTCCAGGTTCGTGGTCGCGACGTTGTACCGGAGGAGATTGAGAGGCGCTAGGACCCAATGCTTAGACGAAAGCGTTCCTCTGTAATAATAGGTGTCGATCGAAACGAGCACAGTCGAGAGGAGGCCCAAAGCAAGGACGGCAGGTGCACCTCGAGTTGCTGTCCGAACAAGTGTAGAGGATCGCGAGAGCAATTCTCGACATAGTATGGCCAATACCAGCGGAAGGGTAAAGAAGAGGAACGAGATTCGCGTAAACACGCCCAGGGACGTCACCAAGCCATAGGTCGCGTAATGAAGCTTGCTCGGGGGTTGGGTGAGGATGCCGTGGGCGACGAAGCTGGTCAGTGCAAGCAAGATGGCTTCGAGCGAATTCGAGAATGGCCGCACGAGGAAGGCGAATACGATGGGCGAAGTAGCAAACACGAGTGCGGGCGTGTTGGACCGTGCGATCGACTGCAGGCATATGTCTATCCAGTGAAGATTTCGCTCGCTCAGAGTGGCTTTCGTAGTCGGCCGAGACCTTCCTCGCACAGGAGCGAATAACTGACCGATGATGAGGGTGAGCAGGAACAGGAAGAATCTTTGAGTGAGAAAGAGTGCATAACCAGATGGATCTGTGGTTTGGACCTCAACTGGGTCAGTTGCGGCAAAAAAAATCACGCCTCGGGCAGACAGACGAGCTCAGACTGACGCGGACCCAGGACGAGTCGGAGCAGCTGGAAAACGACGCCGGTCGAGGCCGCTACAGGGAAGACGCTTCGGACTGGATCCTGATCGAGCCATTCCCACGTCTTGAGGGGACCTTGGCCCGTGTTGGAGTAGTCAAAGATCCAGGCAGCGGCCAGTTCGGGGTTCTGAAAGTGCTCATCCGGATGGATCACCGACTGCGAGCTCAGCGCGACGAGCAGCCGCAGCACGACGAGCAGCTGCCATCGCCGGTCCTTCAACAGCTGAGCCAGCTTGAGCGTTCTAATGCGCTTCCAAACTCCAGCGGTCGGGCTGATCGTCAGGAAGATTGAAGTCCGTCGTCCGGACAGGTGGGGGCAAGCGCGAGGTCGAGTCGTCGCGACGAATGCGCGTGAGTGCGCGTCGCTCCCCGTCCAGCGGCAAGCTTGAAGCGGCGGTAAGGACCAGGTGGCAGGTTGAGTAGGCCTTCCTGGCTTACCTCTTGACCTCGTTCTACCTCGTTCGTCGAGTTTGATCCCACCATCTGCCACTCCGGGCTTTGTCCATCCCGCGCATCCATGCTGGGAACCATGCTCCCCTTTGAGGCTTTCATCTTGATTGACGACTCGCTCCGCCGCGCCGAGCTCCCGGCACAAGACCGAACTCATCACGTGACTTTGAACTCGGACTTTCTATCGCACGGGAAGAGCCAACCAGAAGCATGCGGAACAACACCGGTTCGTTCTATAACCTTAGCACGTGCACAAGCGGAAACATCACCAAGCCCAGCGGCCCTCAAGAGCCCGAGCGACCCGAAGAAAGGTCGAACAACCACACCACCCAGGACCGAGGATCTCGTGACGGAGCAACACTTGATCACGCTCCTCCAAAAGCTTGGCCCGACCCTCAAACACTTGCACCTCAGGGAACTCGCCTTCACTTCCTTTCGTCGGCGACACCTCACCCAACTCACACCATTGCTTTCAAGCTCGAACTTGCAACTTGAAACTCTAACCGTCATCGGTCGACCCGCAATCGAGAGCCAATTCCAGTTCCACGCGCTCGCATCCATCCTCCTGTGTCTTCCCAACCTATCTACACTCGTCATGCGTCACATCCGAGCATCTACACCAGCCCCAAGTGCAGCCATGGGTAGAATGCCGTCGTTCAAGCTTGTCTCCATCTCCGTTCGAGACTGCCCGTCTTTCATGGCCGAACACTACTATTGGCTCTTCGCCTCGACGATGTACGCCGACTCGCTTTGCGTGCTCGACTTTGAATACCCACATCCTCGTGCAGCTCCTTTGAGGCCAATAGCCTGGCTCGGCTGGCCCGTACGGAGCCTGCGTCTAACCACCTCCGCCAAGGGGGTTATCGAAGGCTTTGCCCATAATCTGCCTTCGCTGGAGAGGCTAGAGATCAATGCCACAGGAGTCGCGGTCGACATCATCGAGCTCTTGGGCAACCTCCAGAAGCCACCGGTCGAATTGGCGGATACCTCAATGGGCGACGAGGACGGATTCGATCCGAGAGTCATGGCCGTTGTGCTCGAAGTGGGGTGGCCACGCACGCAATTCCGCAAGATCTGCATCAGAAGGAGACAAGGGTGGACTCGCTTGGAAGCCGCATGCAAGGCAAAGGCTGTCGAGTTGATCGAGTTGAAATGACAGGACAGGATTCCTTCGCGAGAAATGCTTTGCTCTTGAGGAGGCGGATACACCGCACCGCTCTCCGTATTCCCTCGCCAGCTGCCGAGCTACTCTCTGTCATTGCGCTAGATCGCCCTCATCGTTGGCCACATCTTCCCCCTTCTCTTCCAAGTATCGCATAAGATGGTCTGTACTAGGTTCATAGGCCTATTGGGTTGAACTCTGTGAAGTCAGTTATCCACTTCTGATGGTCCAAGAGTATAAGTGCGTACCCAATGATTGAGAGTCTGCCTAATGCCCTTGGAAATAGTTTCTTCTGCCGGTTCGATCTCATCTGTCAACCAAAGTACGGTCGAATTAGCTCAGCTTCTGGTTAGCTCAAGCTTCCACACCTGAAACACGGCTCACTCGCGCCGGCTTTGTGGTATTTGCCGTAATAGATTCGCCGCCACCTCCCACCTTTCTCGCCCGCCAATCGCTCCCATCGGCCAATCTGACGATCATCATCGGTGCACCGTCGACCACGAAAGAACCGGCAATACCATTGAAACCAACCTCTACAGTCATGTTCGGCTGTGTCGAAACCGTGCGGTAACTCAGCACTTGGACCGAGCGATTCTCAGCAGCCGGCGAGACCCACGTTCGATCCAACCTTGATCTTCCCAGGCTTCGTAACTCTGTCCGACTTTGGTCTTCCATCGGTTCAGGCTTGGTATTGGTGGATCAGGGTGTGTGAGGTGCTAGGAGTTGAGTGTGCGAGAGTGAGTCTCGCGCTGGACTCGGGCTTTGAGCGACACCGCGCAAAGGAGCCTGAACTCACAGTTCCAAGATCGAGACCAGCGTACCATTCTATGGGGGGATGAACAACTTGCGGATAAGGCCAACGGCATATAATCGAAACTCCCAGAACGCGAGGTGTATACCTGCGGGTAGGTCTTTCCAATCATTCTTGTAGAAGCGGCCCGACTTCTTGGACTTGATCGGACGAAAGTAGCCACCACAGAAGGAACCCTGTCGGATAATTTCTCTGCTCGCAACATGGATCAGAGACCGAAGACGGTTAGTTCAGAACCGCGCGCGAAGTGAGATACGAAAAAGCTGGATTGACTCTGGAGAAAGCGTCGGTAGGAAGGTAGGCTGGTCGTCGAAGTGCAAGCAGCTTTCGTCATCACGCCATGGTTCGGGCTCAGCTGCATGTGACATTGTCCCGAGTGCCGTTAGCATTTGCTCAATGTCGGTGGATGGAGTGAGCAGTGGCTTACTGAGCTCATAGTCCCTCTGACCATCGCCAGGCTGAAGCTTCTCGCCGATGTGAGCATGCCTTCCGCCCCCGCTGTGGGCTTTCCCTGAGGTGACCGCACGCGAGGAGGATGCTGCCCCACTTGTCTCCTGATCGGACGATCGCGATCGCTGGTCGCCCGCAGTGGCCCCTTTCCCTTCCCTTCTTAATTTGGTCCGCTCTGGTGATGTCTTCGTGGGTTCGTCTTCATCCTTGACACGCTTTCGCTTCGACGAGCCTTTGAGAGTCGATCCGGTACCACTGCTTTTCGTGGCAGGCCCGCTCTTGGTGGGACGACTCGGAGGATTACGGCTCCGTTGTCCGTTGGAGTCATGCTTGGGCGGCCTCATATCGGGTCCGTCTTGCTTAGAAGGTATATCTGATGTCGAGTTGGACGACTTTAATATCGTGGAATTTCGGAGTGAAGCCCGCCGCGTTCCAGTCGCATCGGATGATGACGTCGTACCGACCGAGCGTCGCGTGCCGGCGTCAGCCATGATCCTCTTTTGCCTGGTTGTTTTTGGGGTGGAGAACAGCGACAAGGCAAGGATTCCCGGTTCGTGTTCATTCGAATGGGTGCTGCAGCTGGTGGTGAGTCGTGTGTATTCTCGAGTTCGCGCGGGCCCAATGGGCGGGGTGCAGGGGCACGGACCGCTTGCCCGGGCTTGCCCAGAATTCGGCCAAGCGGCTGGATAGCCGGATGGTCAGCTCGAAAGTCAGGAAACACTTGCGCGCGCCTGCCCGTGATGGCCGCATGCGCACTGGGCAGGCGGCCCGAACGCCTGCAAAGTCGTGCCAAAATATATATATCCCATTCTGGTCTTGGAAGATTCAATTAGCCGAAAGAACGCTTGCCTCCAAATCCCTGATATTGATGCTGTTTCGGTCTGAGCCCCGGAGGCCGGCTCCGCCGGTGGCCCCACCGCGATATTAGTGCAGGGGGCAAAACAGACAGCTCCTGAAAGGGCATCGTCTAGGTGAGTCGAAGGCTGCTTGACAAGCGAGCCCGTGCTCAAAGAAGCCGAGTGCCGGTACGAAGGGATACTGGACCACCGACCTGGCAGATCACGTGAATGTTTTTTGTTTTTTTTTAGACGCGACACGTTGCTTAGAAATACTGGAGTGTCAATTGGCCGTTGCCCGGTCGCACGCGCCAAGTCGACGGCCGGCCACCTGAGGTCGCCGATTCCATCTCCGAGGGAAAGCTTGCTCGCATGTTCACACGCCCGGCGCCCGCGTCGGCTTGAGCTTTTGAAAAGAGCCTTGCACCGATCGCTCATCTCTCTTCGTCTTTCTTTCTCCCTCTTGCCACATTTCGACTTTCGTCCGTCTCTCCAAACATGTCTTCTGCCCCTAGCACTTTACCCCAGGTCTCGGCTCGTGATACCAAGTCCCACTACGGAGCGTACGTCGTAACCGTGGTGCTCAGCTCGCACTCGATCGTTGCCAATCACTAACTTTTCCTCCATTCGCTCGCAAACAACAGCATCATCTTGGGTGCCGGACTTTCTGGATTAGGTGAGACAATTGAAGCCTTGCACCCAATGTTCATCATAGCTAACCCCTCCTTTCATCCTCAGCCGCCAATATTCAGCTTAAGCGCAAGCTCGGCTTTACCGACGTATTCTGCTATGAAAAATCAGCCGATATCGGTGGAACATGGAACCATAACCGATACCCTGGTGCTGCATGTGGTAGGTCCTTTTGAGCTGGGTTTTTTCGCGTGCAGCCTCCTGGTGTGGGACGTTCATAAATCGAGATTCGGGACGACCGTGTCTCGAGAATTCCGGCTCGTCCCGCCGGCGATGCGATTCACTCGAAGGCCGAGTTTCGGAGAAGAGAATCTCAGCTGACTTGTGTATATGTCACACGGCCCCAAATCTGTGCATACAGATATTCCCCTGTCCCTTTACTCCTTCTCGTTCGCAGCACCGAAGGATGTGTGGACGCAATGGGCCGCCCAGCCTCAAATTCTCGAATGTGAGTTCTGCGAACTGGCTCGTTGACATTCCTAGATGTGTGCCCTCATCGTACTGATCCCACAACCAATCCAATCCTCCCAGACTTGCACTCGGTGCAGAAGAAGTTTGAGGTCAACAACATCGCTTTCCACCACATGGTTCTCGAAGCACGCCACTCTCGCCAGACTGGGTTGTGGACCATCCAAGTCAAGGATCTCAAGACGGGCGAGACCAAGACACGGACGTGCAACATTCTCATTTCGGCCCTCGGCGGTCTTGCGAACCCCAACGACCCCAGTTTCGACGTGCGCGACTTCAACGGAGATGTGTTCCACTCGGCTCAGTGGAATTTTGACGTTTCCCTGAAGAACAAGGACGTCGTCATGGTCGGAAACGGTTGCTCCGCCGCTCAGGTGAGCCTTCCAATCTGCTCGTCTCGTACAGCTTCACACCAACTGATCTATCCTGACCCGTGGATTTTTGAAGATCGTACCCGAAATCGCCGACGAGGTCAAAAGTCTGACTCAGATAGCCCGTTCAAGGCAATCGATCATCCGTCGCCCTCTCGCACCCGACAATACCCTCGTCCATTGGGCCAAGAAGTACATTCCCGGGTTCGCTTGGGTCTTGCGAACCATCATCTTCCTCATCATGGAGCGCATGTTCAGGGTCTCGGATGTGAAGCGCGGCGCCAAGGATCGCGACTACTTGCTCAAGGACACCAAGAAGTACATTCGTGAAGTCGCCCCCGAGAAGTACTGGGACGCCCTCGAACGTGAGTCGCCTTGATCTGAGTTCTCGTACCAGCGTCTTATTGGAGTAGAGCTGACCCAAGCCCCTCCTTTGCTTCCACAGCCGATTTCGATATCGCCGCTAAGCGTCGAGTATTCGACTCAGGTTACTACGCCGCACTCAACAACCCCAAGGTTGACCTTGTGCAGGACGATGCGCTCGAAAGCGTCAAGGGCGACACGGTTACGACCAAGAACGGCCGTAAATTCAAAGCCGACGTCATCGTGCTCTGCACGGGCTTTAAGGTCCACGATTATCTTTTCCCTGTCAAGATCTATAACTCTGAGGGTGTGTCGCTGCAAGACCGCTTGCGCGACAACAAGGTCTCGGTCTACCAGGGAACCTGTGTTGCCGACTTCCCCAATTTGTTCTGGCTCATGGGCCCCAACACCGCCACGGGTCACAGTTCGGTCATCTTCACCTCCGAGGCTCAGATCACGTATGTTCTTCTTGCTATGTGCCGTGGCTGTCCCCTCCAGAGTATAGCAATCGAGACTAAACCGCCGGCGTTTCGTGCCTGTAGCATGATGCGAAAACTCATCAAGCCCATCCTGTCGCAACTGAAGCCAAGCACGAACGGCGAGCCTGCGCCGACGGTCGAGGTCACGCCCGCAGCTCAGGAACAGTACAGTAAGAAGATTCGTAACGAGATGAAGAAGAAGGTCAGTTGAGCAGACTTTCCATATGCGTCAGAAAGTGGTCCAGCGACTTACGAACCGGTTTCTCCGTGCTCATCCGAAACAGGTCTGGGAGAAGGACGGTGGCGTGTCGTGGTATGTCAACAAAGACACCGGCTTGTGCACGGCGCTGTACCCTTTCTCGCAGATCCACTTCTGGTGGAACGCTTCCTTCCCGAAGAGAGTCGATTTCAAGTACATTGGAGCATGAACCTGCGAATCCTGTCCCCATTCAGAGCGCTGTCCCGATCGATAGAAGCTTGTTTTGCCACCAGTTGTATACCGCCTGTCTGTGATATCACATGCTACTCCGCGTTCGTTTCAATGAGGCCCACATCAAATAATGCTGCCCTCTCCGAAAGCTTTGTTGTGTCATTTGTATAAGAGTTATGCAGTCTGATCCTTGGTACAACAACAAGCCGGAGCCCAATCTATATGCACAATTTCAAAACAGACGACGCTTGGCGTGCACGTACCAACGCCACCAGGGCATGCCGTAAGTTATGGCAACCCTTATGCCTTCTTTACCTCCCATCGTAATCAAATCCTCTTCCCGCTCAGGCCTCCGGCTCCTCACAATACTCTCCTCGATGAGTTCGGGCATACCCAATAAGTCACTTGGAAGAGGAGGAGGTAAAGGAAATCTTGCATCGACGACGTTGTCGAACCCGGAGCCAGAATATCCTTGGAGCCCAAAACGGATGCCTCGCTCTAGTATGGGCAGTCAAAGGGATTATGCAGCAATCAACGACGGCACCACCTTTTGCCGACAAGAACTGCACGAGGGGACCCACTGCGCAGATAACTGATCTCTTCCGTCGTGAGGTGTCCCGGCATCGTAGATAGGCCCTCCTCTTGGAAAAAGATTGCGCGATCGGGCTGGAATGTCCGAAGACCTCCGTGGTATGGCACGAGGCGTTGGTTGAGGTCGTCGGCTTCCCGCAGCGGGGGGCTGAGGTCGGGATGTAGGGCGTTGAAGCGTTGGATGAAGTCTTGTCGCATGAGATGCATCCCTGCAATGCACATGAACATGTCTACCCTCAAGTCAGTCAAAGTTGACGGAAACGGGGTGGCACGTGCAAACAGGTGTACCTGTGTATATATGCTCTGAGCCGTCGCATGTTGCTAGGTCTAGAGTGTATTGCAGGGAAACGAGACTGAGACTGAATGAAGACCGCTCTCGAAATTAGGGTACGTATAGGATGAATGCGCCCGGCCTACTAGGTTACGACGCCTCAGCGCCGGGTGGAACGGCTCTCCTTTCCCCGAGGTCTTTTCCCCGAGGTGCGGGACAGAATACCACAAGACGATCATGTCAAGAGCGCCAGTAGACCGGCGACGAAGCCGAGGGCGCCGGTACCCACTGCCTTGTCGGCAGACGAAGCAGCTCGCGTCGATGTGGCAGCTGAAGAGGAAGAGAAGACGAGAAGATGCTTTGTGAGCGTACTGTGGCATCATATGTAGCTTATGGTGGGTACAGTGAGCTTACCAGCTGCGGCACTGGTGATGACCTGTGGTCGTGGCGAGCAGCGACAGATATGAGGAGAAGGGCACGGGTTAGCATTGATGGGTGCGTAGGAGCATCTCGCCATCTTCCCCAACACCGAGTTCGGTCACCTCTCAACTTACCGAAGCGACGGCAGTAGTAGACACTGCAGTGGAAGTAGCCACGGAAACGGCAGAGGAAGTGGCCGCCGAGGCGGCACTCGAAGCGACACTCGAAGCGGCACTCGAGGCGGCACTCGAGGCGGCCGCCGAAGTCGCAGCGGCGGTGGCGCTGGCCGCTGATGTTTCAGTCTTGGATGCCGCAGCTGTGGAAGAGGCCACAGTGGAGGAAGCCAAGGCGGATGATATCGCTGCTTGATCGACGATGACACCGGCGCTAGCGCACGACATGAGTCCGATGCTCGACGCAGTCTCGGTTTCGGTCAAGTTGGCGCATTTGTCCTTGAAGCATCGCGCCGTCGCAACTTGGTACTTGAAGTCTTGGCACAAGCACTTGATGTCGCTGGACTAAAAGAGAAGAACAGTTTCCGGAAAGAAATGGCATCAGTCATCAAAGCGGAAGAATCGGGACGAGCGGGGCAGATCCTTACCCCACATGTGGTGCCCGAAGCGGTGAGCGAAGAGGCGTAGCAGGGCATCAAACACGCAGGGGTCTGCAGGGGGTGAGTGGTGTAGGGTGCAGATGATGTGGTTGTTTTCAGCTGTTTGATATACGGAAAGCTGGGATTAAGCCGCCAGATGGGTCGACGATGGATGGCTTACAGCGTATTGGGCGGTGACGAGCGCGACGGTCGAAGCGAGAATTGCAGCAGTGCCGAGACGAACCATGACTGAAGTGCAGTGGCGGTGGGTTGGACGGGAAAGAGTGCTGTAAGGATGTGGTAGCGGTGAGGGAGATGAGATTGATGCGATCGAGGGATGGAGGTAGCGATGAGAGAGAGAGAGAACGATCCCGAAACGTCGGCGAGGTTTGCAGACGCGGTCGCGCTGGCGCGAAAAAGAGGAGCCCAGCACCTGCTGGATTGGGCCAAAGGCTGCGAGCGATGCCAAGCAGTACCTCGGCAGTGCCACTCTGGGGCGCGCGCTTTGTAGAAGAGCTGCCATTGCGCTGAAGCTTCCTAATCGATCCTTTTAATGGGCAATCCTTCATCGTTTTTGGACGATCCTCGGCCGTCGACAAAAGCAAGACAAGGAATCGGTCACAACTCGCCCCTGTCTTCAACGACTCGGATCCCGCCTCAGCGGGCCAACGCAAACTCGTGGAATGGAGACCGAAGTCGCTTCCATAACGCATTCTCTCATTTCCATCGCAGATCCAATGACGCTTCCATTGCAAGCCCGATTTATCTGTAGAACTTGCAGCGGGTAAGGGGCGCCGCAGCTCAGCAGTGCGACCAATCACTGCCACGGTCGACCAAATCGCTTGCCCATGCAAAGCGGACCGCTGCGGTGAGGCCGCGCCCGCTTCCTGTTTAGGGAGGGATTTGTTCCAATTGGCCGACTCAACAGCTGAGGCCAACTCGATCCACGGCAGCAGGCGCCAAGTGGTCCTTAGCAATGTGTCTGGTCAATCAGGAGCAATTACACTATATTAGATCTTTGCGAAAAGCTGTGTTGTGCTGCACTGCTGTTCCTTATCTTGCACAGGAGCCCCGCCGGCGACTGGACCGGCTGGCTGGCTGAGGCAATTCGTCGGCGTCCTCCGAGGCATCCGCCGGCGGCCGGGCGTGGAATCTAAATCTGGATTCAGAGACGGACTGGAGCTGTCGCATTGTCTACATTCTAAAATTTGCCCAAGAGATATTTACACGGGCTGGTTACCCGCACATTCGCTGTACCTGCCGGAGCTCGTCGGCTAGTGTACCTATCAGTGCACTGCCCCGGGCTCCCAGCCCTTCACTGTGAGCCGAAGTCGAGCGAAGCCGACAGCGACGCCGACTGGGCTTGGCAACGCCAACGGCCTAAACTTTGTGCGTGTCCAAGCCTCTGGTCTGGGGAGCCCGTTTAGCCCAAAGATAAGAGGAAGTGCAAAGATCTTCACAAAGTCCTAGGAGTGCCGAAGCCCCTGTCATGCTTTTGGATCCCGCTTAGGCTCAAGCAGGGCCTACCCCACAATTGAAGCTATCCACACCTTTGCGCAGAGAAGAAAATGTAACCATTATCATCGCTTCAAATGCGACACCTCTACCTCTGCCAAGGCCACGGCTGCTCTGCCCACAAAGAACGTGTCGGGCGGAGCGATTCTAAGCTACGTCATTGGCACCTTCTAGCGCTCGCACTCCGGAACGTCGGACGCGGGGGGCCCCACATGACTTTTGAAGGCGAGCACTTGGTCAGTAACTTAAATGTAATGCTGTATAGGACCATGTCCTGCAATTGCGAGCCATATCAAGTCCCGGTCACGGCACGTGAACGAGACTGCACACGTCGCAGGGTTTGGGCTGTCTGAAATTAGCTTCGAAGCTGGGCAAACGCGATTCAACTGGATGGCGATACATTGCATGATCACGAATTTTACTCGCTCCCACTTTCCGCAACATGATACAAATATTCAAAGCCCCAGACCCTAGGCCGTGTCGCAACGTCCGTGTTGAAAAACCCGATCCAGCTCGACTCCCCATTTCGAGACGGTGGAGGAACTGGCACCCGTCTAGGCGAGGAGAGCGACGAGACCGGCAGCAAAGCCGAGCACGCCGGTGACAGCGACCTTATCGGCGGATGAGGCGGCCTTCGAAGTGGCAGCTGCAGGTTGTTCCGTCACGCCAAGGTGGTCAGCGTCAGCAGGCCGAAAGCAATTTTGAGGCTAGGAACCGCAGAACGTACCGGCAGCGGCACTCGTGACGGCCTGTGGGTTCAAGTAAACGGCACGCAGAACAAGGCTACATCAGCACCTCTACAAAAACGATGAAGCAAGGTCCGAAGGAAACCAACGTACGGCGGCAGCGGAGGTGGCCGAGGCCTGGACCGACGAAGCAGCCGCGGCAGCGGAAGTGGCGGCCGAAGCGGCTGAAGAAGCGGGGGCAGCGGCAGAAGAAGCGGGGGCAGCGGTCGACGACGCAGCTGCAGCCGAAGCACTTCCGGTTCCTGCAGCGAGGGCGGCGGAGATGGCACCCTGATCGATGGTAACGCCGACGGCAGAGCAAGACGAGGTTCCAAAGCCCTCGGCGGCGGGAAGGTCACTAGCGGGACAGCTGCTCATGAAGCACTTGACGGTAGCGATTTGGAAATTGGTATCCTTGCACAAGCAAGAAATGTCGGTGATCTGCATGGATTGACGCACACCATGTAAGCAATCAACAGGGATCCGTTTCGTGGCGGGTCGCTACTCGAGTCCGGACCGCGAGTGGCGCATAAGACTGTTTCGTGTATGCTTACAGTGCAGGCAGAGCCCGAAGCCGAGACGGAAGAGGAGAAGCAGGGGAGGACGCAAGAAGGAAGCTGTAGGTAACACAGGCCAAAGGACGCGTGCAAGCTGTCAGTCAACACTGGAGATGGGGGCTGGTGAGGGCGGTCACAAGCCCGGCGTCCGGGGCTCCTCGACCGCCGGCCAGGCTCGAGGTTGACCCAAAACGCCACCATCGAGAGGGCCCAGAACTCACGGCGGCCGACTGAGCAGAGACTAAAGCACCGGCCGAGGCCAAGATAATAGCGGCGGCGAAGCGGACCATGGTAGTGAGTGCTTAATGTACTGGGTTGAAAGAGAGAAGCGGTATGAAAGGAGCGGGAGCAAGGAGCGGGGTTGTGGGAGGGAGGTGAAAAGGATCCGAGTGTGGAGCATTTTGAAGCGTGTGGGGGCCGAAATTCTCCGAAACGCCCCGTAATTGGACAAAAAAGGCAAAAACCCTGGGCCGAAGCATGTTCCCGTTTGGAGCCAAATCTGCCATCCACAGTCTGCGCGAATGTTCACGTGTCTCCCCGTTCTTGGCGGCCATTGTTGGTGGCCCCGGCTGGCCAATTTTCTTTCTGACCCACCGGGGCCCGCCCTTCCGCTACTAGCGCCGCAACACTCTCGGCACGCGGTCGCCTTGCGCCCCGACCAGCTCCTCCGGCACCCGGGTGGCCCCTGGACCGGGCCAAATTTGCACATGTCTCTTGACTCTTGAGACAGGGTTGTAAGTACCGACCTACCCACAGTTTTCTGTTCACACCCCACAAAGGACCTTCTCCAATGTTGTATCACTCCCCTCTATAGTACGGAATGCCCAGTGCCAGAAATTTCTAAAAGGCACCAGCCTGAGCACTTCGGTCCCTTCGGTCAAGGCTTGCCCACTCGCGGCGCGTCGCTCGCTCGCACATGGGCGCACAGACAAAAACTGGGCGTGCCTCAGAAGCGATCGGGGGCCATCGATGGCGGCTAGAACCGAGAATCTGGGCCTTGATTACTTGCACATTGCCTTCCCTCCTTCGTCCAGGATCACGCTACGTGGGGCACCACCGTCGCACATCAGAATCGGTGGTGCAGCGAGGCTTAGTCCAGGGTTGCCGGTCCAGCATCTCGATGTCGAGGGTGATTCATGCGAAGTACCTACTAGCATTCTCATTGCAGCGCATCTTCTTGCAATCACGGCACGCAAGGGGCAGTGGCAGCCTCACTCCGTTCGGTCATCAAAGTTCGTCTTTGCGAAGGTGTAGATCTTGCTCGAAGTGTTGGCCGTGCGAGCTTCGGACGTCATGCTATGCACACTACCGGCTTTCTCAAAGACCCACCGGAACCATTCGGGGAAGAAGCGAAGGCCAGGCAGTAGCGACGCGTAGTGGGGGAGAACGAGATGCTCCGAGAGGCCCGACTCGATGGTGGTCGTCATTTTGTCTGCGAGCCACTTGGGTGAGATTGTCGGGAAGAGGCTGTGTGTGAAGTGAGTAACACAAAGAGTGTGCCAGCAGTCCATAAATGAGCCGAGTGTTCTGATGGTCTGGCACCACGTGTCGTTGACTCACAACTGCAGCGACTTGTCCTCCAAGAACTCGCCAAGAGGTGTCGCGACTTTGGTCGGGCAGACGATCGAGACGCGCACTTTGGGTGCCTTGTACCGATGAACCAGCTCGGCCCGTGTTGTCTCGTGAAGAGCGAGGACTGCCGCTTTCGAGCACGAGTATGCAGCGGATTCACACACACTCGCGTACGCCGCGGAGGAGGCGGTCGTCAGGACGTGGCCGTGGTTGATTGCGATCAGGTGGGGCAGGAACTCGCGCAAGATATTATGAGCACCCATTACGTTGACAGCAAACACCTTCTTCATTGAGGCCGGTGTCACCTTGAGAAGAGGGGCTACATGGATGATGCCAGCGTTATTGACCTGTACGGGCAAGATCGTGGTCAGCAACTCAGCCACAGCGAGCTCAGAAGCCGGCTCAAGAAGATCCGACAAAGTTTTATGTCAGCTTACAATGATGGTAGGGTGGCCCACTTCGGCCCGAACCTTTTGAGCGGCCACAGCGATCGCTTCAGGGTCCGTAATGTCGACCTTGAAGAAGTGGACTCCCGACGCGGCGTTGTACGTCGGTTCGGCCATGTCGAAGACGACAATCTTATTGGTCTTTTTGACGAGCAGTTCGACGACTTCTTTGCCAATTCCTGTCGATCCGCCGGTGATCAGAACCACGTCCCCCTTTCCCTGTATTAGAGGTGAAAGACGCCCCGACAGATTTTCCCGGCACGGTCAGTCATCGGCCCCTTCGAACTCTTTCGTCGAGGAGGGCCGCCACTTCGCCCACGCACCTTGACTCGACTCCACCGTGGAGGATCCGCGGCATAATAGCCATTATTCCTCGCCATACGACCCAGGAATCTATTTGCGGACTTGATGACGACGAACGTGAGGAACCATCTGAGCCATCGCGTCGATCGGATGTGGTCCAAGAATTGAAGCTGGGGTCCGAGAACTTGGCGCTGACGATGGAACGACACCAGCGCGATCAAAGCCGCGACCGGGAGCGAAAAGGGTACCTTATCGAGTTGGATAGTAATGCTGTTGCATAGGGGAGTAGAAGAACAGCGTCAAAGATGTTTCGGTCGGGCTGCGTTCGGTTGTCTATGGCGACCTGTCGCGCAACATGTGGGGGCAGCCTCGACCTCGTGGGCGACGGTGTTCTGGGGGCCGATACTTCACTCACTCGTCAACGGCGAGAGATTTGGCTGTTCTCATAGCTGTCATGATGAAACGACGCCGAATAGTGCAGATGATTGAAAAGGCGAGCTTGAGCCAACGAGGAGGGCAATGGGACTGTGTGATTGCCGGCAGGACGCCGAGCTCAAGCACGTAGGCGAGCGTAGGCGGGCACGAGTCGGCTCTCTATCTCGTCATGAGGGAGATGCCTCGGTGCGGTTCCTTGTTCAAGCTGGCGGCGATATTTCTTAGTAGTGTAATACCGATGCTACCCGTACGAGAAAGCTCTAAAACTCTAGCTCTAAAGACAAAAAATAAATGGAATGCAATAGCCAAATCGAAGAACGTGATACCTCTGATATGGGGATGGCGACAGAGCCGGCGCTTTATTGCTAGCGATGACTTGAATCCCCATAGTATGGCTAATGCTCCATCTTGTAGGCCCGGAAGCTAATCAGCAACGCCAGGTCGTCTGTTGGTGCCGATAAAGTCGCCGGATTGCTGTCAGAAGCCCCTCTTCGGCCGAGTCAAATCGGAAGGCCACCAGTACTTACATAGGATTTTGAGGCCTCCGCAAAGGACGAAGCTCCAACGCAAACCTTGCGCTCCTCGAGCAGCCAAATGACCCGACACAGTCGGGCCCGGGGCCGAGGCAAGCGTCTTGCAAACATTGATGACTGCGGGGTGTAAATTTTGCCAAAACAGGTCAAAAGTACGGGAGAGCCGGTAAGCCTCTCATTTTCTTGGAATCGATGACGACCGCGGCAAGACCGAGACTCACTGCCCAGGAATCGAGTGCGGGAATCCTTGGGAATGATGGCTGATAAGAAAGCACCACGAACACCAGCATCCATTGAGGCAGTTGCTGCTCTACCCAAGAAGATCACGATCGCGCCTTGAAGCGTTGGCGCGAAGGCAAGTGCAATCGTCAAGATCTGCGCAGGAACTGGGGTCGACAAGGCGACACGGGTTAGTGAATGCCGCGCTGGTACGGGAAATGTATCCCTTGATCTGAGCTGGACTCCGAGCTTACTGTGTGTTCCTACCATGGTCAAGATGATTCCCAGTCGTCGAGCGATCGACCCTGCAGCGAGCTGGGAGAAGCCAGCGATCATGGAGCCTGCCGAAAATGTCGAAGTGATTGTCGACAATGGCGCGTCGTAGGCCAACCTGAGGTAGTACGAGGTGAATGAAAGTGGAGCCAAGGAGGAAGCGAAAGAGTCGACGGAGAAGAGGATCGAGAGCAACGCAAGTCGAACAATCAGAAGTCGGCCTTTGGCCTCGGCTTGCGGGGGTGAGTCAAGAACTGCCGCCACGGCCGAAGGGGAAGCTTGCTCGCTGAGGAGGGGCTGCCTCTCCGGGTCTGTGGCGCCATCCCCGGCGACTCTCGTGATCGTTGATGTGACGGCCGAGGTGCTTGATCGGGCGGTGATAGGGGGGTGGTCCACCTCGGTATAGGACGTCAGCGCGAGGGAGAGCAAAATCTTGAGCAACGCCGTTGCCGTATAGAGGTAGAAGACCGCACGGTATGCCGTCACGAGCGACCTTCCGGATCGCTCGAGGGATGTCACCAACGCTCCTGAGCACACGCTACCAACAGAGGTGCCGACAAAGCCCAAGAACTGTAGTAGAAGCACAGCGGCAGCGACGGTCAATACAGTTGGCGCAGGTTTGTCTCCCACAAGTACTTTAATAAGCGACAATCATTCGGGGTGTTTGGGCGCACCTGGTACCACATCAACACGTAGACCCGGGCTTCTGGTTCGACGAGTTGTGACAACATGCCTGTCTCGACCGCAGAGAAGGGTCCGACCTCATTGCCCGTGGCTGCGAGCCAAAGTTGGGCCCCACGTGCCGTCCGACGGAGGAGAGGCGACGGTGTCAGCTTGGAAGGACCTTGCGAGGAGCAGACAAAGACAGCGGGCGTAGGAGGTGCTTACGCGATATGATTCCAATAATGGCAGCGAGGAGCAGAGGCACGTACGAACCGGAGTAGTGAAATATCACACCGCTGGCGGCCATCAAGAAGGCGCCGAGCGCGAGCACCCGCCTCCGACCCAGCGTATCGGCGGTCCACGTCACGACGAGCGACAAGAGCACATCCCCCAATAGCGTCAAAGAGAGGAAAGATCCGACCCGTGTATCAGACAATCCGATTAGTCGCAGGTGTAGCACCAGGATGGGGGACACGGCCCCAAAGGCGAGCATGCGCACGAAGCGCGAGGCGAACAGGAGCAGTACGTCGCGCACCGAATGCGACGAACTGACCTGGCGCAGACCAAACTCGTCGACGAGAGATCTCATCTTGTGTTGTGTAGCATCGTACGTCACCAACGAGCGAAGCGGGTGTGGGGCGGGGCTAGGCAGCTAGAGTCCACGGTGGGCATGAACTATCTAGCTGTCGGCTGAAGTCGGTCCGAGCGAGGGCCTATTTGAAATTCCGAGAGCGACGCGCTGCCGACGAAGCTTCCGACATTCGGAGGTGGCTGCAACGATCACAAGGAACGTCGATGCCTATCTGAGAATATACTGCAGTGTGTCACGGAAAGTGAGCCACGCATACACTGTGCTTGCTGATCCGAGGTCCATGGTTGCGAAAACTCGGCCATTGCAAAAGCGGGAACTCGAGAGCATCATTGTAAGGAAATAGAGAAAGATCGAAAAAAAAGACATCACTGTCCAGACCGCACCTGTTGGACCCCTCCAAAGACCTGATCATGAGACTCAACCGGCCTTGAACAGCAGCTGTTGTTCCGGGAAGAGAAAATGGTCAGGTTCCTACGATTGGTCTGAGCGTGGAGTGGACGAGCCTAGCCGAAGCAAGGGACTTACGATGGCGATCGACCCCAGGTAGAAATAGACAAAGTGACCCGACTCCTATCGAGACCAAATTAGGAACGGTAGGGTCAGCTCGGCACCACCAAGGCGACAATGCCTGCCTGATCGACGCTTGGGGCGTTCGAATGGGTCAACTCACATGAGTGCAGAACGATCCGAACGACTTGCCGACGACGACGTGCCAGGTCGGGCCATATCGCTTGTCGAAATCCCGCTTGATATAAGCCGCGATCTACAAGAAGAGTGGATCCAGGGACGTGGTTCGCCATCAGTCCGTCTACCTCGATCGCGAAACGACATCCAAAACGATAGCGAGACAAACGCCGGAGGGCCGTGGCTGTTCAGGGCGAGGACAGAGGTCGACCTACATCCTTTTCAATCTCGTGCTTCTCCAATGCATCGATTGCGGTTTGAATGGCGACTTTCTGCATCTGATGGGCGTGCAGAAGGTCCAATCAGTAAGCTGGCGACGGTGCTTGCCCCGGGGCGCGTACGAGCGAGAGGGGAACTGACCTCGTCCGACATGTCGGCAGACTTGATCGTCGCCTACGAGATGAGTAGACAGAATGAGATAAGACCGGGTCAGGTTTTCCGCATCGTTGGTGGGTAAGTGTCTCGCCAGCGAGCCGTAACGAGACGAGCCAGCAGCGTCAGGTTGAGCCAACACGACGACGTGACGCTGACGCGACGCGAGGAGAGAAGCCCCGCCCGGAATCGCCGCGAAGAGGCCTTGTCACGAATCGATAGAGGGTATCGTCACGAACCTGAGTTGGTGTGTTCTTCTCGTCGGCCATGGCGTCGGTCTTGAACAGTCGGTGTTGCAGATGGATAGGCTCGATTTCGCCCCGGCCACGGGCGGCGACGACTGAAATTGCGCTGGGCTGGGCTGCCAGCAGGCTGGGCTGCCAGCAGGCTGGGCTGCGCTTTGACCTCTATAAGCGTGAGAGCCACATGCACCCGACGTCTCGCCGATCGAATCACCGTCGGAAGTCATCACGCCGGCCAAGGACTGTCGAAAGCTCGCTCCATCCTGGCTGGCCATATCAGTCCAATGTCAGACAAATTGATGAATGTGTCCATTTGCGGGAGGAAGTCTAGTAAGCATCACGATGCGAACAAGCAAAGGCACTAGGCAGGCGGCAGCGGCGGAAAGTAGAAAAATCCGTGCTACTGGTTGAGCGATCAAAACAATAACGGCACAAACAAGATAAGAAAGGGAGGGAGAGGGAGACGCAACGGAGACCGATATAGAACGACACAGAGTGATTGATAGTGGCACAGATGAACAGGTGTCGGGGTCGGTGATAGCAATAAGCAACGGCCGGGCGCTTATCCCCGGATCCAACTCGGAGATTGGCGGGACGGGTGCGGAGAAATTCCACTGCACACCGCCACGAATCACTCGGGAAGCGCCGGCAGCTGATGCAGCGGAGGGATGTACATCGGGATCCCCTGGTTCGCCAAGTGTCTGGATAAATTGGTGAGGACTCCTGCTCGAACGACATCACGAGAGCGCGTCAGCTGGCACAAGCATGCAGGCCCGGCCGGCCTACCGACACCGCGCAGGGCTCACTATCTGCTGGCCTCCCCGGATAATCACGCCAGTCAACAACGTCGAAGGCGTCAGAGACGACCGATGCCAGCTTGGGCGATGAAGGACGTTGTCTGGAGCATTGAGCACAGGCGCACATGACGATCAGCCTCTCCTTTCCTCGAATCAACACGCGCACCGAAACCTCCGACGACTCACATCTTGCCCAATCGAAACTCGAGCTTGTACGTGCCCTTCCCCCGCACGGCTAGGTCTTCAAACACAAAGTAGTTCCCTAAATCGCCGTCGAGATTGGTCGCACGCTGACTGTTGCTGACCAGATTTCCGACAAGAGCGCTGAACTCGGGCTCGATTTGAGGCGAGAATACAGCGGAAGAGGTTGAGGGAATTGGCGGCGGAGCGGTGTCGAAAGGAGTCGAGGCTTGGGCCGAGTCGATGGGCGAGGTCCCGTCTTTCGCCTTGAGTGCACACGAGCAGAACAGGTAGGGAAATTCCCGATCTCTGTTTGAAGTAAGGCCAAATCCATGGTCGAGACCTTAGCATAGTATTGGAGAACGCAGTATACATCACGCAGAGGGAACAATGACTCCTTGCCGAAGACGAGTTGGGAGTACTGACATGGGTCGTCCTCGGGTGTCTTTGGCCAAGACTTGTACTACAGGTGCGGGTACCACGGGAAGCTGACAGTGATGAAGGGAACCAAAAATGGGGTATCATGCGCGTCAACATACGCAATCCCATGTTTAGGAAGACGAGGCGTGGTCAGCTCTCTCGAACGCGAACGAGGCCGAAGTGCGCCGAAAAAGGAGAAGGGAGAAGGCGCCTGAAGATTGCTAAGCGGCGCAACTCACCCGCCCAAGCGTCATCTTGCCGAATCCAGCCTCGGCGCCGACCCCCGGTTGCTGAATAATCTTGAGCTCAAAAGATCTAAAGGCGAGGTGGTACGACGCGAGGTCAGCTCGCGGTCGTCGAAAGGAGGGTCGTCGGGGACGGCTCGGGGATGGGGGAAGCGCTAGACAACGTTCGGTGCTCCGCTCTAGATTCGCCTCGATCCTCGCCCGCCCGACCGCCTTCCCCTATTCGAACCGACACCGTCGGGATAGGAAATGGCAACACGGTACCGTAAAATGGGCACCAACTCACTCTTCGACGTTGGCTAGCGGGGATGGTACGTTGAGTAACCCCTCCTGCCAAGCCGATTGTACCGAGGCTGCCTCGGCGAGAACGGCGAGCGGAGCAACGGCGGGGCGGCTGTCGTCTAGTCGGGGCGGTGATGACCCGTCGGTTCCATGAACGCTAGCTGCTACTTGCGGCGATATAGGCCCCTTCATATTACTGTCCCCACTCGCATCGGTTTCTGTCGTTGTAGATGGTGTGGCTTCATCAGGTGTTAAGGTTGGCGGTGGAGTCGGGGGCGGCACGGAAGGTGGTCTCGCAAGCTCGCGAGTGGTGATGTCCGGAGATGAGACCACGGCGTCGGTGTCGGTGTCGGTGCTAGTGCTTCTCGGCTCGTGGAAGCGTTCAGTCATGGTCGCAAAGGTCACCAGGAGATACCAGAGCCGATTCGAGGCCCAGAGAAGCTTGTGCAGCTACAAGTCAACAGGACAGCTGTACATGAAGGAGCGGGATCAGAACATCATCAGCGTTGCGAGATTGGAAAGGCGCGTGGTGAGACAGGTCGCGGGGTCGGGTCGAAACGACCTCGCTAATACGTCCAAGCGAGGTCAGCAGGTGCTTTCCAAAAAGCGACGCGATTTGGAAACGAGTATCCCACAGGAGCGCTTAGCGTGGTGCAGCCCGCTCCTGTCTTACTCGCGTGGCCGCTCAAGACAGGAGACTGTCCGAGAGCGCTGACGCCGCCAGCCGGCCAACGGCCGGCGTCCTCTCCGTGGGACCCGATCCGATCGATCGCGGTTTAGGGCGCTTTAGAACGGGTCCGAGCGAAATATGTGCTTCCGAGAATGGAGAGCGAAAGCCAGGAAGGATGCACTCGTTAAATCTGACAGCCGGATCGAGGAAGTTGGATTTCTGAGAGCTGAGTGACCTTGTGATCGAAATTAAGGAGCGCCTCAGGATAAGTACCTTCACGTGCGACGCGCGATGTCCGTGTTCCTGTTCACAGCCCAGGAGCGTCTTACTATGAGCTGACATTCCCAAAAAAGCAATGGTGAGTGAGACGCGTCCAAGTGAGACGCGTCCACAGGCGGTCTTCATCGCCAGCGACTCCTTGGACGTACGCTGAAAACTCGTCACTCGCTCAATTAGCAGAGTGCGCTGAGCCGACACTGAAACCAGAATTCTCTGCGCACCACTCTGTCAGCACTCGGATGTGATGTACACGGGCTTCTGATTTTTAATCTTGTTCCAAGAGGGCGACAAAGCCGAAAGTAGGATCTCGACTCCGCTTGCCAGGGGCCTCGCTCCACTGTCGTCTAAGGAGGGCAGGCGTCGGGCCGCGTCTCGCGTTGGCCGTGCTCGAGTCACCGTGCCGTGACCGTGAGAATCCTCCTAGCGCTCGAGTCGGGCTGAGACGAGGGTCTTGAGTGCGTAGAGTTGTCGGACTACCTGCCACCTGAGGTTCCGAGAGAGCTGACGTGGGTGAGCAGATGGTGCAGAGCGTATTGGGTGGTGCGAACCAAACAGACGGTTTGCGTGCGAGGGGCTGAAATGGATAGGTACTGGTGCGAAGAGAGCTGTACCACACGCTATCAGGCAACGCGAGGAAAAAACCAAAAAAGGTCCGAAGTCCGATACGGTTGCGAGGAACGTCTTTGCCGGCGCCCGCTGCGCTGTCTTTGATCCGAGGGCAAATCAGATCTGTGCTGGGTTCAACTGAGAGCAGTAGGTCAAGTCGAGCCCACGTCTCGGCATTTTGAAATACGTGGGTCCCAGTCAACAAGACAGGCACCGCCTCGAACGCACAAACGTGAAACAATGCGCTCTTCGACGACTGAGCGGGTCGGCCGGCGGGCACGCCGACTTTCAAGTCGATCGATTCGAACGCGGGCAGAACTTTGCAAGTTGGCTACGATTGCGGACGTCCCGTAGTCGCTTTGAACTTTGGTGCATCGGCATCTCCGGACAATCCACCTGTACTGGCTTCATAACTTTAATTGTTGTCACTGGGACCACTCATTTGTACTGCTTTCGTGCAGGGCGGCATTGAGCTGGAGCACGATCTCCGACTGAGGTGACGTCTTCCCTCGGACTCTTTTGCGACGTCGATGTGTACCTGATCGCCGGCCGGCGGCAGCGCGCTTCGATGGGCCGCGTTCTCTAGGGGCCAACGCCTCACGTACAGCAGAGTCTTTACATTAAAACCATGTTTCAAACGGTGAAGAACATGCGTATTCAAGGAAAAGGCACCGTGGAAGTACCTACAGCCCTTGGAATGTTGAGTCGTTGAGGACGACCTTCTGTGGCGATCACCTTCCGACGGAACACGGATCTTCGGGGAATGTCTCAGATCTTGTGTCTGCGAGGGCAACCCCGGGGGGGGGGGGGGGGGGGGCGCTCGACTGCGGCAGGCAATGGAGTCTGGACGCCTTCAAGCTGCCCAGGGCGAGCTCGACTTGCGCCTAGCGAAAACGACGCTAGCACCAGTTCATTTTGAGCTCATCAACGAAACGAAGCTAAGGAAGCTACTGCTGACCTAATCCAGCAAGTCGTTCCTTGGCTAAACAGGAGTCCTTGCGACGCGCTCACTGCTCCGAGTCGATGCTTCTCCCTCTTTCACATCCCAGGCGACCCGTCAGGCCGTCGGGCTCGAGGATGGGAACTGGGGTCACCGGTGGGCAGACGCAACCTTCTGAGAAGGGTGTCTTTGTGCATCGACCGTGCCTGAGTGATGTCAAAATTGCCCGGAAGCGAAACGTTCGACGTAGCGAAGCGAGAGCCCGCCCGCCCGATGCCGAGGCGCGTGCGCCAGCGGGCCTTGTGTTGGAAAAAGAAAAGGTGCCGCGCGGGCAACGGATGATCCGGTTCAAGAGTCAGGCACATCCTCTCCCCTCCCCTCCCTCTCAATGCGCGCCGAGTCCATGTTTGGTCGGGTCCCTTTCGACTCGTGGAATCGCTCGGGGCATGCAATGCAAAGATCGCCAGCTATTGAACGATTCCATTAATTGGGTCGCGAAAAGCTTCAGCTTACAAGTTGGTTGAGATCTCGGGTGTTCGTCGGTTGGATTGTTTCCTGAGCAGCGATCCTGCTCGTGTTAGGTTTGTATAGGGACACCAGCTTGCCAGTCTCTAAAAACATTTGTCCGAGCTCTCGGGCGATTACCATCCCCAAGCAGGCGATACTTTAGCACTCGAAGTGTCGATTCATCCAGCTCGAGGTGGATAGGTAGCTGTCTAGGCGGCGCCAAGATTCAAAAGCGAAAGCGAGCTTGCAAGCGAACGATAACTCTTCCTACTAAGTACGGTGGTAAACCTCCATTCAAGCTTCAGTCCGACATCAAAGAGATCTAATCCATAGTGTGCCTTCAATGCATAGCTGCTCGTCATCTCAGCCTTCTTCCTCCCACTCGGCATCGAACCATTGTTCCAATTCCTCTCGCTCGACCACGACCTGGTGTGCACCCCTGAGATGTCGTTCGACGTCATACACGCGCGAGAACCAATACTCGCAGCTACTGGTCTGTACGGTATGGCCGTTGGGACTACAGAGGATGTCGTCGACGATCACTCGGTGATCGAGCTCAGCGATGTCGGGCCATGGGCACGGGAACTGGCGCTTCGAAGCGGCTTGCGAACCCTCGTTCTCTTCCGCAGGGGCGTATCCATACCCCGTGATGGATTCGATGAGCGACATCGCGGTCGGAGACTTGGGCACGCGCTTCCGCTTGGGAAGAGGGGGCAGAGGAGGTAGTGCTTCTAGATCGGTCGAGTCTTGTGCGGAATCCAAGTCGTCCTTGTTCGGTGCTGGCCCCATCGAGGTCCCACGAGACTGGGAGCGAGGCCGGTGTACGGGTACCTCGACGACGGGCACCAAGCGCTCGATAGAGTGAAGCGCCTTGACGTGTCGACCCAGCGCATCGGACTGAGAAGCACGGACAGAATCTGGCTGGATTAGCATATGCGCGAGGAGCGCAGCAAGCGGCTTGGACCCAAACTGACCGATTTAAAGGACCTCTTGCATGCTCCATGGGTACACTTCCACACCGCTTCAGGCGCGAGTACGATCCTCCTTTTCTTCTTCCCTCCGGCGGCAAAATCTCGTAGCATCCTCTGCTCACGTTCATCGTCTTCTCGATCCCATTCACTCGGCTCCCATTCACTCGTCTCGTTCCCGTCATCGGCGTCCGTCTCCGTCTCTCGAGCCTCGGGCTCTTCATCACTGCCCCGTGCTCGGCCCGAGCGGCGCTTACGTTTCCTTCTTGACCTCGACGTGGTTGTCTTGTGGGGAGCATCTGTGTCTTCGGCGCTCGTCGAGCCTTCATGGATAGTGGCGATGTGGTTCCTCAATCCTCGATTGGTGGTGAAGGTCTTGTTGTCGCACTCTGGATAATGACATCTCGGAGGGTGAACGGTCTTGGTATGCTTCTGTAGTGCCGACCATGTCGCGTGTTGACGCTGACTCAAACGTAGTGATGAGCAATCACGATGAATACAGAGATACCTCGAGGCTAAACGAGTCGTTCCAATGATCAGCTCGTTCCCCTGACTGCACGGCGATCGCACGAGTGCAAAGGACTCACGATCGTGGGTCTTGCGATGAGCGGTGAGATGGGTCTTTTGCTTGAACGACTTGTCGCATCCTTCGGCATCGCAAATGAAGGGGAAAGTACCCGGTGTCGAATGCACTTCGGCGATATGCGTTCGGAGTAGATGATGTTTGCGGAACGATTCGTCGCATTGGGAGCACTGTGGTCAGTGGTCGGGGTCCGAACCAGACGACAACTCGTCAGCCACGATTTCGCGCCTTGAGAGAGGACCTCTGAAAGTTTTGGAAGAAACCTACGTCATAGGTCTTGCCTTTGTGGATGGTCTGGACGTGCTTTTTGAGGTGCTGATGGGTCCAGAATTTTTTGTCGCACTCGTCGCAGTCGTAGCGCTTCTCCTGCTCGGAGGCATGGATGCGAGCGTGTGCCTTGAGATGGGAATCGCGAGTGAAGGTCGAGGGGCATTCTGCGCACTTGAAAGGTCGCTGGATCGACACCCGGAGGGCTTAGCGAGAAGACGGCGGCGGTTCGGACTCTTTGATAGCTCGCTCTCGGGAGACTGACCTCGCCCGAGTGGACGCGTTGATGCTCCTGCAATCGCGTCGGCCTCGTGTAGCCTTGACCGCATTCGGGGCATATGAACTTTTTGAGCCGACCACCACTCGTGCCCAACGAGGTGGGGGAAGCGATGACTTTGCCACCGACTATCAGCAGTGGCTTGCTCGGCGTCGCGGTCGAGGTCGAGGCCGAGGCCGAGGTCGATGTAGTGATTGGGTCTGCCTGGAGGGACGAGGTCGAGGTGGCAGGCACTGGGGCATATTGTTGGTGTTGGATTTCGGTATCGGTGGTGACGATCGCTGCACGGGAGGAGATTGACGCGTGGTGTGGATGCGAGAGGAGAGATTGAGCCGAGTGGTGCGACGACGACGACGACGACGACGACGACGACGGCTGCTGTGACGGCGATGCTGCTGGTGTGAGCGAGGGCAGCACCGACATGGCTGATCCAACGGCCAGCATGGTGGGTAGTCTCACTGCGGTCGGGTCCAGTCGATCGTGATTCCGGTGTGGCGCACCGGACTGAACTATGGCGGGCGCAACGGTGGCCGGGAGCCAAAAGAGGCCCGTGCGTTTCGAGCCAGCGCTTTTGGGCGGCTTCTGGACGGCTTCTGGCGGCTTCGCAAGCGCCCGCCGCAGCTCGCCGCACACTGCCGCCGCACACAGTCGCACAGCACAGTCGCCCGCGTGCCGGCTTCCGCGGCTCGTCGTCGACAACACACCACACCACACCACACTACCGCACACCGTAGGCTCCGACCCGCAGCTCGCAGCTCGCACTCGCACTTGTACACTTCAACGTCAGGTCAGTAGCAGCTGCTCATCTACCACATCGTCGAGGCCGGCTCTGCCAACAGTGTCGGCCACTGCGTCCGAGTCACCTGCTGTACTTTTGGGCGTCGGAGCCAGCCATTCTCTTCACAGCATCCAGTACTGACACCATGCTGTGCACCTCTGCCTCGCTCTACTCTCAGACTAATCAGTCCAACCCAGTCCCAAAGCGCCCAAGACCCAAGTCCAAGTCCAAGCCCCGACGCCGCCCCTGTGCAAGCACCCCAAATAAATAATCCACGCGCCCCTCGGCTCCTCCCGAGCAAATGTCGACAGCAACAGCGCCCGACTCTCGGGACATCCTCGGCAACGCCCGCTTCTCGTCCTCTTCCGGATCGTCCTCGTCCGCCTACGCCGACGCACCGGACGCTTCCTCGATCCTCGGCGCCACTTCGAACATCGACCCCGCCGCACTGCATCCCCTCGCCGGCTTGATCGACAGCAAGGACCTCGACTACCTCGCCTTGGACGACGATAAACTGTCCGGCGTCGAAGGCGGCCAATCCGTACTGCCGAGTCGAGGTTGGAGTGACGAATTGTGCTACGGAACGGGCTCGACCTACCTCTGTGGTGAGCGATCTTTCACATCTTTCGCTCTTTCGCGGGAGGAGAGAGGCCTCGTGCTTATGCTGATGTTCTCTTCTCTTCCCAATCTGATCGTCTGACTTGCCCGCTGCACAGGTCTGGCCGGAGGTGGAATCTGGGGATTGTACGAAGGTTTCCGACGACCGATCTTACCCAAGGCCGGCCAATCGATCCCTATCGGCTCCATCCACTCCGCCGCCGCCGCCGCCGCGACCTCGACAGCAACATCACCAGCGGGAGTCCCACCAGCCTCTTCGATCGGTGCTCAAGCGACCGCATTCGCCAAACAAGCCGCCGCCGCTTCGTCCACTCCCAAAGGCACCGTCCCCCCCGAAGCCGCCGCCGGTTCCGCCGCGGCGAATTCGGCGAGCAAGATCTCGCGCCGATTACGTTGGAACCACGTGTTGAACCAGGTCACGCGTCGTGGTTCGTTCACCGGTAACAACGCCGGTGTCTTGGCGCTCATTTACAACGGTTTCAACTCGACCCTGGATTCGTACCGAGGCGGCAAGCACGACATTTACGGTTCGATGGCGGCGGGTGCGATGACGGGCGCTTTGTGGAGGTGTACGGCCGGGGTCAAACCGATGATCATCTCCAGTGGTCTTTTGACCGTCGGCGCAGCGGCTTGGACAACGGTCAAGCTTCAGTTCTTGTAAGGGGAACACTTTCGTCCTCAAGTCTCCTCCCCCGCCCCCTCCCCCCCCCTCTCTTTTTGGGAGCGCGGGTTCGACTTTTAATCTTTTTTTGGGATTCTTTCTATGTAGACTTGTACGAACCAAGGGTTTAATTCCTTTCCATGTGCGTGGATGATGAAATATCCTCAAAAGCTCGAATAAATCCCCCCTTTCAAAACTTGAGTCCACCACTGGATGAAAAGAGCCGGTCGAGGCTTCGATGATCGCGATTGTCTGGTAGAAGTTTTTAAGGAGAGGGATATTCATGGCCACAAAAAAAAACCCTTCTATAAGTTGTCTCTAGATCAAAGAGAGAGTTTTTTCGTCTTCTTCTTCTTCTCTTCTTCTTGGAAGATCTCCTATCCCTCATCCTCCTACAACTCTTTTACACACACATACACCTTTCCCAAAAAAATCCCCCTTCCTTTTCAACCCACCGTTCCCGCCTTGGCGCCATAACTCCTAACCAATCCAGTTCCGGTCGCCTGATTCAAAGCCTTCGCCGCGCCCTGTACGGCGTTCAAAGCGCACATCGTTTCCAACCTACTCGGTTCCTGCAAGGCCAATTCCTCCGGTAACAAAGCCAAAGGGGGTAAACCTTCCTTCGCGCGTTGTTCGTTCTCGATTCGACGACGCACGACGGCAGGGTTCGATTCGAGGCGCGCGCGATCGCGTCCTAGTTGACGGGATTGGAAGGAGAGCGTGGAGAGGTGCGCTTGGTGCGTTTCGAGGGCCGAGAGTAAAGCGGTCAGAGGTGTCGTCAGAGGCGAAGGGTTCGACGAGGTCGAAGAGGTCGGCAGTGACAGTTGCGAGTAGGTCGACAGGGGGTCCAGCGGCACGGAGGACGATTGACTTGCGCCGCTCGTTGAGGAGGAGGAAGGAGTCACGAGAGTCGATAGGAAGGCGGTCAAGAGCGACGAAGAGTGCACAGTCACGGGTACCTCTTCGAGGATGTTGGAAGGCACCAGCTTGTGGTCGATGAGGCTGGAGAGATGAATGGTCAGGATTTTGAACGATCGACTCCGGGTAGACTCTTGTACTGCTCACCTCTGTGTGTCGAATTTGCCCGCTCGGTATGCCTCGACGAAAGCAGCGGATAATCGGTAAGCCTTCAAGCCAACGTGACCCTGTGCGGCACTCGCGACATCTGTTGGCAATTGCGGTTCACAAAGATCAGCCTCCGGAAATGGAATCAATCGGCTTACTCAAAAGCGTCTCACCGTAGACCAAAGCGATTCCCTTGCCGTTCTTGGCACCCTGACCCGGTACGAGGTTCGTCTTGGTCGCGGCGGCACGTCCGACGGGGGTCGCCTTGCCGAGACCAGAACCCACACCACCACCGGACATTTGGGCGCCAATGAGGGCCTCGACGAAGCCGGAGATGGCGAGGGTCTGACCGTTGTTGGTCGAGGTGTAGAACCCGACGATCGATCCGTCGGCGTTGAGATCAATCATTCGGCTGAGCACGGCCGCCGAGTACTTGCTCGCTGAGAGTAGCCAACGTCGAGTAATTTGATTAAGTACCCCGGGAGATTCCACCAAGAAGAAGCCCTTCGTACTGACCAGCTTTTAAACCCCGGTTCTCACCCTCCGAGTCGGACGAAGAACCACCGAGCGCACCTGCGGGAAGGGCGAACGCGTTGCTGACCCGGAGCGAGCCTTCGGAATCGATGCCGAGCAATTGGCCGACCGCGGGGGAGAAGGTAACGGTCGCGTTCGAGGTACCCTGGGGAGCGGGGATGACCTGGTGGGCCTCTCGGGCGTGCTTGATGATCTTCATCAAGGTCTGTGACGTGGGCAGGGTGCGGGACGAGCGCAGGAGTTGTACAATGGAGCATGGGTGTCAGCAATCTGGAAACCCAGTCCAACAGATCTGGATCGTCTAGACGGGTGGAGGTGATGCAAGAGGTTCGGACTGGGCACGTGCTGGTGTGTCTGTGCGCGTGACGAGTGTCGTCTCGCACCGCTCACGCCAACAGCTTCGCGGACAGCGTGCAGCGGTGGTCGCGCATGCACGAAGCCGCCAGCACGACGACGCTGAGCCAGCCCACGGTAACCCAAGCACCGCATCGCAGACAGCCTCATTCTTTGCATCGTCCTGCATGTCCAATAGTCCACCGTAGGCTTCCAGTGGTGGGAACGTACCAGTCCATCGACGGTCACGCTCTCGACGCGAGTCTCTGCGAGGCCTTTGTCGATCCTGGCGCGCTGCTTGGCCGACTCCTTCTTGACCTCGGCTACTGGTTCGGCCACGACCTCGGGAGCGGGGGCGGCGATATCTGCCAATCGTTTGGGTGCCATGGTGCGTTGGATGGAGGTGCGAAGGGGGATGTGCAGGACGGCGTCGTGCTCAGCGCGGGCGAGCGCCGACACGGCGGCGCAGAAAATCTCGGGGGCTAATGCAATTCACTCCAGTTGCTAAGGGCGAGCTCCGGGTACTAATGTGGAATTCGAAGACAGGGGTCGCAGCGGGCTCAAAACTCGGCGTCACATCCGTTTGTCTGTGCACCATCAGCAGGGTACATTCTCCTAATTGGGTTGACGAACATGTGTAAATTAGATTTGTCTCGCATGGACCAGCATGCTTTTCCGCCTGAAGCTTACTCGGAAAAGGAAAAGGATTTCCATAATGGCCGACTCAGTCGATGGCTCTCTGATGGAGGTGCTCTCACAGCAGCTAGCATGAAAAGTGGATAGAAGTCTCATGACTTTGCCTCGTGAACGCGCTTTGGACTACTTTATGGCTCGGAGATGCTTGGCGCTTTGGCGGGTGCTGGCGCCGGGTGAGTGGCGGGGTGTCTCTTGCCAGGCCAGGCTGGCGGGCGACAACCGCGGCCGGCCAGATTGCCCCACAGCTCTCCCACCTTGCACCTTGCACCTTGCACTTTGCGATCGAGACCGAGTCACACAGCGCACTCTTTGGCCCACATTCGGTGCAAGCCCACCAAAGCTTCTGTCGACTCGTGGGAAGCTCGCATACGTCCCCACACAGCCAAGGTCGTGCACGCCGACGCAGCAACTCGGTCGCGGTCGTCATGGCCATCTCCTCTGCGATACAGCGATGTGAGTAGTCTTTGTCGGCCTTGGGTTGATCAAGAGGAACGACACTGACATTGTTATGGCCCTGACTGCACCAGACGAGAACCTCATCATCAGCAAAGCGACGCGCATCTCGTCGATCGAGTCGTCGCTGCGCTCGCTCACCTGGTTCTTGCCGGGTAAGTCCACAACCGGCGATCCGACCAACTCGGCGAGCACCTACCTGTTGGCTACTATCCGTCCAACCGGCCAGGCGCGCCACCGCACGAACCCTGGCACGTGATATCTGACTTAGTCATCCTCATAACCACAGGTCGATTCCAGGACAGTGAACTTGCATCGGAAGCTCGTCAGTTGCTCCCTTTCGTTCCCTTGCCCCGCGCTTGAGCCCGGGTGTACCGAACTGACCGACCGGCTTCGGGCTGCACCTGCGTCGCCCCCACAACAGTCTACACGGTGCTCAACATTCTGGGATCCTACCATGATTCGGTCCTCCTACGTACCGTCTCCGTCCTTCCTTCTCCTGTCCGACCCCCATCGTCGTTGCACGCAAGGTATACGCGCCACTACGCCCAAACCTCGTCGACCTACCACCTCCTCGCGCGCCTCCTCTCCCTGCTCAGCTACTCGGAGCTGCTGCTCGAGATGGGCATCAAGAAGCGTGTAGGTCGAGAACAAGCCGAGCAAGCCGTCGTCGCGATCGAAGCGACCAAGGCTGCCCTTCGACTCGGCTTGATGCGTACAACCCAGGGGAGATCGGCGGTCAACCCACCCATCGCCGAGAGGGAGATTGATCCTTCCGTCTTGGACCTGCATCGACCCCATCTCGTCCGTAGTTCGTCACACCAACGCATCTCGTTCGAGGCGACCAAGGAACACCCTCGCTCTGCAGCCGACGTCCTGTTGCGCAAAAATGGCCAAGACGGCACCGATCCCGAACAGGATGAGGATCCCGAGAAACCGCTCGATTACTGGACCGGCCCACGGACTGGCGTCACGAGGTCGACGATCGCCCATCTACGCGGTGGGGTCGATGAGGGTGAACCTTTGCCAGGGACCTCGAGTGCAAAGGGGAAGGATGCCGTGAAGGCTTATCTGATGACTCGGGTCTTGACGGTCGAGGATGTCAAAAAACCGGAGGATTTGGTCGGCAAAACCAAAGGGCTGGGCCGATTGGCTGAAGTGATTTGGATTCTTCGACCCCTGATCTATGGTGAGTACGAGATCGTCATTCTAACCGTAGTCGTGGATCATCTTGCCTAACGTCGGTCTCGGCATTCCTTCCTTGTCTCTGCAGTCCTCGCCATGCGCAAATACGGCCGAAGACACACCTTGCCCTACCTCCTCTCGCTCGCACTCGAATACCTATCCTTCTCCCTGCGCAAATCATCCACGCGACAACAGGCGGGCACCAAGGCCTCGGGTCCAATGTTGCCGCACGCGCCATCGGAATTGGAAAAGGCCGAGACCAAGAAGCGCGCCAATGCGTTCTGGTGGTACCTCCTCCGAGGACCGGTTTGGGAAACTTGGACCAAGTCAGTAGCTCACAATCCGATCAAATCAACGAAACCCGAAGCTGACCTGTCCAAGGGACTTTCTCATCGCAGGCCGCGATTGTTGGCGTTCGCGGACAAGTTCGAGGCCAAGCCTTTGATTGGGTTCGTCTCGACCGTCGTGCATGATTACACGCCCTTGGTCGACGACTACTACTTCTGTGAGTCTCTGAGGGACCCTGTTAAGATGAATTGTATCCAGGCTCACGGCATCCGTGCTTCCACTACTTCCAGACACTTCGTGATCCCCGCGCATCTTTCGCCCACGACTCTCCTTCCTCTCCCTTCCTCTCCCTTCCTCTCCCTTTCGTGTATTGTAGCTTGGTCTGGTAGTCACCATCATGGGAATAATGTGAACAAAGATGTATTCTAACTAGATTGATTCGACTTTCGAACTCCACGAGACTTGCAACATGGGCTGAATTAAGGCTAAGTGATATACCGATCCTCACATCGAAATTTCCACTTCGTCGGAACGTACTGTCTCGCCCTGCGCCGCCACCTCCTTGGGTACACCCAGTTCCAACTCTACGACCCTGTTCAAACCACCAGTACCTCCCTCCTTCAAATCCTTCTTCAACTTGTCGACCTCATCTTTACTGCTCTTGGGCTCCGATTTCTCCTCTTCCCCTACCGTTCCGTTCAAGTCCTCTCCTTCCTGCACCGAACCATGCTGTTTCTCAAGTTTCGTCGCCTCAATCGCAGATTTCTCAAACTCGGTAGGTTGAAGCACCTCAATTTCCTTCTTCTCCGTATCCTGCGTTGACAAGAGTTCGTCGACTTGGTCCGATGAAAGGTCGAGTTCCTGCACTTGTTCTAGCGGTTTAGAGAGTCCGGCACCACCATCACCTCCTACGCTATCGACGGGAACGAAGTTCGTCGAAGTCGAAGTCGAAGGTTCGGAATTTTCCGTTGGGTTGCGAATCTCCTCCTTGGGTGTAGGAGGTGTCTCCTTCTCGACCTGCAAAGACAAAGGGACCTCATCCTTCGGAGGAGGGGAAGGTGCCTCGACCTTCCCCCCCACTCGTTGAACCCTTTGCTCCTCCTCTTCCTCCATCTCCAACTCCCTCGCCAATTTTTCCAATTCATCCTCTTCGACCCCATCCAGAACCGATAAATCCTGACTCGCGTCGATCCTCAAAGGTCGTTGATGATCGCCTACTCGACGATACTCGATCCGATTCCCTTCAGCATCTTTATCCGATCGATGCAAGTTCAAAGGCATGACGTCATGCACTTGAGTTGCGAAACCGTGCGAAGATCGGGAAGTGAGGGAAGGGGGTTCGGCTTCGGGTAGGGAGAGTGTTTGGTTCGAGGAGAGTTCTTGGGACAGTTGGGCTAGTTCGGTCTCGGTTAGGGAGAGAGAGGCAAAATCGTCGACGGTCGCTTTGAGGCTGCTCGGTTTCTCGCTGGAGGGAGGTGGGGGAGGTGGGGTTGTTTCTGTTGTTGTAGAGCTCGTGTGTTCATCGAGTCGGAGAAACTGTGCAAAACGGTGCGAAAAAAGGTCAGCCCCAGAATGGTGCCGTGACGGCCGGGCAGCGTCCGCGGTGGTGGACCTACTTGTCGTAGTTCACCAAATTCAACACTACCCACACACGGACGAGTCAATTATTTACATCCGAGAAAGTGTTGATTGTCTTGACCGAAATCACTCACGCCTCATCCAGTTGTTCGATCGTCTGATGATCCGACGGCGCAAGCGGGTCAAGTGGGACCCCACACACGAGCGAGCCCAGTCAGCAGCAAACCGAAAGGCGTCAGCATCCGGCGCGCGCTAAGCGATATGGACTGGAGCATGTGAGAAGCATGACTGACCCCCACGGGTTGTCCATCGACGATGATGCAAGGTAGCTCGTTGTTATTCCTGTTGCGGCGCTTCCATTCGAGCTTGGCTTCTTCGCTGCTGGCCACCTGAGCACAGAGAGAGAAAGGCACAAGGACCAAGGACCCAGCGACGTCGAGAGAGAGAGTCACCGGCGAATTCCGATCGTCATCGTACGGCGTGTCAGTACGTCGTGCAGTGCGGATAGGGGTGTTTATGGAGATGAACGTACATCATGGGTCGAAAACGGTACTCGCGCGGATACGAGGATGCGCTGTACGCGATCGTGCTTGGTGCGGAGTTGGGCACTCGACAAGATCGAGGTCACATACACGTCAATCACTGGGGTCATCTTCTGGAAAGCAGATGAGGCGGATCAGCGTCAGGGGGAGTGTTGGCTTGACTTTGGGATGGATTGTGCGGCATACTTTTGAGACGGAGAGGAGAGAGTCTGTTCTCTTGTAGGACTTGAGGGCTGAAACGAACAAAGAAAGAACGGGAGAGCGTCATCTGGAACGACGCGGACCGGCGTTAGATAGCGTTAGATTCGGCCAGTCTCTGCCAGCGTTCGGCCACGTCCTCCACGTCCGTGCTTCTCCTTTCAGCTCCAGTGCCCACCACGATCCTGCATCAACAATGCCCTTCACTCTGATCAAGGTCGCTTCAACCGTCCTCGCCGGGATAGGTGGATCGTATGCGGTCCTCTTGGGGCTGCTGACCATCCCCGCCGTACAAAGAACGTCCGTCCACACTGCAACGGGGATCGCAATCGGCCACAACTTGAAGTCGGTTTGGACGCGCTCGGCGACTGAGTTGCTGACCTGTAGAAAGGACGTTGTGGTATCGCAGACTCATCTACTTGCATCGGATACGACTCGTCTCGGACTTTGACCATCCGGAGCAGTTCGGCTATGCCCGTGAGTCGCCTCTCCCAGGATGATGTCGTCGATCTAAGCATCTGAGGAGGGCCCCACTTGAGCTCGGCCGAACGTGCTGCTGAGTTCCCGCAAGCGACAGGCTGGAGGCGCATAAATGTGCATCAAGAGATCCCAGGTTAAAAAAAACTAATCTGATCACACCATATCACTCAACAGCGGGCAAGGTGCGCAACTTCAAACTCGTCACCCCCGACGGACACAAGATCGGCGTCTGGCACGTGCTCCCCGAAGCGGCGTACCAGGCCTATCGCAAACGAGACCCTCAACTCTTGAATGAGGGCGCGTTGCCGGACGAAGTTTTTGATCAGGCTTTCAAGTGGGTTCCAGGACTAGACTCGATCGATTCTGGGCATGAAGGTGGTATGCTCATCTGTATTCGGACTAAATCTTCACCTCCTTTCGCCCCCATGTGCTGACCTCGTCACAGGACCTACCCCACTTGCATCTACTTTCACGGTACGGTCTTCCAGTGACCAGAAATACGCTATATCTAGATCATCTGACATGCACGCTATTACCCCATAGGTAACGCCGCCACACGCGCCGCCCCCAATCGAGTTCGCATCGGTCGTCACATCTCGGAACAAGACCAATCCTTCGTCATCATCGACTATCGAGGTTTCGGTGATTCGACGGGCGTCCCGACCGAGGAGGGGTTGCTGATCGATGCTAGGACCGTTTGGGATTACGTGACCGAGGTCAAGGGGGTACCGAGGGAGAAGGTCTCGGTTATGGGTCAATCGTTGGGAACAGGAGTTAGTTCGGGCTTGGTCGCTCGCTTGACCAGACAAAGCAAGTCGGCGCAATATTCCTTCTTATGAGCCGGACCTAAAACGGAGCAGAAGCTGATCCTTCGGTCCTCCTCTCGTTCCAGGCATCCACCCCCACGCCCTCGTCCTCGTATCCCCATTCTCATCCGTCTCGGACCTCTTGTCGACTTATCGTCTCGGCAACTTCATCCCCGTTCTTTCCCCACTGAACTCGTTCCCATCCCTGATGACGACCTTCATAAGCCTGCTGAAGACCCGTTTCGATACGTCCAAAGTGATTTCGGAGATCAAGTGCCCGATCTTGATTCTTCATGGTACGTCCTTTCCCCGCTCGAGCCAGCGCATCACTCAGTGCAGCTGACGAAATAATCTCACGCACGTCCATTCTACCCTCCTTGCCCAGCTCGCGACGACCCCGTGATCCCTTTCTCCCATTCCCGAACGCTCGCGAATTTACTCCTCGCGCCCCACTTGAACAAAACCAACTCGAATTCCAACGTCCACTTTTCGTCATCGCGAACCGCCGAAGCTCTAGCCCTCAAACTCGATTCCGACGAAGGGTTCAAGAAATTGGAACGAGATGGGTTGGTCAGGATTGAGAAATGGGGTGCTTGGGGGAGGGTGATGAGGTTCGAGAGAGGGGAGGGTTTGGGGAAGGTCGTTTGGGCTGAGAGTGAGATGGGTCAACATAACGTGAGTTGGTTGAGGACTGAAGGGGAGAGAGGGGGGTCAAAATCGTTCGAACGAGGGCTGATGGCTTCTGCGCGTTGATTCGGCCGGACCTTTTTCTCTCTCTTTTTTTCAAAAGGATATTGGATACTCCGAGCCTTCGTTGTTCTTACAACGTGAGATGATGGCACCTTGACAGCGCGTATGCGTCGGATGTACTCTAGAACCATATCGAGTCGAGCTTAGGCATTGTTAGAACGTGTCTCCGAAATGTCGATCAAATCACGTGTCTTTAGATCGTACAACAAGTTCATTCATCACAGATCACAAACATCAGAGGGAAACAACCAGGAACGTCGCGAAAACAGCTGACGAAAAGAGGAGGCAACCCGGGGTCGTGAATCATACCGTCTCCTCTTCGACATGCTTAGTCGCACGACCCCTGTCATCGCCTTCTTCATCCCACCCTTCCTCGACCACTTTCTCGGAAGGAGCCTTGGCGGCACCGATGATCAATCCGGCAAAACTGGCGACGATCAAACCGCTACCTAGTAGACTGGCGGTGGACAGTCCTGGGGCGGTCGGCACGAACGTATCTGCGAGAGCGACAAGAACGAGGGTGCAGAGGTTACCGACGGACTTTGGATGTGGCAGAAAGTGACATTTACGATTAGCGTAATAAGTTTGGAAGACTTTAAGGGTGAAAGACTTACTGCGATGACAGGGCCCCAAAGTGACAGTAAGAGCATGAAACCTGCGTTGAAGATGACGCCGCACATGACGGTCGCGAGAATGGGTAACCAAGTCGCCCGAGATGGTGCGACGAACTCTTCCCAGCCGTAGTAATGCAAGATCGGGATCGGGATCCAGAATAGGATGAAGGTGAAGAAACCGATTAGAGCGGTGATGAGATTCGAGTAGAGGAGGAAGGAAGTGGTTGAGGGGTTGGAGAGGGGTGTGGTGGTGGGGGTGGAGATGCTGAGTGTGTGAGAGGCGATTCGTCGTAGGGGTGGTGGGTAAGGCGATTCGTCTCCTGTTGTCTCGGGCGAAGGTAGCAGAGCTTCGCCCTCCTCCTCAGCTTCATCCTCATCCTCGATCGCCTCCTCGTCGCCTCCCTCGGGATCCGGCAACGCGACGTGAAGCTTGTACCAGACCTGGGGAATGAAATCGCAGAGTTAGCACTCTTGCTTTGGACAATAATTTACCAACATCGAGACGCACCTCATAAGAGGCATAAGCCACACTTCCAAACAAGGCCAGTAGATTGCCAAACAATCGGGAGCTGGCCTTTTCTTCGTCTTTGGGATCGCGGCTCGGCTGGCTTGAGAAGGAGTCTCCCTGTGAGCGGGGTCTACCCTTCAGTTGCCCGTTTCGTTCAAGAGGATGGTACTCCCTTCTCGAGGGACGGGACGAACATAAGCGATGACCATGACGCCGGAAACGGCGACGAGCACGCTGATGAGCTTGGATTTGGACGGTTCCTCCCCGAGAAACTTGATTGCGAGCAGGTAAGCCCAGAAGGCGAAAACGTTGTAGCTGCGAGGGTTCAAAGTTGCGTCATGGAGGGTTGATGAGCGCCGGCTACATTACGACTGTGAGGATAAGTTTGCTTGGTCCAGACCTACATCGCAGTGATGTCTGCCGGTGTCGGAAGGAGTGGGGCGTCATTAGCTGTGGCCCTCCTGCTTCGTGAATCGAAATATTTACTCGGGACTGACCCGTCATCGACGTCAACGGAACGGCAGCATACCAGCTCAGTGCAGGGAATGCAATCAAGAACGTCAAGAGTAGCACCGTCGAGATCAAGCGAGCTATCCATCCGGCCGAAGAACCCTTCGGTTTCGCCGAATGGAGCAATCGCTTCATGCTCGTCCTCCGTCGCCCCGGACCGGGTCGATCCGGCGCTTCATCGGCAGAGGGGGGTAAACTTGCACGGGACAGGGACCTCGAGTAGCTCGGTCGATGAGTTGGAGGGAGAGGGATCGGAGTTGTTGGTGTTTTGGGTTCGGGTGGGGCAAAATGAACTTCGAGTATGGCCACCAAGGTTCGCAGGTTGGCCTCGATTGGGATGGACAATAGGCGTAGAGAGACGAGGTGTAAGGGGGCGATGAGAAGGTACCCGCTGTGCGTGAGGTAGAAGAGAAAGTAGGGCTTCTTGTACCCCGCTGTCTGTTGCAGGTATTGGGCTAGCTCGGTTTGCAAGGTGTAGGCTGCGGGCGGGTGGGGAAGAGAAGGTGGGGGTCAGCTCGGATCGGGTCAGTCAACGCTGTGCAGTCGAGTTGGAAACCACGCGAAGATGACTGACCAAGAAGGACGGCGATGAAGATCAAGACCGCTCCAGTCTGAGACAGACTACCGGGCATCGTTTCGAGGGAGCTGTCCTACTGCAGAAGCCAAGGCGTTCGTCGCGGCCAGCGTCACACGTCACGCGTCTGTTGGCTGCTGGTAGCTGACGACTTGGAGCGAAAAGACGCGAGACCAGCGATTGTGTAAGCGACGGGAGACGGCATCAGTTCGGTTACACAGTGGAAGAAGACGTCGTACGGTAGTGTTCAGGATCCAAGATGGTGCTCGTGCGCAAGAGAGTGGGTGCATGCTGCGCGACCCGTGCCGAATCAAGCCGAGATTTGGGTGTCGCGATGTAGGGGCGATGAGCTCGGGCCTCCCGCTCTGGAATGTTCGGGCAAACTTCGCCGAGCCCTTCACTACGTGACGAATGACGCAAGCCTCAAGACACCACAGTAAGGCACAACTATAAGACCCCGAATTTAACTTGCCACTTCCGGAGCAGACCCTGTGGTCCACCTAAGACTCCCGGCCCTGCAGTGAGTACCCGCAATAGGAGATGAGGGGTCGCAGCATCTGAGATCGGAGACCTAGAGCAGCAAGTTCTGGCGCGCCGACTGTGAAGCAGACCCCCTGTGTGAAGAAGGGAACGCCTTGACTAGAGAATCACACTGGAGATAGTAATCAAGTGCGTAAAGCCCTCATCGGGCACGATTACTTAATGGTAGGAAGGCCCTTGGCAGGATCGTCCACTGGACACACAGCCCGGTATTTCTTTACCCCGTGGGGCCCGCGCCTCGGCTGGCGGGAAACGGTGACCGAAGGCACTTCCCTGGGAGATTGAGATTGAGCTTGAGATTAACCCCATGCCGTCCCATAGATCCTCGATCTTACTAATTTTCTAGGCGTGCGATCAACCCCTAAATGATATTCCGCGTGCCGGAAGAGTCGAAGTTCAGCCCATCGAATCGAGAACGACCATTTTCTCGGAGGGAGCCCTCGGCATCACCGTGGACGCCAGTCGGCAGGAGGTGCCGGTCTGTGCCGGTCGTCGCGGGCGGTGGTCGGTCCGGTCCGGCCGTGCCGTGGCGGCAACAGCGGCAGACAGCGGCGCCACGCCGAGCAGTAGCGAGTTCGGCTCCATTCAACGCTCCTCTCCTTCACCCGTCAACTCGCTGCACCCATTCACCAGCTCTCGAAACAGTATCCACGTCTTTGGTCCATACCAGCACTCAAATCTTTGGAAGGAATCTTCCGCGCAAGCTCAACAGCTCCACCCCCACCTTTCTTAAAGCTCCCGAAAAGCCCACGTCCAAGATGGTCGCTTCTCCCGTCGCTCCTCTGCAGGTGGCCATGATCGGCAGTGGTGAATACACCACCGGTTTGACCGCGAACGATGCCAAGTCGGACAAGAAGATTGGAGGTGAGTACCCAAGATCTGAAATGCAGACATGAAGGCGTTCTCCCTTCGCTACGTTTCGGGGCGCTCGGTTCTCTTGACCTGACCGCGTGGAACGCTCTCCTCCCCATCCTCGTCCCGCAGTCGTCGGATTGACCTTGTTCGATCTCAGGTGAGCCGGAAAAGCTATTTGCAACCCATAGCCCATAACGCGGCTACTCACCATTTGCTCCACCGCATTGTTTGAAAATCACTAGGCGCCGAGGTATCGTCGACAAACTTTCCATCGTCGGTACTTCCGACAAGTGGGCTCAAGTCGATGAGCACTTTGCCAAGAACATCGCCGGTGCCTACAAGGTGAGCAGAGCCTTCCTCGGGAAGAGCTAGTTCGTTCCGTGCTGATACCGTGCTGTTCGCGCGACAGGACATGGACTGCTCTTACGAACCTTTCCCTGCCCGCGGAGCGTCGCGAGACCCCGATGCCTACAAAGCTGCCATCGATGCTTTGCCCAAAGGCGCTGCCATTACCATTTTCACTCCCGACTCGACCCACCACGAGATCGCGCTGTATGCGATCCAAAGGGGTATCCACGTGCTCGTCACCAAGCCGGCGTGCCAAAAACTCGCGGACCACATCGACCTCATCAACGCGGCCAAGAAAGCTGGCGTCTTCGTCATGGTCGAGCACCACAAGCGTTTCGACCCTTCTTACGCCGATGGCAAGTTCAAGGCGACGTTGATCGGTGCACCCAATTACTTTAGCTCGTACATGTCGCAACCGAAAACTCAGCTCGAGACGTTCAAGGCTTGGGCCGGTCGCGATTCCGACATTTCCTACTACCTCAATTCGCACCACATCGATGTGCACTGCTGGTACATGGAAGGTGTTGAAGGGGATTGGGCACCTGTCAAGGTCACCGCCAGTGGATCGGGTGGTGTTGCGACTTCGGCACCTTTCAACTGCGTCGCAGGGACCGAGGACACGATCACGCTCTTGGTCGAATGGGTCTCGCAAAAGGACAAGACACAACGATGCACGGGAGTGTACACGTCGAGTTGGACGGCCCCGATCGGCGCGGGTGTGCATAGCGAGCAATACTTCCACTACATGGCCGCGAAGGGAGAGATTCGGGTCAATCAGGCTCGTCGAGGTTACAACGTCGTCACCGACGCCGAGGGGACAAAGGACTACAACCCCTGGTGAGTTGGCTGCCAGGCTTTGGGATTGGGATATTGGTGCTTTTACTGACCTTTCGGGCTTTCTTCCAGGTACATGAACTACGCCCCGGATGGTGAGGGCCTCTTCCAGGGCCAACACGGCTACGGCTACATCTCGATCGAGAAATTCGTCACTGCTGTAAGTGCACTTTGTTCTTTTCAGTCGATCGCCTCACTTTCCTGGTCCACGACACTGAATCTCGTCCCCGGGGTTAATTCTATAGTGCCAACGCGTCAACGCCGGTACGATCGACCTCGAGCACCTCGACAGGACGTTGCCGACCATCAAAGCGACCGTCTTGACCGGTGCCATTCTCGAGGCGGGCCGAAGGTCATTGGATGAGAAGCGATCGATTGAAGTGGTGCACAAGGATGGTGAATGGGCGTTGGTTTGAGCTTGGTCTTGAACTGGTATGTGTTCTTGGTGTATGGGTCTGGGCAGTTATTATTTGCAATCGCGCTTTACGACTCATCGCAAGCTGTTCTATCCGACTCTGAGCGACCTCGAGAAGGTGATGGCCGAACAGACTTGACGGGTTCTGGTTACAGCGCGGTCTTGAGAGTTACCTGAGATGCAAGGAATGCGTGCTGCATAACACCGAAAGCGACGCCTTGCCGAGTCCAAAGTCGCCTAGCCCCCCTGGCATCAAACGAAGCCCCTGTCTACTACCGCATAGAAGGGTCATCGCTTCTGCGCAAGGGCTGAAACCACTGCGGAAGGGGTTATTAAGCATGAGATATGACGGTCTTATTCCATCCATAAATCGTGTGAGGTCGAATTATCCGAGCGCGCGCGTTGTCCGTTCAGAAAGGCGAGATTGGGCGAGGCGCACACGACGTCGGTGGCCGTCGACCTCCTCGCGCCGCCTCGTTCGCTCGACCTCGACCCAGATTCTGACGCCCGTCGCTGCCCAGTCCAGGTCCTTCGACCAAGCCTCTGTGTATCCCTCGTGTCTATACCTCGCTTCGACCGACGCAGGACGTCAAACGCACACGCGAGCACCACTCCCACGAGCCCGCTCCCACTGGTCCCAGTCGCACGCCACGCTCCCCACGAGTCGACTCTCCCCCACCCCAACCGCCCATGGACGCCTCACGTTAGTCCCAAGCACCACTCCAGTCATCGGCACAGCTACTGACCTTGCAGCTTTCTCTCCAGCAGCGACCCTGGTCGAGTCTGGCTCGCCGGTGGTGCAGTACCCGCGCTCGACTTTGCTCGCGCTGTACGCGTCCCCACTCGTGCCCGACACTCTGCACGGGATGAAACCCCTGTCGGAATGGTATGGGTCAGTCAACTCGTTTGTCAACACCACGCCCAGCGATGTTCTAGGAAAGAGAGGGGCGTCACGCGGGGGAAAGGGCGGGGCTTTCGCCCCACTTGTCTCCGCGTGACATCTCTCAGACGACCGCTTCGACCTCAACGCTATCACGCATTGTAGACCACTCGGCCAGTCCATTGACTCATTCCCACCGTCTGCCAGGGAATATCAAGACCCGCCTTCGTCACCCCCGACAAGAACACGCGAAGCGCCAGCCAGCGGAGCAGCGTCCCGTGCACATAACAACAGCACGTCCTCATCAAACCACACCTCCAATGCGGGTTCCAATCTCTCTGGTGGCCGTCCTAACCCCTTTGCCAACTTTGGAAGGTTCGGCGTCGATGGAGGCTTGGACGCGGGAGACGTTGCGGGCTTCACTGCGGCCAAGTCCGCTTCGGGCGTCAACGACAAGCGTAGCAGGGATGGCGTACCGCATCTGCAGAGGGAAGCAATGCCCATCGGAGGCAGAACAGGTGCAAGGAGAGCTGACGCCTCGATCGAGGGGACCAGTCCGACCAAATCCTCGGCATTTGGTAACGATCGGCTCAGAGCTTCGACGAGCGCGGGCGGTGCCGACGAGCGCAATGGGGCTCTAGGGTCGAGTACATTAGGGAGGAGAGACGATCAGAAGAAGGATCGGAGAGCACCGAATGAAGGAGGGTGGAGGAGCGTTGGTGGATTGACCGGTAAGAGTCGAGCTGAACTGGCCCCCTCAAACTGCCCGGTGCCCAGAACTTAGGGCTGACGACCTGATCACCTTGCGCGGTTCTTGGCAGATCGAGACCGAAGAACAGGACGTGGGAATGAACAACCTCGTGATCTTCGCGATCTTCGCAACGACAAGCGCGATCGCAACGACGGTCTCAGCTCCTCGGCGAGGGGCCAACGTCAACCGGCGTGGATGGACAGCGACGGACCTCCTACGTCGTCCGGCTCGGCTCCCTCTTGGATGGACGCCCCTATCTCGAGCGAGAACTTTGAACTCGGTGGTCGTGCACTACCGCCTCATGATCGGGAGCGAGGCGCCCCTTCTTCGTCAGGAGTTGCGGGTGCTCCCGAAGGTGGGGTCGATTCTATCGCGGCGTTCAAGAAGCAGATGAAGGAGTTGGAGAGGATCAGGTCGGGTGGTGGAGATGTCGAGGAACCGAAGCAGCCGTCCGAGTCGGTGTTCGCCAGCCTCGTCAAGGCCCCGGCTCAACAACAATCCGAGTCACAGTCGAGCGTGCTCGACTCTCTGCATTCAGGAGGTGGTGTGTCGACGGGCGCAGATGATGCGAGTGCTCCACGCGAGGGAGGTAGTTCGAGTCGGTTCGCCAAGTACTTTGACGGCAAACCGCCCGCTCCCGCCACGTCACCGAATGTGCAGCCACAACAGGTACCCTCAGTGTTCGAGGCACTGCTAGGAGGCGGTGTTGGCGGAGCTTCGAAGGGCGGCAACACGGCCGAGTCATCATCAAAGGATGCTGAGAGCATGGCCCGACTGATGGGGATGCTGCAAGTCTCGAGCGCTCGCGCGACTTCTCCCGTTAACTCCAAGTCGGCTGCCCCTATCGCTTCTCCACCAGCACTCCCGAGCCCAGCAAATGCTCCTATGCCACCCCACCCGCAATTGAACGGCGATCGATCACGGCAGACCTCGGGTTCGGGCAGTCGTTTCGCCTTTTCCCAACCACCTTCGAACGCTACGCAGTCAGCGCTGGCCTCCTCCCAACCCCACGAGCACCAACACCAGGCACAACTTTCGTCTCGCTCGGTTTCGGCATCTCGATCGGGACCGGCTGAGCAACCACCCCGCTCTCCGCCGCGACAAAGCAACCACCAAGCTACGCATGCATTCACTCTGACCCCTCTCGGCTCGCCCTCAACCGAAGGAAGACCTTCGCAACCCCAACATCCGTCGCAGCAACACCACCATCATCAGTCGGCACACTCTCGAGCCGGCTCGGCGCAACCTGTCTCCCCGCCCGTGTCGGCCAACTTTGAGCTGCCTCCGAGTGGGCCCCAGTCGCCCGGCGGAATGCCACCACCACCTCCTCAATTCTTTCAGATGCTGAGCGGGATGCAGTCGCCGCCTCCGCAACAGCAACACATGAATGGCGGCGTGGCTTTGCGACCGTTACCTCCGATCAACAATGGGTTGTTGCCGCAACAAGTTCCTGCTCAGCAGCACCAACAGCAACAGCACCCGATTCCTGGAGGGCCCCATCAGATGCCGCACTTCCAGTCACCGCCGCCACTGCCGCCGCATATGGGTTTCGGCAACTCGCCCATGTCACCCGAGATCGCCGCGGCTCACATGCGTGCCATGTCGAACCCGTCGCGCTCGCAACCCCCACCCTTCAACATGCCCCCACCTCCCTTCATGTACGGCGCCCCTCCACCTCCGATGGGCTCGATGGCACCCAACATGCCCCCCTTCCCAGCCCATTTCCGTCCTCCACCCCCTCCCGCACCTTTCAGTGGAGCCGGCGTACCCGATCTCATGGCTTTGCTCAACTCTGGAGGGGGTCCAAGGATCGGCGCCGCGTCGGCTCCTTTACCTCTTCGTGCTCGTCCAATGCCGCAGGGACAACCCCAACAGCAGCAACAACATAGCATGCGTCAATTCATGTCCCCGCCTCCGATGAATCATGGTCAATAGCCTCGTTCTCTTCCTCGTCGTCGTCGTCGTTTTCTCTCCATCATACTTCTGCACGCCGTCTGTCGAACCTCACTCTTCTGCGTCGGGGATTTCTTTCCATCCAACTCCTTCCTATTTGCCTCCGTCTCATGGCCACCCTTTCCGTAATCATTCCTCGTCCCGTCTCGCTCGTTTTCGCTCGTCTCGTTGCTCTGTCTCTTCTCCTTCTGTGCGGGGTTTTTTTTTGTCCTGGCCCCTTCTCTTTTCTCATCCTTTGCATAGTTTGTCGACAGATGTCCTCCCTTTCTGTTTACTTTTCTGTGCTTTTTTTTTCTTTCTTCTTTCTCCCTAGGCTCTCGTTCGTTTGCAGCATCTCTTTGTATGTTTTCTTTTGCAACTCAGAAACATCCAATCTGAACCAACGACGAACGGAAGCAAGGAGGAAAAAGAGTTTGCGATTGCTGAGGGGTGTAAATACAGATGACCAAAGGAGAGCGAAAAGATTCACCGATCGAACCAACGAAATTGCACAAGGACCAACCGACTCTACATCCCTAGCCCTAGCGACAGGGCGGTATTGCACGTTTTGCGCATCAATTCCCATTCGTTCTCTCGGGGCGTGACGAGGTCTGCCGTTCAAGCGAAACCAACTCGTCAGCTTCTTCCCTGGTTTCCCTTCGAAAAAGTTTCCCCTCGACTGCCCGACCTACCTTGATGAACCTCATAAACCCAGACTTTCCCTTCCGCCCCACCCAAAGCGACCTTCTTCCCTTCCTTATCCCAACAAAGTCGATTCAAACCCTTTTCCCCCACCACAGTTGAAACCAACGGCACCTCGGCGTCGATATTCAAGTTCCATAAATCGAATTTACCTGATCCGTCTACGGTTGCGAATATGGAGGGATGATGGGGATGCCATTTGACGTCGAAGAGGTAATCGGTTGAATCTTCGAAGGAGAAGAGCGGTCTGATCAAGGTACTTCCTGTAGGTTGTTTGGCGATAAGGTTCGAGTTGGTATTGGAAGAGGTAGTGGATGTGGAAGAAGGGTTCGTCTTATGCGAGGTCGAAGTCGAGCTCGTCGTTGCGTTCGGGTTCGTCAATCGCCACAATTTGACCGTCCAATCGACCCCACTCGAAAGGAACAAATCACTCAAATCGACCGAACCGGTAGGTGGATGAAATTCCAAACTCGTCACCGGGCCCGAATGCCCTTTATAGACCTCCGTCATGACCAAACCGGCTTTGGAACCCGCTCGATCGTAACGTTGCGCGGTGTAAATGTTACCTTCTTCCGTTCCGACGCAGAAGGAGGCGGCGTCGGCGGAGGGAAAGGCGAGAGCGGTGATGGAAACTTCTTCCGTTTTGGTATGGCTCGGATGCGTCAAGGTCAGGGTCTCGTGAGGACGAGCGAGGAGGTCTAGTGTCCATGCGCAGACCGTGCCATCCGTGGAGGCGGAAATGAGGTTATGCGCATGCTGCGTCCCGACGATCGAGAGCGAGTACACGGGGTGGGTGTGACCTGCCGCCGAGAGGGGGGTTTTGAAGACCGCGTATGGGTGTTTGGACCGCGTATCCCAGAGAAGGATTTGACCCGAGTACGTGCCACCGATAATGAGGTTCGGGTGGAAGGGGGAGAAGCAGACGGAGAGCACGTCGGACTGTGCGTGAAAGACGTATTCGGGTCGTTCGCGAAGGTGTAGGTTCCAAACACAGACGATGCCATCGGGTTCGTTAACGGTCAAGGAGGTCTTGTTATAGCTCGCGACGAATAATTCGGGAAACTAGGGGCAGTAAAACAAAGAGGTGAGCGCCGTGCGCTTTGAGTCACCACCACATGCCCTCACTGACCTTGGGACTCCAATCGACCGCAGTGATGCTCCTCCCTCTCACGACCTTATCATCCGTCCACCCACCCAACAATCTCACCTTGGCGCCATCACCTTCCTCCCCTTCCTGACTGGCATTGACCGAATAGTCCATTAAATAGTCATACGAATCCGACAAGGCCCTTTGAACAATTTTGGTACTCGAATCCAAGAACTCGAGGAATCCGCCCGAACCCAAGACGTTCGCCAATTCAGGAGGTGCAAGTCCTTTGCTTCTCAAAGCTCGAAGTTCTTGTTCGGCGAGTCGTTTCTCCTGCGCGATTTGGGCTTCAAGGGACAGACGCTCTTCTTCGAGTTCACGGAGGATGCGCGCACGTAGTTCGTCGGCGTTCTCGCGTCCTGCGGCGGAGGTGTCGACGGGGTCGTGGGAAGAGGAAGAAGGATCGGGGGAACGAGTAGGGTCGGTCGAGGTGGAGGTGGTGGTCCAGGCTGCACGGGTGAGCGGTGTCGATTGGGAGGTCTGGATGGACTTGTCGTAGAGTACCTTGGGTGGGGCGACAACGACTGGGGGTGCTGATGTTGTTGGAGCTGCGACGGGTTGTGGTGCTGCGACGGGGGCTGCTGCCTCGTTGGCTTCTATCGTCGGTGTCGGACTGGGAGGGGGGTTGAAGATTCGGGTCAGATCCAGACGATGCATCGTTCAGCTCGTAGGATTTTTGTGGACTGACTCTGAAGGTGCACTCGCTATCGATGGCCCTCCAGGACTACTCGGAGCGGGTGTAGAACTCGAGTCCTCGCCGGCACCTACGCTCGAACCCGCTGTCCCCCTTTTGGGGCTCGCCTCCGCGCTCTTCGTGCCGAACCCGCTCGAAAGCGACGGTCCGACCACTCCAGCATTCTTGAGGATCGCGTCAATCTCCTCACTCCGATGCACCCTCTCATGCAAAGCGACGGACGAAGGACGAGTCGAGGCGGGGGAGGCCGATGCACGCGATGAGGAGGTGGAGGAGAGCTGGATGCGTTCTTCGCGCGCTCGTTTCAGTTCGGCGAGCTTGGCCTTCTTGTCGAGGATCTCTTGTTTTCTTCGTTCGGCCACTGAAGTGGGTGTGGGTACGGAGTGTTAGTGCGGGTCGGTCTGAGGGAGTGAGCATGGGGGCCAGCGCGTCGAGTCGCGCGCTTCATCTCAGTCAACGCGCAGGGGTGGCGTGCGTTCAAACTGCGCCACGTTGCTCGGATGGACGTACTGGTGATTGGGGGAAGCGGTGAACAGGGTGTGTTGGTCCACGTCGAAAGGGGACTGACTGGCCGGCCACGCGGAGGTTGAGAGAAAGGCACACACTTCGCGCGCGTGTCTCGCGTCTCGATCGCCCCCAATTGAGCCCAATTGGCACCTCCTGGCTCCTCGGACTCGGACTGCAGGGAATCGGCGGGCAACCGCGCTCAACTTAACGTGCTACGTTTATGGTCTACTGGTACGTGCGACCCGAGCTCAGATGAACCTGAGAACGATGGAATCGATTTTGAGGTGGTGCCGAAGCACTTTCCGAGTATGCCCTCATGTTGGATGCCGATTCGATACAACGGCCGTCGGCCGGCGGCTGATCAGAGAGTGTCACGTGCTCCACGCCCGCGCGCCAGGCCAACTTCGCACCGAGCCCAATGAGGCCAAATGCGCCGCCGCTCCACTCGGCGTTGAAACGTTGACCCCTGCACTGGCCACACTACTCACTCAAGCTCCACCACTCCAGCGCGCCCCACCGCCTGCCACCATGCCCCCAGGTGCCGCCCCCCAAGGTGGAACCCGCCCCGAATCCCTCGAATCCTCGCACAAACGAAGCCGAGGTCCCAACCTGTACCAATACCCCTTACCCCTCCTGCCCGCCTCACCCTCCTTCATCTCCTCCCTGCTCTCCGTCCTCCCCTCCCTCTCCCTGACCCCTCCTTTGATCCAAGCCATCTATGACACCTTGACCAAAACGGTCTGGGTCCAAGATCCGGAGGAGATGAACAACTTGTGGAGGCAAGGTTTCTTTGGCAAGGGTTCATTGTCGAGGAGTGATCCGAGTTGGAGGAGGAGGGTCCAGAATAGGATCGCAGAAGCCGAAGGCACCCAGAAGAGTCAGTTCCAAAATACGGAAGAGTTTCTCAACTCCGTAGCTGAGCATCTGCACCCCCTCACCCAGACCTCACCTCGGAGGAATTGACCGCATTGAGGAGGATCGAACGCAAAGGTCACAAGCACCTAAAGAAACTCGAACGCGAGGCCGAGAAACTACAACTGGCCAACGCCGCACTCGGAAGATCCGAACTCCCCTCCGTGACAGAGGAAATACCGTCTTCCCCATTACCATCGACAAGCACAGCCAAAGTCACAGTCGAAGTCGAAGTTGAACCCGAACCCGACGCAGAGCCCGTCCAAACCACCGTCATCGAAGCGCCCCCCCTTTGGCACCTCGACGCCGAACACACCCAACTCCAACCCGAAGAAGCCTTTTTCCTCCTATTCTCCCTAGGAACACTATCCCTACGTACCCTAGACCCGCTGCAAACAGTAACCTCAACCCATCCCGCCTCTTCCTCCACGTACCTCCATCGTCCTCTCTCGATCCTCCAAGCTTGGCGAACGTTCCTCCTCGATTACAGCACCCTCATCCCAAGTACACCCACACCAGTCGTGGACCCGAGGCTTACGCGTCTCGATTCACCGTTCTTGTTGGCGTATGCGACCTATCACCATTATCGGTCGATGGGATGGGTCGTCAGATCGGGAGCCAAGTTTTGTACCGATTGGGTCTTGTACGGTCCGCAGGGACCTGTTGGGGGCCATGCAGAGTACGTTCTTGAACGTAACGAGAGACAACTATCTCATTCTACTAGCATATTGACACCTAACCGATCCTCCCGTTCGTCCTTCCCCAGATTCGCCGTGCTCATCTATCCCAACTACGTGAACCCCCAAGACGCCCTCGCCAACCCCTTCCGATCGACCCTCTCCCACTCCCAAATCGCAGAAGGCGAACACCGTTCGTCCTGGCGCTGGTTGCATACAGCCAATCGAGTCTGTTCAGGCGTCAAAAAGACCTTGGTCCTCCTACAAGTCTTGATCCCTTCTATGGAGGGCATGGAGGATGGATGGGTAGGGGAAGATCCAGCGAGGGCTTTGGCTATGTTGCAGATGAGGGAAGTAGTTGTCAAGAGGTTCTCTCCCGGGAGGATGAGGGATTGATTCTTGTATGGGGAGAGAATAATATTGTTTCATTACAAGATGTCGATGGTCAAAATAAGCGAGAGAGAAAAGGCGTATGCCACTCGGGACGGGGACACCTTCCCCCCCTTTGCTCCTCCTTGTCGATCATCTAAACGCCGCGACCGGCCCGTTACCCCCTGTCTTCAACGTCGTCAAATCCTCATCCGCTTTCCCCTCCGAAGCATTGCCCGGCCCCCCTTTCCCACTCGCCTGATTGGCTCCCGATCCATAACTATCAGTCCGTTGCAACATCCCCTCACTCAACGACCGATTCATCCTCGTCGTCGTCGTCTTGGCCACGCCTACCCCCGCTCTAACCTTCTCCTCCCCAATCCCACTATTTGTACCACTCTGCCCCTCCGTCGTCGTCGTCGAATTCACCAAAACCGCATTCTGCATCCCAATCAAACTCGTTCGTCTCGGCCTCGTCATCGTCGTCGTCGTCGTCGTCGTCGTCACCGCCCCGCCACCCGTTCCCAAAACAGGCGTCGAAGCTCTCTCCGAACCTTCTTCCTCCCACAACGTTTCGGCCATCGAAGTTTCGGTCCCACTATCCGTCGCCAAAGAGTTACCCCTCACGTGCGTATAACGATGTCCCGAAGATCCCGATAACGAACGTCGAGTCGCAAGTTGAGGTCGCGCACCTAGAGGCGCTCGAGAGGCTCGGGTCCCGTGAACGGGGTTCTGGCCAAAGGTGAGCGAAATTCCTCGGGGACGGGTTTTGGGTAAGGTCGCGTAAGTGTTGCGACGTAGGTGGAGCGCGTATGAGTAGAGGCAAAGGATGAAGTAGATCTGTGTTTGAGAACATAAAGGGCCAAAATAACGCGCGGGGGATTGTAAGGGGTTTAGGGAGGACGGAATGGTGCCAAGTCAGTTGCCTAGTCGCGTTGCCGTCTCCCGCGTCTTCTCCTTCCTTCCGAACCAACCTTGAGTAACCACCCGACCATCAAAACCGCTGCGCTGAACCCCCTTTCACCTTTCCAAACGGCCTGAGCAGCCGCCTTCCTCGCCGCATCATCCAAAAACGTGGCACTCGACGCCGACCCTTCGGACATCATCTCCTTTTGCGCATCCGAATTCGCGACCCTTCGACCGTCATGAGGTACGTAGATGTACCACACGACGGCGAATAGGGAGGTGAAAATGGTGCCGACGCAATGATCGAGGGCGAAGAGGTGAGCGTAAAACAGAACTTTGGGGCCGTTTTCCTGTAGTGCAGGAAACGTGCGATGGAGAGGAGAGAGAGAGAGAGAGAACGGAAAACGCGTCAGAGACGAGAACAGGAAGAAGTTGAATCCTCAGCCTCATTCCCGATTGCAGTAACAGACCTCTGCAATTTTTTTCAACCCCCACAACACGCCAACGAGCGTTGCGATCGAATAGAGGTACATGGTCAATTGACTCAGAGGTTGGGCCAACGTGCCCCCCGTTAAAACGGCCATCATCCCGTACGCTCCGGCGACTTTGTTCAAAACGGCGAAGAGGGAGATGATGCTGACGCCTGGAGGGACCAATTGAGGGGTTCAGTCGAGGCGGAGGAGGAAGAAGATCCTAGACTGTGGGGGACGACTGACCAAGCTTGAGGTCCATGCCGATGAAGGACCCGACGGGAAAGCGGATCGGGCTCTTGAAGCGGAGATTGCCGACCATGTTGACGATGCTAGCGTTGTGAGAGGGTTGATCGGGACCTGTTCCAGTCTGTAGAAGTTTGAGCGAGCTCGAGTTGGCGAGGATGACTGGACTTGAGGTGCGATCGCGGTCGTTTAATTGGTTGCTTGATGACGACGACGACGACGACGACGACGACGAATCGAGCGTTCGGTCGAGGAGGCGGAGCCTACGGTATTGAGCTCAGAACGAGCGACGATGGTCGGACGCGTCTTTATAAGAGCTTGTGCAATATCCTCGAGATGATGAGCCGTATCGATCAACTGCACCGCCACATCCAGCAGCGCGGCCGTAAGGTGCAAAGCGCAAAGGGGCGGAAGCGGTCAGTTCGTCGAAGGAGCCCACCCGCCCCACCCCACCCGTCTCCACCCGTCACGCGCGCGTGCGAACGCGTCTCGGGAGGCGCAGTTCGGAAAAAAAGGGAAATCGGGACTGCATTCACCCGTTTGACAACCTCCGACGCCGATGACTTGCAGACGGGTCCCACAGCCAATGCGAAAGCGAGAAACTTGCGATGATCATCATTCAACCTTTGGCTCTAGATCGTGTAGTACCCAAACCCCGCCTTCAAAGTAAACTACTCTTCGAGTCCGTCGTCGCGAACCCGATCCCCCTCTTGTCACACGCCATCTTGACCCTCCTCCGTTCGGTAGGTAACCATTCGCCGCCCATATTACTCAATTCCAACTGCTTCAACCCTTGCGCCCAAGTTGTACTCGCTTCTTCCTCCTCCTCCCCATCAATCGCCATTGCAAGTGCCTCGATCGTCAAAATTTGTTCGACGGCGTTGACGGGGATCGTTAGAGTGAGATGGCGCAAGGGGAGTCGAACGAGTTTAGGAATGAGCGAAGCTTCGTATCGTCGTCCATAGAGTTCGAGATGTCGGAGGTTGGGACAAGACGAAATGACCATTTCAAAGAAAGGGATCGGATCTTCTTCGGCTGGAGCAGCGGCACCACCAAAGATGTTGCCATTCGGCCCCATCGCCGGCATCCCCCCACCTGGTCCACCGGGCCCGCCACCAAAGACGAAACGTTGTTGGTGTTGACCGGGGGGAGGGCCTCGCTGGCCTGCAAAAGGGGGTGGGTTACCTGCAGCAGCACCAGCGGGGGGTCCTCCTCCCCCACCACCGGCGCCACGGTTCAGGTTCGCTGGTGCGTTGCCACCGGCCTGTGGGGCCGGTCCTGGTCCGGGTACGGCGATCCCCCCCGCGCCTCCTCCAAATGCAATCGGAATCGCTGCCGGAACAGAAAATGATCAACACCTCTGACCGAGACCACTCAACCTCGCGCGCAGAACGCAGAACGCAGAACGCATGACTCACCAACCGTAATCGCCGCCTGGATGAGCGGTGCGAACCCAGCTCCAAAGCCCCTCCCCAACGCCGCCTCGGACTCATCATCCGCCGACGGAGTCTTGATTCTCAAACTTTTCAACCCACCCCCAATCGTGCCAAAAAGAATCCCCAATCGATCCAACCTCTCGTCCACAAGTTCAGACTGCGTCCAATTTGATGCTGCGTGCGCGGCTTGGTCGAGGTCGTAGATGAAGGCGAGCTCGGTCAAGCGTGAGGATTTGAGGAAGAGACCATGGAGCTGCGAGATGGAAAAGAGCGCTGTGGGGCACCAAAATCGACGCAAGGCGGGAAGACACGATTTGAATTGGGATGAAGGGGGTGAGGGATCGACGTAGCCCGTGATGTCTAGTGCACGCAAGTCCTTGAGCGTCAAGAAACCCTTGATGTCATCCATCGAGACCGGGGCGCCGTACACGAGCTCGTCGAGCGAGGGCAAGCATTCGACGATCAACTCGGACATGCGCACGCCACCGGTGAAGTGGTCGAAGCTGTCGAGATTACGCGGCCGTGAATAGGCGATATCGCGATCGACGATGATGCACAGCCGACGGAGGTGAGGTACTTGGCGGATGATGTCGGGCAAGAGGAAGCCGTAGTCGTGCTTGGCTTGACGAGAGTCCTCGAATGAGCTGCAGAATGGTGGCACGTCAGCACGAGAGCGGAGATTTGTGTATCTCTCGAATGATATGTGACCCACAGCAGCTGTAGATGTAACGAACGCAGGCCCAATGCGATGCTCGGTTGTTGCTGTAGTCGACGTGAGAGGTTGGGCAGCATCTTAAGCTCGAGTACGAGTGTTTCCGAGTGACAGATCGGTCTGCAGCAGGAGCGGACTGCATGGAGCGGACTCGAAGCGTAAGTTGAGCGTACAAGACCAAACGTGGTCCTTCCACTCACACATCTTGTTTACACGTGCGAGCGAGTTTATCTCGGTCCAAGCTCGGATGGCACGTTGGGTATGAGAGTAGGATAGGTGGGGGTCGTGGTAGGCCAGGGCCTTGAGATGATCGACAATGACGAGGATTACATCCATCGGTAGACGGTTGATAGCTCTCTTGCCATATGCGACGGAGCTGGGTGAAGAGTGAGGAGAGTCAATCGAGCCGATCTCGATGATCGGGAGTAGGGCCCAAGACCCGGGAAAACTGACTCGTGAGGGGTTGGTCTGACCTTGTCAGAGGATGCGGCTCGACTGTGGTGTGATGTTGACTTGTCGTTCAAGAGTTGGAGCAAGTCCCTCTTGGTGAGGGGTCTGTCCATTTCTGGATGAGAGAAGAGGAGGATGCGCGATGAGCTCGCCCGAGTCCAAAGTGACAGGGGCCAATTGAGGGACTGCTGAAGTAAGGTAAGTGGCGCGGCGGCACCTTTGCGACTGACGGGTTTGTAAAGCGAGTTGGAGTACATCGACGAGTTGATCGACCTGTTGCTTTGACCAGGTGATGGAGCCATCGGGGGTTTGACTACTCTGCTGCTGGACATCTTGGATGAGCCGTTCCAGTTCGTGGCAACTATCTCTGTCTCGGGGCTGAGCTTGCTCGTCGTCGTCATCGTCGTCGTCCTGAGCTGACGCCGAGCCAGATGCCGTCCCACCCGTCGCCAAGGCCAACGATGAGATCAAAAAAGAATGATGGACATGCGGCATGGATACATCGTTGAGCCAAGACGATCCCGCATCGGAGTCGGTTGTCATCGCGACACCGTCAGAGTCGATCGGCTCCGTCTCCGTCTCCGTCTCCGTCTCCGTCTCCGTCTCCGTCTCTGGCTCGTTCGGTCGCTGGCGTTGACTGGGACGGCGCTCAATTGGAGTTTTACTGTCAGGCGCCGCCCCTGATGAGCCTGATGCTTGGCCGGGCGCACTCGTATTGGAGTAGTCGTCATCGTCGGCTGCACGTTTGGCCGGTCTGTTGACTGAACCCATGCTGTGGAGTTTGAGACGTGGACTCGTGGAGGGAGAGAGTGATCAGCCAAGCCGCGGCCAGGGACACCGGTGTGATTGACCCGACCCGACTGGGCCTCGCATACTCTCGCATATGCCTCGCCGACCGTTTTTACGGGCCCGAGCGACAGGGAGGTCCGTGCGAGTCGACGCGCAGGTGGCCCGAGTCGGCCGTCGTAGTAGGCTCTAGTAGGCTCGGGCTCTGAGGTCGATCCGAGGAGCGACAACGCACCATCCGTCCTGCCTACCTCTCCACGCTGTGCCTGCCCAAACCCCTGAACCACTTGGCATCTACCTCGACCCCTGAGCCATCGAACCTGTTGCACCTCCAACTCGGGCATCAGCATCCACTCCCCGGATCCACATCCGCATACGCATCCCCTACTACTGACCCTTGTCTCCGCGTACAGTCCACATCTTGGAGCATGGCCACTACCAACAACACTTGGCCACCTGCTCTCAAGTCAGTCCGATCATCACCCATCACCAGCCATGACGACCCACTGACGTTCCTTCTCACCCCCCGCGTTTGGGTTCATTCCACCCTTCCTCTCGTCATTCGCCGCTCTGGCCCCATCTCCACACTCCCTGTAGAGCCTTTGTCAACGACACATTCGCGAAATGCACCGACAATAACCGTCCCGCGGTCGAGCGGGAGCTCAAGGCGCTCATCTTTGACGCCTTCAAGCGCAGCAAAGAGGAGCTCTGGAACATTGACTGGTCAAAGGTCGAGCTGGAGAGGTGAGTCGACGGACAGGCCCAGCTCTTATGACTCTGCTGACCCGGTCCTTCCTTCATCACAGCCTCAAACCACCGTCCAAGAAGCGCAAGTGAGTCCGGCGCACATGAGACCGCCCATATGCCCTCCCTCCCTCCCCACACGCACTAGACTGACCTCACCTCTACGTGTTCCCAGAATCGCTCACAAAGCTTCTTCCATCGTCCACTCGTCACCCGCATCCTACGGCATCACCCATGGCCTCGAAAACCATCGCCGAGAGGAACGAGCTCGGCGCTTCAACAATGGTTCCCCGCTCGGCAACGGCGTCGCATCCACTTCTTCCTCTTTTGCAGCGAACCCACCCGGGCGATTGGCCCAGGCAGGCGTCAACCCTTTGTTTCACAGCTCGACGCCCGAGCCGGATAGCGTGTATGACCCGGTGCGTTTCTCTCGTGGGGCAGAGGTGTCCGAGCATGGACTCATCTTCGGCTCGTCCCTCAGAACGTCATCGATTGGGATCATCATACCATCGTCGGTACCAGCACCGTACTCGAGAAGCGCTTCCTGCGCCTGACCTCCGTAAGACCATGACGTACCCAAGAGTCAAGATCTGCTGTTGACGCCGTTCCTTATGTCTCTTGCAGGTCCCTGATCCTTCGACAATACGACCTCTGCCGGTATTGAAAAAAAGCTTTGAGGTGCTCAAACGAAAGTGGAAGGATGGCGAGGTGACCTACCCGTGGATTTGCGACCAGTTCAAGAGTATGCGACAGGACTTGACCGTGAGTGTGGTCGGTCCGGCCAGCCTTTCAGGCCACTTGAGTTGATTTTGCTTATCCCGCCGATCACACTGCGCAGGTGCAACGAATAAAGAACGAGTTCGTCGTCCAAGTTTACGAGATCCACGGTCGACTAGCACTGGAGAATGTGGGTCCACAACACGTCTTCCATTAACTCTGTCGAAGCGAGACTGAGACCGTGTTGAGGGTCCATAGGGCGATTTGGGCGAGTTCAATCAATGCCAAGGCCAGCTGCGCGATCTGTTCAAGTTGGGGATACCCGGCCACCGAGAAGAGTTCCTCGCTTACCGCATCCTGTACCTGCTCTATTCCCGGAATCGAGCCGGTGAGTCTCAGCTCGTGCAATGCCGTTCATGGGAAACTGAGCTAATCGCTAACCCCTTCCGCAGAACTCAACGCCACACTAGGTAGCCTGACACCTGAAGACACCAAGCATAAAGCGGTTGCGCACGCACTCGCGGTCCGGCTCGCTTCGTCGCAAGGCAACTATGCCAAATTTTTCCGGTTGTTCAAGTCCGCGCCGGGGATGAACGGCTACCTGATGGATCCGATGGTCGATCGAGAACGGGTCTCTGGCTTGGTTCTGTTGACGAAAAGGTGGGCAGGCGGCTCGAGGACACCCACCAATCAGGAGGGGACTGACTTTGTTCCCCCTTTTTCTCACCCACCAGCTACCTGGATATTGAGCTCACTTTTTTAGCATCGCAGTTCGCTTTCCAGAAATCGGTTAAAGGCCCCAACAACACCTACATCGAAGTCGACGACCTCGACGATCTCATCGCCTTCTTGACCAAACACAACGCCAGTCAATTTAAACCTTTCACACCGGGGACGCCGGATGCGAACAAACGATTGGATTGTAAGACCGTGCAAGGGAGTTTGCAACTCGCTTTGGCCAAGTTCACCAAGGTCGATATCAAAGGGCAGGTGTAGGACCTGCTCGTTTTTGATCACGCATCTCTCGTCTGGCGTCGATGCGCCCTTTTCCCATCCTCTTCCTCTTCTCTTGCCCCTCCTTGTCACGTTCTGGCGACTGATCGGTCAGTTCTGCCTCCAACGGATACGGATCACGAATAGCCTTCCCGACCCCCTATATTCGTCTTTCTATGCTTCATTTGTTTTTGGTTGGACTCCCCTCGTCCCCTTGCCGCTCGCCGCCTCGCCGTGGCCGCGTGATCCCGCATCATCTAGCATTTTTTTTAATTTATCTTCAGAGTAGTACTTGTTACCTCTCGTATTTGTCTTTTCTGTGTTTCTGGACCACTGCAACGCGCAAACTCAGAACTTTACGTTTCGACGTTCTCTGAGCGGTGTGACGTAGACGATGTGTGACGTCGACGGTTTCAAACGCTGCTGGGCGCGGCGCGGCGCGTTCGTATCTCGGTGGAGCACCGTTCGAGTTGGATCTGCCCCTGACCTGCATTGCTTCATTAACGGAGCAGGGGCTACGCCGGATCGTCTCACCAGCGGTCGTACCAGACGACCCATCATACCACGATAGAATGAGCGAACCCTCCCCATCGGCGTCGTCATCTACGGTTGTAAGAGGAGGAGGAGGAGGAGGACCTATCGGAACTTCGTCCGGATCTGCCACTCCCCCGCCCCCCACAAACAGTCGAACGACGAGTCCGAGTCCCAATCCCAATACAGGATCGCTCGGTCGTTCCTCGGCCCGTCGAACGCTGCGCCAATCATCGAACGAGATCCTCTCCGCTCATCCGTTATTGGCTTCCCCACCACCTCACCAAACCGAGCTCAATCTCGGCGCTTCAACTGGACCCGGAAACGGGACTGGTCCACTAGGAGCTGTCGCGGGGGGTGGTGTAGGGGGGACTTATCCTGTTTATTCAAGATCGACAACGACCGGTTCCGGTATGCCTACTAGGACGAGTTCGTTGCATCAGGACGATGGCTCGTCGACGATGGGCGATACGTTACCTTCGAGTCCGTTGACGACCGCTGCTCCGCCGTTGGTTTCTCGTCCTTCGAATTCGACCTTACCTTATGCAAGACCGTCGGCCAGGATCCAGGATTCTTCTTCGTCTTCAATGACGCCGACCACTCGAGCTTACGCCCGTTCGATCAGTGAGGCGCAGGAGAAGTTGCAAGGCCAACAACTCAAAGCTGAGGTCCAGGCGTTGGGATTGGGTAACGATTCGGTCGGCGCGATGATGGTGAATAGGTTGGTGGGCGCGTTCGCAAAAGGGAAGAAGGCGGACTGGAGTGGTGTGTTGGGAGCTTTGACGGGGAACGAAAGGGTGGGTGTTTAAATCAAATGGAAGAACGGGGCTGATTTTTTGGTGTGTTCGCGGGTAACTGATCGACTTCTCAATGTGTCTCAGGCCGTCCTCCTCTTGCCGGCGGAAAAGATTCCGAGTAATACGACGCTCAGTTCGAGCTTCTTCATCGACCATCTTGCGCTCGTCAAGGAGTTACCCTCGACGTCGACGTCGACCAAGGCGCCGAGGAAAGCTTTTGTCACGTTGGGGGGGATGAGGGGGTTCATTGATCAGTGAGTTTTGGATAGACATAGGGATGTGCTATGGGTTCAAGGCTGATTTTATGGGGCTTTGGTGTGAAGGAACGAGATTGTGTTTGCGAGTCATTGTCCACTTGACTCGACGCGGGATTTGAACGAGCCCAAGGTGCTGAGGTCAGTTGGAGATCCTCTCGTTTCGCCACCGAAAGATTCTCAGCTGACCGGCAGCTCTACGCTCACCTCTAGCTCGATTCTGCATAGCCTTCATCAAGACGTGACGAGTGCTTCGTACCCTTCCATCTTTCTCATCTCGACGATCTCGAAACTCGCAATCCCCCGACCTTCTTCCTCGAGAGGTGCAACGGTGGGCACAACGGGCGGTCGCTCCGTGCCTACCGGATCGTCAACGAGCAGTCGACTCGCCGCTCTCTTCGCTAAACCGACGAATGATGATCTCCCTCCTGTCGTTCCTGCACCACCTGGTTTGTTATCCAGTACGACGACATTGACATCGGAGCAATCCACACGGACAACCCCGACATCGACGACGACGAGTCGACATCATCTAGACGTGTCGGTTTTGACGATCGGCAAGGCCATTCGCACCAAGGAGATGCAAAAGGATGTGCTCCGAGGTACGCTCGATGGGATCCGAAAGGGTCTCAAGTCGATCGAAGGGTGTAACGAGAACGCCATCATCGAACGGGTCGTTGCGTTCGTCCAGAAGATCATTCCCAACCCTTCTACCACACCCGGCATTAATTCGACGTCGACCACCCCGTCGATCGAGGAGATTGCCGAGCTCTATCAAGACCTCAGTGACGCGACGAGGGTCGATCTAGGGCGATCGATCCGGACGATGATGATAGCTTCGAAAGGGGGTGATCAAAGCTTGTTCGGCGCTTCGGATTTCGCGACCCTCGAAACGCGCGTCGACGAGGCCTTGGAACGTGTCGAACAACTTCTCACGAATGTCTTGTACGATCGATTGTATTCCCCTTCTCAAGCATCGGACGCACAAGAGGACGACAAGTTGAGTTCGAGGATTAGAGGTTTGCGAGCCATGGACCTCTCACTGGATCATCTAGGCGTCGATCTTGATGCCCCTCAAGCGAACGAGGAATGGGCCAAAGAACCTCGAACGATGCGCAAGTCGTTGGAGGACGTCATCAGTTTGGTCGGGAAGGAATTGGATCGATTATCAACTGATGAAGAAGGGCTTCGATCACCGAAAGCGAAACTGGGCATATTCGTGGGCGTTCATCAATTGATCGTGGATCAATTGAGCGAGTTGCCGCCTGTGCCGTTGAAGAAGGACCTTTCGGTGAATGCGGCTTCGGGACGGGGTGGGGAGGTCGAGATGGATGACGCGACGTCACTGATGACGACGGGGAGTGATTCGAGGTCGCTCTCACCTACTCGGGAGGTCGAGGAAGATGAAGACTCGTTACTCAAAACGCCGACGGCGGCGACGCACAAGGCTGCAGAGAGGGACGGGCTTTCGCCTCCGGCGGTGCCAGAAATGTCCCTTGCCGGGTCCGAGTTGGAACCATCGGTAGAGGAGGCGCTTTCGTCGTCGGTCTTTGATCTGAAGCCACCGAGGGAAACGACACCAACACCTGGAAGTGCGGCATCGTCCAAACCTACCTCAATCGTAGAAGAGAGGACGTCCACCGCCGCCTCTTCGTCCAAAGCGAGCTCAATTCGAAGTCGAAAAGCCCCCGCCTCCTCAAGTGCGGATCTGATCCTCCCTCTCCTCATCTACGCGACCCTCCAACACGATCCCCCACTCCCATCGCATCTCAAATACGCACAAAGGTTCCGCGCCGAGTCGTTGATGCGCGGCGAAGCGAGTTACTGCGCGACCAACATCCAAGCCGTCATTGAATTCCTCACGACCGTCGAGTTGTCCTCCCTAGGGATGATTGAACCCTCAGCTTCAACCAACAAGACCCCTCTCGAATCCGGTTCCACGACGACCACAGGGGCAAATTCCTTCCTCTCCTCCCTCAGTACCCGAACATCCCGCGCGTCCTCGATCTCCTCCCTTCGTAAAACCACTACCCAAACTCTCTCTCAACAAGTCACTTCTCGCGAACTCGACCAATTCGTCGATCAAGCCAATCGATCACTCGTCAACGTCGTAGGGATGTTGTTCGGTCCGGGTGGGTTCGCACCCAAGACGATTGAGGATGTCAAGAGTGTATTGGATGGGGCGGGCAATGCGGTCGCGAAGAAAGCTACGGGGGGTTATTTGAGGAGGACGGGGAAGGGGAATAAAACGGGGACGAATCAGGTGGAGGAGAGTGAGACGTTGGGGGTTGGCTCAGAGGGGATCAAGGAAGGGAAGGGAAGTGGGAAGGAGAGGGAGATGGTCGATTTCGTTCCGGGGGCAACGGACGATTTGGAACATCCAGTCGAGGACTACGTCGAACCTGATCACATGCAAGAGGTCGAAGCTGAACCGACGACGACGACGACGACGGGTACTATTGCAAGTGATCAACGTTCAATCAGGAGTATTTCTTCCATTCTCCGAAGGGACGCAACGGACGAACGACCCTCGTTAGGCGAACGGATCGCCAGTTTCCCAGGTTTGAGTCGATTCGGATCCTCCGGTGGGAACGGTGTTACAGGAGTGGAGAAACAAGCGACGAATTCATCAACGACGACTTTGGCGAGTTCAGGAGTCAAACCTTCTACAGGGGGTTTCTTCTCCTCCACTTTCGCGTCGACCAGTCCCTCGAGATCCCGCAGATCGACCCTCTCCAGCCTTAATAACGTCGAAGGGATCACCCCGATGACAGCAGCAGCAGCCGCTGCCACAATGGGTGTCCGTCCCGCTGCTCGGTTCTTGGGGATCCAAGTGGAGGAGCTTAGGGTTGGTCAAGTGGGTGAATTGTTGGAGGAGTATCAGAGGTTGGCTAAAGCTTTTGTGGCGCTGCAAGAGGCTTCGATGGGTGGGCGCCTGGAAGGGGGCATGGGAGAGGTCGAAGAAGGGATCTGAGTAGGGTGCTAATGTAGATGCTCTACTTGTGTGTACTTTGACAGAGGGTGAAGAAGGGGTCTGAATAGGGCGTTAGTGTAGATTCTCTACTTGTGTGTGTGTTTGACGACCCCTGTTGACGAGTGCAATCGATTCCGGAATCGTTCGGACGTAGCATAGCCCCAGCGACCCCAGCGAGTTTGGTTTCGTTTTGATCATCAAGAATCGATTGCACAAACGAAAGAATGGAACCGCTCGAAAAAAAGAGGCCGGGAAAAAAGAAGTGAGGAGAAGTGTGTGCTTTTTGAAAAGATGAAGTTGTCGAGGTGTTGAGAACACTGACAACAGAGTCGAGAAAGGAGACGATCGAGGAGGTGATGTTCAATTGCCATCCGGTTTCATTTCCCCTCCTATACACACATTTCCGCCTCCTTCCGCGTTCGTCCCTTCTTCAAACGACTCCGTTCCTCGATGAATGCAATCCTTCCTCGACAAAGGACATCGTGGCATTGCTCCTAGTAACTCGAGATGGTGGACGTGTGCGCGGTGGATTTATTCGGAGGAAGGCTTGACCTTGCGAGTAGCGGTAGTACCTTCACGGAAGCTGGAGGACGGGATACAACATCAGGTCGAGTCAGATCGACCGACTTGAGTGATGAGACGTACCCATTCTTGAATCGACGCGAGACGTCCTTGAGGTAGGCCATGCGGCCGGTACCGGTCGTCTTTCTTCGCTTGGCCTTTTGTCCCCACTCGTCTGTTTTCAAGTCAAAAAGAGGTTCAAGGGTTAGTGGGATTGGTTCTGTTTCACGAAGCTGCGCTGGACGGTAACTTGCAAGAGCGGATCTTGGCAGCCGGGTATCCGCACGAAGCGCACGACTTGTGCTGCTTGTGGAAAGCACGTCGACCGCATCGACGGCACAAACTGGGGCAAGGAGGAAGGAGAGGAGAGGAGGGATCAGTCTCTGTGAGGGCAAGACGGGCCGGGGTAGAGTGTGTGCGACTCACGTGTGCGTCTTGGTGTGACGCTTTCCGAACGAACTTGTACCCTACAGCAGTCGTAACGAACAACAGAGCTACGTCAGCAGCTATTCGCACAGGTGTATTGCGCGTCGTGTGTAGTAGATGGGCTGGCGTGGCGTGGTCGGAGGCGTGGGCGTCGGTGCAGGGGGTTGTCGGCGTGTGCCGTGTGCGGGTCGAGTGCGAATGCAATTCCTGGGCGATTGCTGGCTGGTGCGTGCGGGCGGGCGTGCGATCACCGCCCGTACGCGTCCCAGCCCCTACGGCCTACAGCCATTCGATTCCATGAATCCGTAGGTTCCGGATGCCTCCATCATGCCCACTGTAGCTCTGGCGGGTAGTCGATATCGTGGTGTGGTGCGGTCGGTTTTTTAGAGCCTCAGCGGCGGTCGTCGTCGTTGTCGCTGGCCCAGTCGACCGCCCGCGCCATTCGCATCCCAGCCCAGTGCCAGCCCAGTGCCAGCCCAGTGCCAGTGCGCCCCTCAGGCCGTGCTCAAGTCGATGGATCGTTGCAGTGTGGTAGGTAGAGGTCGAAACAGAGATCTTTGCCACGCAGTTTCGAGGTATTTACCTTGGTCATGGTGTGGTCGAGTGGTCGGTAATGGAAGACTGGCGAGACGGCGGAGGAACGAGAGCCCGGCCGGTCTGCTAGTCGTTTCTCTCTCTCTCTCTGGTCGCGCCAAAATACCTACCGCAGCCTGCCTGACCTGCCGCAGCCTGGCCAGTTTCTCGGCCCCAGCGGCCAGCCAGCGACTGAGCTTTTTTTTTTTCCGCTGCGCCTGGCCCGGGCGCGCGCCTCACCCGCACCCACCGCGGCCGGCCAAAACTGGTCAAAATGGACCGGGCCTGGCTGGCTTCGGGCGCGCCTGCGGAGTGTGCGACGCTGGCTGGGCCTTGCTGGGCCGAATGTCGCGGCGGGTGCGTCGTCTGGCCCCGGGTTCGCCTTTCGCCAGCTTTCGTCCCGAAGACTGCATCCGTTAGTTGCACAGGTAACCAAAGTCGGTACACTCGCCCTCGTTCAGAAAACACTTCCGGATGTCTCCCTCCTCTGATGATCAGGCATGCTGACCGTCGTGTGCTCTGTCCTCCGTACTCCGTCCCTTCCCTCCTTTGCTTGCGTCAATTTTGTCCTCGCTCACGACACTACCTCCCGACCTGACTCCGACTACACCCGACCACGTTCCCCATTTCTCTCTCTCTAGGCTCGTCAAAAGTGAGTACCATGTGGTCTTACAGTCGACGACGACCCGCGATCGGCTGCAGTGGCTGACAATCACCTCACCCCCTCTCCGCGCGCTGCGTCCTGCTCGCTTTCGTCTTGGTCTCTTCACAGTGCAAATCTTCGTCAAGACCCTCACGGGCAAGACCATCACCCTCGAGGTCGAGTCGTCCGACACGATCGACAACGTCAAGACCAAGATCCAGGACAAGGAAGGCATCCCCCCCGACCAGCAACGTCTCATCTTTGCCGGCAAGCAGCTCGAGGATGGCCGCACGCTCGCGGATTACAACATCCAAAAGGAGTCGACGCTCCACTTGGTGCTCCGCCTGCGTGGTGGTGCCAAGAAGCGCAAGAAGAAGACGTACACGACCCCCAAGAAGATCAAGCACGTGCGCAAAAAGGTCAAGATGGCCGTGCTCAAGTACTACAAGGTCGACTCGGACGGCAAGATCAAGCGCTTGAGGCGCGAGTGCCCCACCCCCGAGTGCGGCCCTTCGGTCTTCATGTCCTTGCACTCGAACCGTCAGTACTGCGGAAAGTGCGGTCTTAGTAAGTGGTTTGGTCGCGGGTCTCTTTGTGGGATTCCTGCTTCCGAGACTAACGATGAGCTGCTCTCTCTGTCTACAGCCTACCTCTTCGAGGAAGGTCAAACCAAGGCCTAAATGTGAATGGGGTCCGCATGATGGAGTAGGCGCATTTGGGTTCAGAAAGCACTACTTTGGAGACTGTGACTGCAATCACCCCATCGTACCAGCTTTCACGCACTTGCCTCGGTTCTTGTCTGTTAGTACACCGAAGAGACTTTCGAGAGAAGCCTTCACCTGCCAACCTTGACAAAAAAGCTCCAATCGGAAAATCATCGACCTGGACAAAGAGCAGTATCATTTCTTTTAATCAGACTTGACTTGTGCCTTTGACTGCCCGTGACTGCCCGTAGCATTGTCGGTCGTGCTGAGCTGATCGCCGACCAGACGCTCTTTCGCTCCGTGCTCGTCGCTGCTCTCGGGGTCCTTGGATAACTTTATCACTGGACTGTGCCACAGGATGAAGAGATCGTGAGTCAATTCGAGTCTGCGAGGTCTCAATTTGAAGGATACTTCACTGAGACTCGTTGCTCGTCGCTGTGACTCAGAATGCTGTCGCTGTCGCGAAGGTCGACGGGCGTGCTCGACTTCTTGGCGCCTAGCACCGTCAATTCGAGCTCGAGTTCCAAAGCTGGATTTTCAACGACATGTTGCAACGCATCCACCTCCAAATGTACTGCAACCGGTCCTTCCTCGTTGCCGGCGACACCACGCGTCCAGCCGGCTTCGTCCCCTTCGCAGCAGCAGCCGCTGCGAACCGTAACAGCTCGTCCAGCTCACACACCCAGAAACTCAAAGTCGGACAAGAGCTCACACCCACGACCCAAACCCAATTATGGTTCCAAACTCAAAGCCACGGCCTCGACATCGAACAAAGCCGCGATCCCATCGGCCCTCGCTTTGCTCGCCGAGATCAGGGCCAGCATGGCCACCCCCCCTGTTCCACCCGCAGCCGCCGCCGCTCAGTCGACCCCTTCGACGTCTGCGTCGACCTCGGTTCCCTTCGAATTGGCCGAGACAAGTCCCGAGGCCAGCTCAATCACATCTTCGCCCACAACACCCGTTATATCCTCCTCCACTCCGGGTCCGGCGACAAGCTTGGATTACAACAAGGCCTTGCAGAACCTGATCGACGGCACGACCCGACCCCTTTCTTCGTTCCGAGCCGCCTTTCTCCACGGATGGCTTCCGATCCGACGTATGCGCATGGCCGGTCAATTGCAACCCAAAGACATGGCCAGGGTTCTCGAAGCGTGTGCGAGCGAGTCCCGACGAGGCGCGAGTTCGCAGGCCGGTTGGTCCGACGTCAAAGAACTGTTATTGTACCTGTACGGATCTTCCGATCCCAGCGGGGTCACGGCCTGGGCATGGAGGGAGTTACAGCTCGGCGTGTCGGGGGCCGAGAAAGTCGTCGAGTTGTGGGATTCGATCCTCAAGGAAGAATACCTCCAACTTCGCTCCGGTCCCAACTCATTGGATCATCGTTCCCTGGCCGGTGGAGCTCCTTCGATCGAGATGCTGCTTCGAAGCAAAGCCGCGAGTACGATTCCCTCTGGCGGACTCTTCCACGCTTACGTCGTCGCACGATCCTTGCTTTCGACTCTACAACCCGAACCGAACCGACCTTCCTTCGCCTCGATCCTCCCCTCCCTCATCGGACATCCCCTCGCCCCACTCCTAGCGAGTTATCGTAAGCGCGCACCCGATGAATTCAACTACAATCTGCACGCATTACAAAATCGCGCGCAATTCAACAACGCTTCCATCGTCATTTCCGAAGCTCAAAGTTGGACACGTCAAGTCCTGTTGGCGCAGTTGTGGTATTTGAGAGGAGTCGATCCGGCCTTTGGTTTGGTTAAAAGGATTAGAGGGATGGGTAGGAGGAGTGGGCAAGAAGAGGTTGCTTACTTTTGGGAAGCGATCGTTGAGGGGGTCGAGAAGGAGACGGTGGCGTGGATTGAGACGAATGAGTGGAGTCAGAATGCGAGGAGGATGCATGTTTCGATCAGTGAAAAGGACGTGGAACGAGAGCATGAGAAAGAGGAAGAAGAGCAAGGTGTCGCGGAGCCAGAGCGGGAGCAAGGAGAAGGGGACGGCGAGCAAGCCGAGGCGACCGCTGCGGAAGGGAAGGAGACCGCAACTCCTGCTGCACCTCAAGCGAGGACGTCGTTCCCACGGGCCTCGTTGATCCCCGCCATCGTCGCACCTTTCATCACCGTCTTGACCCGAGCCAAGGACTTCGACAGCGCCGGTAGAATCTGGAGTTGGATCCCTGCGCGCGGTCTGTCGCACAACGTCGTCACATACACTGCGTTGATCCAAGGCTACGCGCAACGCCACGATCTCGAAGCGACCGAGACGGTCTACGCTCAGATGAGGCAAGAGGGTATTCAACCCAACGTCTGGGTCGAGATGGAACGCGTTGGGGTCTACCTGAACAATAGGGATCCCCAACATGCCATCAACCTCTTTGAAACCATGTCCAAAGACGCTTCGATCCTCCGCGAACTACCCGAAAGGAAGTTGCCCGCCCCCGTCTGGGGTCAAGTCATTCGCGGTTTGTTGGTCAACAAGCTCGAGAACGAGGCGATGGCGATCGTGCAGAGGATGGAAGAGGCGCAAGTCCCTTTCACCGTCTACCATGCCAACAACCTCCTCAAGTACTACGCGAACCGAAAACCTCGAGCCGATCTTGCGGGCGTGTCTCGCATTCTCCGCCTCATCTCCGAAAAGGGCATCGAAGCCGACGTCTTCACCTACACGATGATCCTGCAAGCCCTCCTCGATGCAGGTCAAAAGGACTCGGTCGCGAAACTGATGCGCATCATGGAATCGGGTAAGATCAAACCGACAACGACGACGTACGGTTCCTTGATCCACCACCTCGCCAACTCGGGTGAACCCGATCGACTCGCCGCGGCCGTCGATCTCATCGACGAAATGGAACGATCGAACGTGCTTACGAACGAGATCATCTACACCTCCGTGATCCAAGGGTTCCTCCTTGCCATCGACCCCGCCTCAGTGGACGACGAAGGTGCTCATCCTTACTTCGTCGCCGCGCTCAACCTCAAAGCTCGAATGCACCAGCGTCGCATCCCCTTCAACCGCATAGGCTACAACGCCCTCATCTCCGCTGCCATGTCCCTACGCTCACGTTGGGGCGTTCAGTTAGCGATGGAGACCTTCCGGGAAATGCAAAACCATCGTCCGAACGCTAACCAGAAGAATTCCTCCGGCTTCGGAATCGCCGTACCAGTGGATACGGAATTCGACAAAAAGGGTGTGGCCGTAACGCCTTTGGATACGTGGTACACGCTCATTGACGGTTTCGTCAAGATGGACAATTACAAGGCCGCGTCGGCTTTGTTGAGGGAGATGCAAGGGTCCGGTATTGAGATTGGCCAGTCGAGGAAGATGGCGCAGTTGGCGACCAAGATCAACAGAGGGGGTTGGTAGCGCACGGGAGGAGGCGTATGTTATTCAAAATGATGTTTTGGCATTATGCTGTATCTCAGAGACCATGGAGGAGCGAGACAAGAGGCTTGATAAAATCCATCGAAAAGCCGGCGCAATCATAATTACTCGACTTCGGACTGACACATCGTAGGAATCTGCACCGATTGCGCTGGTCTGGGAAAGCGATGTCGTTCAGAGAAATGTCAGACGGAATACTTGGTAACTTCAATTATGTAGCAGCGACCGCTCTCGGGTTTCATAGGCGAACGGCAGCAGGGAAGAATTGGGGGATGCGGTGCGCGGCAGCGCGAAAAGGTAGGAATGATTACACAGTAGGGAGTGAAATACGAAAGTAGGAGATGAAGAACAACAATGTGATCGCGCCGCAACAGACAAGCCACAAAGCCCATTCGAGGGGGTAAGGGGGAGACAGGAGTCGATTGATTTAGACACCGAAACCGTAGAGCGTTCGGCCGGATCGCTTGAGGGCGTAGACGACATCGAGCGAGGTGACCGTCTTGCGCTTGGCGTGCTCGGTGTAGGTGACCGAATCACGGATCACGTTCTCGAGGAAGATCTTGAGCACACCTCGCGTCTCTTCGTAGATCAGACCGGAGATACGCTTCACACCACCACGACGTGCGAGACGGCGGATGGCCGGCTTGGTGATACCCTGGATGTTGTCACGTAACTGTAGATGGACGGTGGGCAGTCAGCACGGTGTTCCATTACGTGCAGGCTGATACATGAGATGGAACGTACGATCTTGCGGTGACGCTTGGCTCCACCCTTTCCGAGTCCCTTTCCGCCCTTTCCACGTCCAGACACTGCAGGAGATTATGAGGTCAGTCGATGGCTTTTTGAGTGAGAACTGATGCGTGGGACTGACTGTTTGTAAAAGTTGTTGTTGAGGGGGGTTGGGTGCAGGGGAGTGCGAGTTCGCGAGCTTGTGAAGGAAAGGAGGGAGAGAGCCTGCAGAGCGGGTGCGGTCAAAGTCACTCAGCAGCGCCGGTCTGTTGTTTATCTGCCTCGACCTAGGCTGGGCACGGCCACGATGCAGGCCTACGAACGAGCGTAACGGGGAGACGCCTCGACCTAGGCCCGCGCCGCCTAACTCGAGGCCATCATCAGCGCGCGCGGCCAGGGCATGCCTCGAGTTAGGCCCCGACCTGCAAACAACACGCTTGCCGAGACGCGCGACTACGATTCAACCAACTCGGTCGCCCTTTGCCTTCCCTTTCCTCACATCCACACTTCAACGTCTACTTGTCAATCTTATCTACAATGGCCCGCACAAAGCAAACCGCTCGCAAATCTACCGGTACGTCTCACACCCTCGCATGGCCCCAACCCTTGCTCTGTCCTCGGACAGGGGCCTCTCTCAAGTCGTCGTCGCCTCGCTTGCTGACCACCTCATCCTTCACCCCCCTCGTTGAATGTTCTCAGGTGGCAAGGCGCCCCGAAAGCAACTCGCTGCCAAGGCCGCTCGCAAGTCGGCCCCCGCCGCCGGTGGTGTCAAGAAGCCTCACCGATACCGTCCCGGAACGGTCGCTCTCCGTGAAATTCGTCGTTACCAAAAGTCGACCGAGCTCCTCATCCGCAAGCTCCCCTTCCAGCGTCTCGTCCGCGAGATCGCGCAAGACTTCAAGACCGACCTCCGCTTCCAGTCGTCGGCCGTGATGGCTCTTCAAGAGTCCGCCGAGGCGTACCTCGTCTCCTTGTTCGAGGACACCAACTTGGCTGCCATCCACGCCAAGCGTGTCACCATCCAGCCCAAGGACATCCAGCTCGCTCGTCGTCTCAGAGGTGAGCGCTCGTAAGCGCTTCTCCTGTTCGATGGAAGAAAGGGGGAGGAAGGACGTTGCCATTTCGTATTTCAGTTGGAGCGGGGAAAAGGCGTTCAATGGGGAGGCACATGTTGGTGGCCATCTCTTTTTGCCTTGTTTGTAGCTTGATTTCTTAGCTCGGTCGGCTAGCCGCTGTTGTAAACCCATCTTACGCATCATGCCACCGCATTCTCCGTCTCCTGTCCCTCTGAGTGAGAACAGTCGTCGCCTGTAAAGTATCGCATCATCTGCGCTGCAAAGCCCTGCCCGTTCGGCTGGGCGACTGCTGCGCACGTGACGCCTGAGCACTCGTACCTTCGAGAGCCTTCTCGCGCTGTGCTCAAGCTTATGTAAGCGGAAAATATAGCAGTAGAAAAGACTGAGGAACGATCTTTGTTTCAAACAGTGTACAAGCAGCTATGGCCTTCCGCCCAAGTCTTTATAAGAGAACCCTTCCCGACCTTCTGCGCACAAGTTCACCGCAACGCATCAACGGCCAACACCCCACTAAACATTTGCCATGCCCAACCCTGGTCACTCAAGAATTCGCAGCAAGCCTGTTCCAACCTCAACCTCCCCGCCGCTTCCCTCGCGTCGCCTGCGTTCTTGCCCGAATGCCTCGCTTGTCCAATGACGTAGAACGCGATACCTTGGAACCTCTCCCGTTCGAGAGCCATCAACGAATCGCCCAAGAAAGAAATGGCCTCGTCGGTGTGCAAGCCATGCAGATCGAGCGCGACCTCCGTTCGTTCCTCGGACCGAAGATCATGAATGTCCCCACCCGAGTTGTGCCGAGGTACGGACATTTGCGCCACGACGCCGAGGCAAATCGTTCCGCCCATCTCTCGACCGCGCACGCGACGATCCGCAACGTCTTCCGTCGATCCACGCGTCCCACCTTCCAATATCGCCTCTTTCAACAGCCTCTTACGCTCGGCCAAGATGCGAGCAGCTGCATCCCTACCTTCGATCGAGACTTGTCGGCCCCAATCCTGCGCTTCTCGACTGAACTTGCGCGCGCCGGCGCCATCGCCCTTCTTGAAGCACTCTGAAGCCCGTGCCAAGCACTTGTTGCGCTTGGCACCGAGTTCGAGGAACGAGGACCTGTAGCGCAAGTACAAAGCCGCAAGTGCAGGTCCTGTTGGCAAAGTCGGTAAGAGAGCGGGGGGTCGCAGGGGGATGCGTGCCGACGGCCTCGGGCGAGGTAGACTGTCGCGCGGGTGTATACCGCCCGCCATCGTCGGCGGACCGGGTGGGCGAGCTGGTTGCCCCATCGCCGAGGGCAAGTATTTGGGCCCCATTTTGACCGCACCGCTGAAACGAGTCCTAGCCGGGTCGAGTACGACCGTTGCTCGACCGCCGATGATCCCAGGCATCCCACGTCGATTCTTTTGCATCTCGCCGAGGGTGGGGAAGTCGACGTCGGGTCCGTCGTCCCGTGCCATGTGTTCGGCCTCGTCATACCCGCCTTGGTCTCTTCGTCGAGCTCGAGCTTCAAAGTCGGCTCGCATAATCTAGAGTGACAGTCCATATCGATGAGCTTGTGGTACAGAGCCAAGCCATTGCGCAGTCCAACTTACCGGAGGAATCGAATGCAAAAAGTCGCAGCGTCCGTCACCCTTAAGGCAATGGCCCCGCAGCCAGAATCTGTGTACGGAAGATCCGCCCGATCAGGAATAGCTCGTCACCAAAAGACCATGCAGCACTAAAACTTACTTGCAAACCGCCTTGCCCACATCATGCGAAAATTTGCAATCGCTCCGCAAGCAATTGCCAGCGAGGTAGTATCGACAGACCCTGCCGCCTACACCCCTCCCACTATCCTGCAGCGACGGGTCGGGGCCTCGCATACCTCCGTGTTGCCCAGGCCATCTCTGTTGCTGAGGACCTCCGAAAGCTCCGCCCCGACCACCTAGGTAAGCGTCGTACGAATCGCGCGACATGATGACGGGTCTCGAACCACTCGCAGCGACCGTCGTCCTGACCTCGTTCATCGGCGCGACTTCGACGCCGGGCAGCAGCCCGAACCCACTTCCCTCTCCTCCGGAGCCATTCATCAACTGCGGGTTCTCGATCAGGTACTCAATCGCTTGATCGACGTCGTACCCCGTCTGTACCAAAACATCCTCGACCAGTTCAGGCGAGATGTTCGAGCTCGCAAAGATGGAGTACAGGTGATCGAAAGGGGTCATACTGTAGGCGCCCATAGCTCCTAACCCTGACGCGCCGACGAGCGAATTGGCGAATTCGATCGAAGACGCGTCACCTGGGCTCATCATGTCGGGTAACAACATGCCCGATCCATCTTCGAGAGTCGGAGTCGAAGGATCGGCAAAGCCCTCGCCGTCGATAAAGTCCCATCCGCCCTGTGCGGGTCGTCCTTGATGCTGCGGGTCCCAGGCCGGTGATTGACCGCGAGGTACGAACGTTGGAGGTCCACTGACGAAACGTCGCTGACCTTCGCCCATGACCTGTCGATCCCACATTGGCCCACCAGCATACCCGCTTGGTCCACCAGGACCGGGGTTATAGGGCTGCCCCGGACCGCCAGGAGGGTCATCGTAATTCTTCGGTTCTTCTGGATTCTCGTCATCGTCGTCATCTTGCTGCCAGGGTAGTCGAACAGGTTTGGCCAGTTTCGAATGCAATGTCTGTAGGGGTAGATTTCGAGGGAAATAACTCGGTGACGACACGTTCGATCCTTCGCCGTTGCTCGGAGGCGCAGTCCCAAGCTTGGGCGTTCCTAGGGGCGAGTTGGCCAGGGCCCAGTTCGCCTGCGCCAGTTGAGCACGATCGGGCGTACCAGGGATGAGAGGTGACGAAGCACCGGGAAGACTGAACGAACTTGTCGCTCCACCGGGCCTGAACTCGGTCGCACCGGCGGAGAACTTGAATTCGGGAGCGTTGGCGCTCATCGCGAGTGACAGGGCCATCGGACGGGGCGAGGACCATGGCGAATGCGAAGGCGTGTGACGGGCCGAGCTGCCCAAGCTGGGGCTTGCCGTCTGGAAAGGACTTGTAGGAGCGCTTCGGGATGATGTCGAGCTAACACTCGATGACAGCGCGATCGAAGCCGCAGTGGGGTTCGAAGGACCGCGTGAGCTCGCGACCCCCAATTGACCGCTCGGTAGGTTTCGCCGAAAGGACGACGAGCGAGAAACACTGGGACGTGAAGAGGGGGTCGTCGAGCCGTGGTTCGGTAGAGGCGGTAACGGATTGCCCGACGGATGCAAGTCCTCGCGGTAGCGGTGTAAAAGCGAGAGAATGATCGGATCCAGATTCGGAAGCGCCTGCTCAGCAAGTGGGGGTTCATCGAGTGCGCAAGGGTCAGCGGAGCCAGAATTTTCAGGAAGATGAATGATGGGCTTACGGAGTCGTTCGGAGCCACGAGTGACGATAAGAGCAAGCGCTTGATTTCTTCGGGCTTGTCATCTTCGTCTATCGAGTCGTTGCCCAGCAGACGAATGACGCTCCTAACTCGGCTGATGAAGCATCAAAAGACACGACGTCAGATCCCACTTCCCGGTCGCGATAGGCTCGAAGCAGCTCACTTTTCTTGTTCTTCGATCGGGTCAATCTCATTGCGACCACTCGGAGTTGTATTCCCATCGTCCGTAACCGCGGCGGCAGCGGAAGGGACGGCGGCCTCGTTCGTACTTGGCTCGTCATCTTGCGATTCGCGCTGGGAGTCATCGTCGTCGACGGCGTCGTCATCGTCCTCCTCCGAGGCACTGGCGTTGCTGGTCCCACTGTTGGAGTTGGAGCTGGCACTATTGACTTGGGAATGAGCTCGACTCTGGGCCAAGGCCAAGCGTCGGACCGACAATTCGAGCTGCTGCGTCGACGAGCTCGTCAAGGAGAGGAACGCCGGCGCGGACGACGACGTCGAGCTCGAGGGCGGACTTGAGCTTGACGCCAGGCCATGCTTGTTCGAATTGGAGGGGGAGGTCGAATAGGTCGAAAAGAGGTAGGAAAGGAGAGCACGGGTGTGGGTGTAAGGGTTGTTGCTGGTGGTAGTGGTGTCGGGTGTGGACATGGTGTGCAGTGGTGTGCAGTGGCGACTAGGGCCAGCGCGGAAATCGGGCTGGGCACGCACGTATGACGTTGGGGGCTCAAGGCGGCGACGGCGATGGGCGACACTGCAGCGGGTGGAGTTGCGTCGGCGTCGGGCGAGATCGTCGGCTAGAAAGTCACAGCACTGAGAGCAAGAGGAGGGGATGTCACGAACGGAAGGAGACCTGGTCTTGGCCAAGTCGCGATGTCGCACGTATGTGTCGAAAAGGGGTGTCCGGAGGCACGTGTGCGACGGCCGTGTTGGGCCAAGTCTAAGCCACCCAAGTAGGCGCGCCGAGCTGATCGTGGTGATATAATCCACAGTAGATGAGGTTGCTCTGCCTTGAGATGACGTAGTCTCAAGTGTCTCTGGTCTGGGGCAGGCGAACGCCGAGGAGAGACCGCTTCGGTGGCGGCAGTGAAGGTGGAAATCGGGCGAGCGAGAGCGACCGTACTCGGACCGTGTGGGGGTCGCTGCAGGCCGGCTCAGGCCGGCGTGTACGCTCGGCCGCGTGATTTCTCGCGCGTGGCGTCAGCCCACTTTACCCCCTGCTTGTACTACGTCGATCTCGCCTGAAAGACAAAGGAACTGAGAGTCTGAGATGGCAGATGCCGAAGCTTTTTACCCGAACCCCGCCGTATCACGGAGAAGTACAGAAAGTTGACGCACCAGTGCCTCAAGCACTGTCTTCCAGTCCAAGCCGAACGGCGGCAATGCATACAAGTTGATGATGATGAGCCGCCGCGGCAGCGCTCCTTCGGCCGGTGCGACTCGGCGACTCAGGAATCGGGACATCCAGAAAGGGGCTTCATTCGCGATGACTTGCATTGGCCACGAAGCGAACTCGAGGGACCTGCAGATACAGGAGCTATGTACCTTTGCCGCCAAACTGGTGAGGGCACATTTGTGGTGGTTTGCGATGCCAATGATACCAAAACCGGATATCTACTGGACTCTAGACGAGCGATCGCGGACGCGGCTGGACCGAGGGCGAGCATGGCATCATGAGCTCATTAAAGGGGCTGGGCGAATATGGGGCGACCGCATGCGAAAGTGGTGGACATTCCAAAAGAATATGGAGTAGCATACCTCACTGGTGGAGGCGATGGTGGCAAACTTGCCCCATCTACCCTCAGGAGCCGGGTGCTGAGGAGGAGGAGGGAAACTGATGTAAGCCCTGAGAAATGGGGACATCAGTCCTAATCCCAGCGAGGTAATGGCCCGTATACAATATGGGTGTATGATATATGGCACATGTTATGGTGGTCCAGCGGATCTAGCGTTTGTTAGATTCTGTCTTTGAACAAGACTTGCTGGAATTTATGACTTAAACTTAAAACTTGAGTCGAGGGGAGGGACAGCATTGGGATTTCACTTTGGAAAAGCTATTCCTCCAGATGAATGTGGAACAGTAAATCTCCTAGATTTCACCCCTGCATTCGTGATCTAAATCGAGCGCTTCACAAATGCGCATCCCATAACCGCCGAGACCTCCCCTTCATCGGATCGAGTTTCATCAACTCTGCATGACTCCCTTGTTCGACCAATCGCCCGCCCTCGAAAACGAGGACTCGATCGACTTTGGTGCAAATGTTGAGACGGTGGGTCGTGAAGATGATGGTGGACTGCCAGGGAGTTTCGGGACATATCGGAGGGATGTTAGTATATGATTAGGGTCCTGCATTTGCCATGCTTTTGAGGTTCAAGACTCACTTTACCCTTCTTGGAAAGCATCTCGTCATATAAACGCGCTTCCGCATGAGGATCCAGTGCGGCCGTGGGTTCGTCCCACACGAGTAGATCGGGGCATGGGTTCATCAACGACCGAGCTAAAGTGATGCGCTGCCACTGCAAAACCCGAGTTAGAATTGTGTAGTCAGAACCTCTCTCATTGAACAATGATGTGCGTTCTTCCGAACTAACCTGACCGCCCGATAGAACACACGCTTCGGGCGAATGGTTCGGGAAATGCACCGTCGCTTCCTCTCCCTCCACCATAATCGGATACGCCGTCGTTCCTACACGAACAGTCTTTTTGGTATCCTCCTTAAAGGACCCCAAAGAATCGACCATCGTGGTCCCACTCGACAGCATTGCGCAGCTCGTCACCTCCTCGGCACCATCGAGGCTCAACTCCGTAGCTTTCTCCTCGGCCGGGTCCAAGAGCTCGAAAGTAGGTGGCGGGAGCGGTCGTTGGACAATCGCAGCAAGTTTCCAATCCGACGTCGAAAGGGAAGAGCCCATCATTCCACTGGCGTATGATTCCCATCCATCAGTGAGCGAGTCGACGGTTTGATCCGCAGTCGAAGCTTGGAGTGCTCGCTTGATCTGTTCTGGTTGATGAGCGTGAGCGACCGATCCGAGCGAGACATATTCTCGAATGGTCATGGGAAGGACAGCTGAAAATCGAGAAGCCATTTCGTCAGCCCAGTGTATAGGTGCAGAGTAATCACTGACTCTGGCGCGACTCACGAGAGTTCTGCGTCGTAAAGGTCGAAACGGATGCCAAATCCTTCGGAGCATACTCATGCACGTCATGACCGTTGATGAGTATACGGCCAAAGGTCGATCGTTCAGACCTGAGAAAACAAGATGCAAAATTCGACGTCAGAACGTATCCGAAAAAACCCTGGCTTGGTCGGTGACGTACCGGGTCAGAAGGGAGACAAGGCTCGTCTTGCCCGATCCGTTGTGCCCGACGACAGCCCTACCAAATTGTGTGAACATGACCGTTCAGCTGAGGGTTCCTCGACGCCATTCGTTTTGGGACTTACACGAGCTCTCCCGCTTCTACAGCAAAGCTGACATGGTCCAACGCCCTGTTGGTGGACCGCTGATACCTCAACCCAACCTCCTGAAAGTCAATCTTCATACCTCTCCGGCCTTCTGCAACAACAGACTCGTACCGCCTGGCCACTTTCTTCCTCTTGACCGCAAAATCCTCATCCTCAGTTGCATACCATGCTTGAATTCGATCGGCGCCAGACTTGAGATCCTTCAAATCGCTCGAGAGTCGACTGCATCGAATCCGGAGGTCCCAAACGGCCGATTCGAGGATCGACATTTCCGCAAACGAAGTGAGCGCCGTCGTGCCATTCTTCAGCAACTGAGCATCGTTGTACAACGCTGTATGAATGATGAAGATGCCCATCGAAAGCGGCCGCGAAAGGCGGGTAATGATCGATGTCCATCGCAGTGAAGAGTTTGTCGACGGTATCACGGTCGAGGTCGATCCGAGTTCTCGGAGCGACGTAGCGGCCTGATCGGAGAGATACGATTCGAGTCCGAGCATTCGAATCTCGTTTCTTAACGATCTCGACGTCCCCATCTTGAAGAGGGCCTGGAAGCGGAGGTACGCGTCGTTCGAGATATCGTAGTGCTCGATCGTTGGTGTGGCCTGGCCGAACCAGCGGTCCCATTCCTCGATGACCATGAACGTCGTCGACACACCGAGGTAGAATGTATTCCTCGAGTTGAGCTGAGAATAGAGCATCCCACCACTGAAGACGAGCGAGAGAATCGCGTTGGCGACCGAGAGGAAGCCCAATGGGTCGAATATTCGTCGATAAATGTCGGAGCCTCCGAGCTCCCTTAGGAGTTGAAGTTGACGCTGCGTGGACGGCAGGGCCAGCTCGTCGTCCGTCAATGATAAGTTGAGTCTTAATATGGATTGTTGGACTCTAAGCGAGAAGACCGAGTGAAGACGCTGCTCGTAAAAAGTGCTCCATCGGTCAATGAGGAGGGACGCGATCGTAGTCGTCAAGCTGCCGAGAAAGGCGAGGCCGAATGTTCTCCAGTTCAGGGGGATGCCTATCCCCACGGAATACGCCAATTCAATCATCCGTCTTGATAGGTACAGCTCGGCGGCAGGGAGCGCGGCTTGAGCGAGATTAAGGGCTACGATCGAGGCGAAAATATTGCGATCCGATCGAGCGAGATCTCGGGCAAACCTGATGAGCAGGGGTAGCCGTGCGCCATAATCCTTTATATTCGACCACCATGACGATGGGTCGGGAATCATAGCTGATATCTTACGGTTTCGCTTGACTCTCGTTGGCGGTGCGAGCGCGGCGATCCATTTGGTGTGAATGCCGGCGGTCGAGGTCGAGAACTCGCTCGGCTGGAGGGGTCGACGCCAACAACCCGGAGTCCCGGGAGTGGGCGGGAACATAGACGAAGAGGAGGCATGCAAGCCCACACACGTCATTTCGGGTGAGATGAGAGCTATGAAAGACGGGTAGAGCTACAGGGTGCAGCTTAATCGAGCGGGACGAGTTGCTACAAGCTCGAGAGGGCTGAGCCTCGGAGACGCTTCGCAAGGCACGCCGAGTCGAAGATCGAATCCGGAGTGGTCCGGAGTGGTCCGGGTGAACCGCGGGCACGGCGAGCCAGCGAGGGTGAGAGTGAAGGCACAAGGCGAGCGTTACCGATGATGCCGGATCATTTACGACTCTTAATGTGTACTCGAGTGGTGTAGGCGTGGCGGAGTGCTTCAAGCAACGAGTCGGAGTGGTCGTCGGAGCTCAAAGTCGGTCGTACAAGGTTGGTCGCACCCGCTTCACCGGGCCGAAATTCACGAGGGGCACAGGTTTATCGCCGTCAGCTCTGGACAGCAAAACCATGACGATCGCTCGAAAAAAAAAAAAGATTTTACCCGGTGAGGGAAGAAGTCCAATATTAAATGTCCCACCAAAGACCCCTCTCTGCGATCTGGGCTCATGATTCTCTGTTTCGGGTCCGTTCGGAATCCGTATTTTCACGCCGAGGCCGAGGGCGAAGACAATGTCATGCGTGGCATCTTGAAAATTACACGGCACAGGACAACTTGTTCAGTTTTTCGGTCCAGTCTGGTGAAGGAGGAGAACATGAAATCAATTTTCACCCAATTTGATCTCGGTGCGACCTCATTGGCCCGTGTGGCCCTCCGCCTGAAGCCGATGCGCCTAATAACGAGCAGTTTGGCTTGGTGCCGGCTTGCGGCCACCACGCTCTACCACGCTCGCCAGCGACGGCCCGCGGTGGGTTCGTCGCTGCCCGCGATCCTGCCACGCCCGCGTCCACGGTCAACGCAACGCACCATGTCCTCGCTCGCCGGCCTCCGCACCAGTCTCAGGACGATCGCCTCGCCGTTACGCCAAGGCGCACGCAGCCAGTCGACTTCGTCCGCGGCGCAGCAGGTGAGTGGCTGTTCGGCGTGCATACCCCGATCGCGATGGACGGGCGGAGGGGACATTCGCGGCGGAGCAGCGCGGGAGTCGTCGCTCGGAACGTGTAGCACTCGACCGCTACGACCGATGACGGCGACAGTTTGGTGTAGAAAGGTGGCTGGTGGTTAGAGGTGGACGGTCGTGGCTCGGTCGGACTCGGCACCCTCTGTCGATGCTCGGGAACTGACCTTGTTTGCTCTCCCACTCTCCGCTCACGACGAACGAACCGCTGCAATCGCCCGCTGCACTCCCCTCTGCGTCCTCTCCCCCACGCCTGACCTTGTCTCCGCCATCTCTCGCACATCGCGCACAACACAACATCGTTCACCGAAATACTCTATTCGACTGCATGGACTTGCGACCACTCACTGCGGCGCCCATGCTACCAGACCATCTTTGGCGCCTCGCCCAAGGCCGCCAATGCCGCCGCCGCCTCGCTCGCCTTGATCTCGGTCGGCACCACGGCGTGGTACATGCACCTCTACGGCAACCCCTTGATCCAAGAAGTCAAGGCCGAATCCGCCGCCGATCACGGTCTCCACCCCGCCTCGTACCCTTGGTCCCACAACGGCCCCTTCAACACCTTGGACCACCGTTCGTGAGTCGGCGCAGCTAGCTCTTGGATAGATCTACCTATGGCCGCGAGCGCTCATGCACACCATGCTCCCCAAATAATAATTGCCAACAGCATCCGACGCGGATACCAGGTGTACCGCGAGGTGTGCTCAACATGCCACTCGCTTGACCGAGTCGCCTGGCGCAACCTCGTCGGTGTCTCGCACACCGTCAACGAGGCCAAGGCCATGGCCGAGGCGATCGAGTACGAGGACGGACCCGACAGCAACGGCGACATGTTCCAACGACCAGGCAAGCTCGCCGACTACTTCCCCCCTCCTTACGCCAACGAGGAGGCCGCCCGCTCCGGTAACGCCGGTGCCTTGCCCCCTGATCTTTCGCTCATCACCAAGGCCCGACACGGTGGATCTGTAAGCGCACAAGAGGATTTGAAAGACGAAAAGAAAGCGACGAAGGACTGACACGTGCATACACCACGCAGGACTATGTTCACGCCCTTTTGACCGGTTACGTCGACCCCCCCGCCGGTGTCGAGATTCGTGAGGGCTTGAACTACAGTACGCCACTCGACTGCGCTGCCCGGAAGGGAACGAGAAGTGCAACTACTGATCACCGCGGTTCTCACCTGTAGACCCTTACTTCCCCGGTGGTGCCATTGGTATGGCCCGTGTCCTGTACGACGGTCTCGTTGAATACGAGGATGCAAGTCCCCTTTCGCTCCCACGGTCCGCCGTCAATGTTCAACGAGCTAACCTCCCCTTGACCGATGTGATGATCCATAGGGTACCCCCGCCACAACTTCGCAAATGTCCAAGGACGTTGTCACCTTCTTGTCATGGGCCTCGGAGCCGGAGCACGACGAGCGAAAGCGAATGGGTCTGCAGGCAGTTTGTGAGTATTCCCCTACGCGAACAGAACCGTAAAAGAGTGGGCCCGGGAGATTAATGCGTTCTTGTGTTTTCGTCCCCAGCGGTCCTTGCCGCTTTGCTCGCATTGTCTATCGTGGTCAAGAAACAAAAGTGGGCTGGTATCAAGGTCAGTCTCACTCGAGGTTCTCAATCGGCCTCGCGCACCGAGATTCGGAAGTGCTCACCATCTTCGCCCTCTTCCCCACTGAAAAACAGACGCGCAAGATCACCTACAACCCTCCTTCCGTCAAGCACTAGATGTGTAACTGGTTTCCGTTTCTAACAAACGAGGGGAGTAGGATGGGTTTTTTGTAGTAGGGGGGGGGGGGGGATTTTGGAGAAGATCGGATAGGAATGGAGAACAGTCGATAGGTTCGAGAGCGCCGAGAAAGGAACGGGATCTTCTCCCACCTCCTTGCCCACTTTTTTTTTTTGACTTATTGTGGGGGCCCTCGATTCTACCTTTCATTCTCGAAACCGCTGCAACAATATGTTTTCTAACACAAAGCGAACACCCCGCGCGAGGATCGGCCACCCCCCCCCAGATACTACTACTAGAGACCGACGCTCCTAGACAGTCAATGAATACGCAGAACCGTACGTCGAGCTTGAGGGTGATGTTCCTCGTCCGACAAAGCGCTTCTAAACCCTGATCGACCACACCCGCTTGAACGATGCTCATCGCATCAGTTTCGTCGTAAGTGGCGGGCCACGCACTGTCGATCTCGCCGCTCGGTACCAAACCTGCGCAAATTCGTAGGAACTTGAGATGAGGGGCTGATCCGTCTCGTATGATACGAATAAGGATGTTCCACAGTGCCAAAGTGGAGTGTACGGATCGAGTAGTCCACTTGACGTCAAAGTGCAACGTGTTTAAAGAGGTGCCAAGTGAACGCAATGCGCGCAAGGTGGTCGACAACGAATCCATACATGCGAGATAGGCGATGAGGAACCTGTCGAAGAGGCATTCTATTTGTAATCGAAGCTTTTTGAGGTATCGACGGGACCCAAAGTGTCGAACCAGACTTTCGAAAAAGTCGGCGGAATAATCCGGTGCGGAAAATCGAGTGAGGTGAGCACGAACGGTGCAGGGTGTGGAGATGGGGTCCGATCGAGGCGGCGAGGGCGTGGAGGATGGCGGCGATCCTGAATATGAACTCTATGCTGGAGAACGTGTTGGGTTCAACATCGAGGCGGAGATATTCGAGGTTCGGTAAGTGAAACCTAGATGCCAATCGTAGCATCGCGTCGAGGCCGCAGTCGAACATCTCGAATACCCGGAGATTTGGTAGGACAAGGATTGAACCACTGCTAAGGTTGGGTTCACATCCTGCCTTGCCATTCTCATTTCATGGATCTCTTCAAGGGGTAGGCGTAAAATACGGGCAAGTCAGTATCCGCGGGGTCTTATGGACGTGCCATTGCCACACAGTGCAGTGGCGCGAATCGCAACATCGCGGCGCTCGCACCTTGAAGTGGACCGATCAGCTCCTGGGTGATCGTGATTTTGGACTCGAGGACGAGTGATTGGAGCCCTCGTACTTGAAGAAGGATCGATTCGATTGTCCCGTCGAGAACGGCATGCTCAAACATCAGATATCGCACGACGGATCGCCGAATGATCTCTGACTGCTGCAATGCGTGCGCTGCCTCGGGATGATCGATGATAACCCTTTCGAGCATCTGTAGCTGGAAAGGAGCCGTCCACGCTCGGCAGACGAGGGCACCGACGGAGAGGTACTCGTAGCCCATAGAAAAAAATTCTGTTGCGTGATAGACCCGCTGCTCCCACGCTTTCTGGGGGCACCCCAAGAATGAGGCGATGTACTTCAAGAGCTCGAAAGGGACCGACTGCGCGATCGCGAATGAACGCCGGTGCGGCGGTCGAGAAGTCATAAGAGATGATAAAAGTGATTTGCTCGTTTGGAGTGGCGGGAATACCGGCAGAAGTAGTTTCTCTTGAAGCGAGTTGAAGTGGAACGAGCATAAGCAGCGAGACGTTCGTGACGGAACAACCTACTACCCGGTATCACTGCACGACTCGCAGCAGAGCTAGTGTCTCCTTTCGATCAGAGACAAGTGACAGCGAGCTGAAGCTCGTGGCTGTGCTCTTTGCAGAATTTTCCAGAGTGTTATTTGTGCTGATTCTACTCCGAACAGAGTATTGTGAGTATCGCAAAAACCCTCCACAATACATGGGTCTGACCCATTTTTTTTTTTCAGACCCAACTCAGCGACTCACTCAGGGGCCACTGCACGGGGTCGCGGGCAACAGCCAATCCGAGCCCTTCCGAGCCGATCGAGATGATCGACGACCGCACGCGAGCGCCGCACCACTGGTCATTGAGCTTCTACCCTTCCCCAAGTCCGAACCCTGGTAGGAGGCGCAATGCCACCCAAACTACCCAAACTACCCAAATGTGCCATCTGCCAGACTGCGGCGGCGGGAAAGTACAGGTGTCCGATCGATGATGTAGACTAGTACGTCCCACACCACTCAACTCGACGAGGCTGCGAAGTGGTTGTTGAGCTGAGGCTAGGACGCAACGCACGTGCCCGAACGAATGACTGATTCTTTTTGGACTGTTGGTGGTGCAGTTGCACGGTCAAATGTTTCAAGGAGCATAAAGAGGAAGGGTGTACGGGATCCACCAAGCCTGCGACGACTGAAGACGCGATCAAGGACGGTGCGACGGCCGACCTGACGTCAACGGGCACGCGTAGGTCCCTCTCCGTGTCCTTGGATCGATGTTAGTCGGCTCAAGAGCTGACACTCACTCCCTCGAATCCACTCCAAAAGCCACTGCCAAAGTAGAACCAGACAAAAAGGAACCCGTGCCAGATCCCACACCCCAAGAACAGGTCAAGCACACCCTCAAGCTCGAAGCCGACGATCGACCCCGGAAGAAGCTCAAGGACCTTCGCTGGCCTCCCGAACCGGATGCATCGATCTTCTTGGACCCTTTAGCAAGGGACGATGTCAAACCCTTACGAAGGAGGGAATACGAAGCCATCGGTACGCTCAGCGCAGTCTCCGAATATCGATACACACCGGAACGCTGAGCCTGTTTTCATATCTCGTCGCAGCCACCTCTCCTACGATCCGACGACTTCTCCTCACCCAACCTTCTCTCATCCCAACACTATCTCGTCTCCTAGCCATCCCCACCGAACCTTCCAATTCATCCTACCACAATCACTCTTCGCACTCCTTACGAGCCCCACCCCCACCAAGTGCACGCGAGACCTCCCTCCGCCTACTTCTCGATCTTCCCGTAACTTCAGCACCGACGTATTATCGTCCTTCAGGAAGAACGGTCGGAGGGGAATATAGGACCGGATCCCATGTCTCGCAGCAGGGGAGGAAAGGGAATGCGTTCGAAAGAGCGGATTTGTTGGGGGGTGGTGCGGCGACGGGTTTGGTTTATTCGACGCCGGAGGAAAGAAAGGAGGTGCAGGCGTTCGTTGATGAGGTCGAGAAGCTGTTGAATGATGTGAGAAAGGATGGGGGGTTTTAACAAGACCTTGGCGGTGAGGATGACTACTCCCGAGAGTGAGGGGTTCGGCTTTTCGGGCCGAGAGGGACTGGGTAGATGAATGTGTCAGATTGTTGTACTTATACGCATGATCGTAATCAAACGTCAGCTACGAGGCATCTTTCTCGTGTAGAGCCATTAATTTGTCTGGCCAACTGAGCGGCGGTCAGGACATGACTTCTTCCAGAATGCCGCACGTCCCCCGCTAAGCTCGAGAGCCTGGTCAACACGATAACCTCTAGGATATTGCAAATACAACCTCTCAACAAGCAAGCACAACCTCTCAACCTAGATATCCAAAACACACCACACATGACGTAGACCCCCCCTTCTCTCTCTCTTCTTGAAACTCCCTTCCTATGACCCAGGAATACAATGCTCCGTATCGACCCTCGAATTGCCCCACCACTCGAAGAAAGTCGACCACCCAAAGACGTAGATCATCAAAGCGTTGATGCTCGTTCCTGCGTCGAGGGCGGAGGAGAGGACGTAAACGCTGAGAAGAAGGGAGGAGCGAATTTGGTAAGTATTGGAACGAGGGGACTGAGGGGCATGGTCGGGGGCGATGAGGCTTACTATTTCTCGAACCAACGAGGTCGGTAACGCAAAGCGTAGAATTGCGATGCGAACGAGACCAAGAAGCCTGCGCGTTTCCGTACCGAATAAACCCCATCAGCAACTCTTCCATCCCTCTCCCCCCCGGTGAGATCAGTGAGCTTACCAGGTAGAATGACGTTCGTCGGCATCTGCGGCGGCGCGATCGATCCATGCAAGATGAGAGGGATCGAAATCCTCTTCCAGAACCGATTGTTGGTTCGCTTGTACAAGATCCAAGGGATGATCGGGAGGAGCGCGCCGACGAGGAAACCCTGCCAGGAGAAATACAGACAGCTTTTTGAGCATCAATATCACGTTCCTGAAAGTTTCAAGAGGGTTCTAGTCTTCCACCTACCCAGTACAAAGGTGAGTATTGACCCGCAAAGAATCGCCTAGGAGCGATCAAACCCCAAATAACCGAAGCGCTCTGTTCGATTGTTCCATCGCATAGAAGGTCAAAACTCGGAAGCCAGTGCAAGGGTTCTCTATAGCGCGAACGGACCATGAAGATCTCGGGTTTGCGACCGGACCATTGACCTGTTGGATCGACGAGGGTGCCGTCCAAATAGGGCCGTTTGGAGTTGATCACGCCTCGGATGACTGAAGGGTTTTTATAATCGAGGTCAGGCTATTGGGCGTCTAAGTCCTCCCAAGATAGGTCGTTGCTCACGAGAGTAATTAACGACCGATCCCAATGCCGTTCCGTAGACTTGGCAGATGAAGAGATGGCGCGGCGGGATCTTGCAGTACCTGAAGCGTGGGCTCGACGGATGTGTTCAGTGCTGGTGCCCTCTCCACCGCTCAAGGGCAGTGAGCTCACAATCCGAGTTTCATGTCCGCCGTCAAGTCAATCGATTGGACCATCGTCATGTACCTATGGAAGGAATGAACGAGGGTCAGCTCCTCCGTTCGTTCCATCCGCCGAAGGATCAGTATCACTAGTACTCACCCCTGATCAGATTTGAAGTGTCCGCCGAGAAGATCGCCTATATCAGTCCTCCTTCCCGATACTCTTCTCTCGCTACACTCGTTGACTGACGTATACTTTGAACACGATGTTCGCGATCGGCCGTCCGGGGAAGAGGTAACCCGCTACGAACTCGGCTGTCAAATGAGGGGTGGGGTCAGTCTCTGCAGCTAAAGCGCGGTCGGAAAGCGTTCCAAAGTCTACGTACTGATTACGTTCAGGCCAAGAGTTGTATTCGCTAAGCGGGGATCGGGTAAGCGATCAGTTAGCTGAAGTAACGACTCGTCAGGAGCAAATCTCGAAAGCTCACTGATCGCAGCAATGATCTAATTCCCATCCATCGAGGCAAGAAAAAATAAGCTTATGTCAACACCAAGCCACCGTCAAGGTCCCTAACACTCACCCCAACAGGGACCAAGAATGCCACGGCCATCAAGATGCTCAACAACAGACCCCAGATGGGTAATTGCATGGGGTAGAACGTGACGAGTGCGATGGCGGCGAGGATCATGGAGAAGAACTGCATAGCCGATCGGCCAGGAGTCAGTTCCGCACCACGACGATGCAAGCGATGAACCCAGTTCCGAAGACCGAACTTACAACTGAGAAGTAATACCGATTTGGAATAGGATCATACGACCTCTCCAACATCTCGACATGAATATCCGCGACCGCATCCTTCCTCGTCGTGAACGCCGCCTTGATATCGTTCATATGCCAAAGCAAGACCGTCGTAATCGCCGAAGTCAAAACCGCGAACGAGACGCCGTAACAAAGCGCGAAGTAGGGGGTGAGTAGGATGGGTTGGACCTCGGCGTAGCGCGTTTCGTTGAGCGATAGGTCGGGGTTGAGGATCTCGAGGACGTCGAGACGGCCAAAGGTGGAGTTGTAGAGATGGGCGGCGAGGGGGGAGTCGAACGAACGCGCGTTCCAGAAGTTGCCAAAGTAGAGGAGAGGGGTGATGACCCACATGTTCTGTAGGGCACAAAAGTGTTGTTCAGAGATACTGAACGATGTGGACCGGTACGAAGCGCATTGACTCACAAAGGCAAGTCCGAAAAAGTACGAAGCTTGGGCAAAGAAGGGCGTGTAGAGCGCTCCCGTTCCGCCAATGACGGACCAATCAAGCGACTAGGGTGAATAATATCAGTCCACAGCCCTTGCTTCATCCGATAAATAGAGCGAGGACAGGGACCCACGAAGCAAAGAAAACCAAAGCCATCATAGCCCGACCCAAGTGTGCGCATGATGAGACTCTGATTGTTCATGATGCACAACACCGCAATCGATGTAAGGGTCGGGAACACGAGTGCGGGCAAGAACTGCCAGGAAAAGATGCCGAGAAAGCTGTGCACGCCCATGTCAGCTCGACAAGATGATGCAGGACGAAAGCGTCACAACTTACTTGTAGGTGAAGAATTTCATCCTGTCCTTGGTCTCCTTGATGCTCTCCTTTGCTCCACCATGCAACGTCTCAAACAACGTGACATACACCAAGGTCGAGGGCCACAACATCGCTGTCGGCCTCACCAATAACCGATACGTCAACCCAGAGAAGGCGAACCCGATCAATTGCGTCGACAGCAGGAGCAGCAAACCGCCAATCGCTCCTAGATCGGTCTTGTAGTAGAGGTCTTGGACGGAGATGATTTCACCTGCGTAGGCTGCCGAAGCTCCACTGCCTGCTAGTACGCCGATGAGGAGGTGTTCCTTTTTGTTGAATTCGCCGGAGGAAAGGGATTCGGGTAGTATCGAGGTCATCCAATGCCCCAGGGGGAAGGCGATGAGGATGACGAAGAAGCTCGAGAAGGAAGGGGCGTTGGATTTGAAAAAGAAGAGTTGCGAAACCGCGGCTGTGAGGTTGATTGGAGGATCAGCGCTGGGCCGGCGATTTGGGCCGAGCAAAAGTGCCGAGGAGCACTGACCTCCGAGGATGCAGAGTATTGTACCGAGGATAAAGACTCGGAACGTAAGCGCTGGTAATGTAGGATCATCGCTCTCGGGTACGATCTGCGCAGTAGTGGGTAGCGGATGAGTCGTGAACCGCCCAAGCGCATCAACGAAAAGCCTTCCCAACTTACCCTTCTGACCATGGACATGGCCGAGTCGAGATCCAAGTCCTCGTCCTTGAACAGCGGAAGTTCGTCATGGTCCATCTCGTCAGCCAGCACCTTGTCGTCGTCATCATGGTCCTGACTATGCCTGTCGTGGCTACTCCGAGTCGGGGAAGTCGGTGAGTCGGCGGTCTTGCCCGTGGCTGCCGCTGCTGATGATCGACTGCCACGAGGTGTCCTTGATCGGGACCTAGGGATCAATTCGTACGCTTCGTCGTCGTCCTGATGGTCGTCGAGGTATCGATCCCCTATAGATTGCCTCCCTTGCGCCATTGAATGCATCGCTGTTGCTGCTGCCGCTGCGGTGTTGGTCGAAGTGGATTCGTGTCGACGGTGATGAGCTGATTGATGAGCGCTGTGTGCGCCGCTCGTGCTCGGTTGAGTCGGTGACTGCAGCACTTGCGCATCATCGCCCTGTATCGGTGCGTACGGTCCGGATCCTCCACTCGTGACCATGGCTGCGTGTTCCGAACGCCAAGACCGGACGAGCCGAGCGGCAAGAGGTCGAAACGCACGAAGGCCGACACGATTACGGAGTGATTACGGAGGATTACGGCGGCAGAGACACGCGCCAGCACGCGCCTCGTCGCGTCAGCACCCCGTAGACTCATGCCCCGTAGACCGTCCTGTGGCTCCTGCGAATGCGCACCACACATTCCGGTCGCTCTTAATCTGGATCGCGGAGCGTAAGCCGTCAAACTCCCCCTTTTCTCCCGCATATCCACCACCCGCCCCCCTTCGCCACCCCATCCCCGCCCCACGATGGCGCCCCTGTCCTTTCGACGCCCTCTCCGGCCCCTGCTGGTCCTCTTCCTCCTCTCCCTCATCATCTACTACCAAACCCGTTCCACGGTATCCAAACGAGAATTCCTCCGCGCGAGCCAGTCCGCCGCGTCCAAAGTGTTCCCCCACAACATCGTGCCCCCACCGAAACCGAAACCGAGGAACATGAAATGGAAGGCGCCCCCTTTCCAACCACTCGAACCCGACTTTTACACGACCTCGGAGCACGATGGGAGTGGGGTGGTAGCGGGTCAAGCCGTTTATTGGAGGAGGATCGTCGCTGTGGGGGATGTGCATGGCGACTTGCCTCATCTGACGTGCGTCTCTCGGGGAAGAGACAGATGATCCTCGACTGACCCCGGACAGTTCGCTCATCTCCCCCAGTCGTATCCTGCGCCATCTCAACCTCCTCTCGCTCAAGAACGAATGGATAGGCGGTCGTACGATCCTCGTTCAGACGGGGGACATTGTCGATCGAGGCAAGGACACGATCGCGCTCTATCGCTTCTTTGACATACTTCGTCCTCAAGCCGAACGCGCCGGGGGTGCGCTCGTCAATTTGTTGGGCAATCACGAGTTGATGAATGCGATGCATGATTGGAGATACGTTACGCCAGAGGTACGGCTCCCAAGGCACCCACTGCGGCTTCACGTGTCGCCGGAGCAATCTGGCTAATTCAACCTTTGACTCTGATCAGGACATTGCAAGTTTCGGAGGCGAACGAGCTCGCATGGAAGCCATGACGACAGGTTGGATCGGCAAGACCTGGCGAGCGAACTACAGCATCATCGCTCGCGTCCCTCTAGCACCCTATGGCCTCCCCGTCCCTCCCTCACTTTCGATCGAATACGCTCCTCCGATAAATGGGATCCCGACCTCGCTGAAATACGTCCAGGACCCACCTCTACCTCCATTGAGGGGGGAAGGACAACAAGATCCTTTCTCCCATGCCGCGATCGCTTTCGTGCATGGCGGTACGATCCCCGAATACTTGAGGAGCTTATTCCTTGACCCTGGACAAACACTCGTGACCAAGATCAACGAGATCGGTTCCTCAATCCTCGAATCGCTCGTGAACGACTCCATCTCCCCGCTCCAATTGCCCCCCAAGTCAACGGACGAACAAAGGCTGTTTTGGAGTGAGAAGGGACCGATGTGGAATAGGGAGTATGCTTTGCACGAGGACGAGGACGAGATTTGTGAGAGGGCGAAGAGGGCGTGCGATATGTTGGGGGTGCGGAGGATGGTGATGGGTCATACGCCGGATTTTGATCAGGTTCGAGAGAGGTGTGGGGGAAGGATTTTGTTGATTGATACGGGTGAGTTCTATTCGGATAAAGGCGGTTGATGATGTAGGCACAGGCGCTAAATGTTCATCCCGTACGTGCAGGCATTTCCCGAGCCTACGGAGGTTCGCTCTCGGCCCTCGAGATCATCACGACCTACACCCCTCAAAGCCCCTTCCCAGCGCCATTCATACCAGGGCCGCAAGACGAACCGATCACCTTGGATACGCCGAGGGGGGTTCCGGACGGTCCGATGAGTTGGTTGGAGAAGGAAGTTGTGAAAGCGATTTATGTAGGGGAGCGGGGGAGGGATCAGGTGGTGTTGGCGGAGGAGGAGCGCTATGTTGAATTACCTGGGATATGAGTGTGTGTGTCACCTACAGGTGTTTTCCATTTTCACATGTCGCCGTCCCTGGAGCGGGATGAATGAGCTCCACAATGCGTGCTCGCCCTTCCCCCACTTGGAGCCCAGCTACTGGGTCCGTGCGTGTCGGGGCGGTGAGGACGTGAGGACGGGGCGAGCGTGTGACCCGAGCGCGTCCGCTCTGCCTTCGAACCACACAACATCGAGGCACGACCATGTCCTCCTCGAACGACGATGGATCGGTGCCCAACCCGTTCCTAGAAGAAGGTGAAACACCAGTCACCTCGTCGTCGCAATCGCACTCGACCTCGACGCCCCACGACGACGACGACGGTCATAACGACGAGCTCTCCACCGCCGTGGCAGAACCTACTTCGGCCGCGTACACCTCGACCGAACCTTATCCACAGGACGCGACCGAGGAACAGCTCAAGGCGGCGACTGCGAGTGCGAATGCGAATGCGAGACCTAGGATGGATCTGATTCAGGTCAGTCCGGCGGGGTGGCTCTCATACCCGGTCCGCTGTGTAGGCATGCTTGCTCACGGTGGGTTGGCAATAATGGCTCTTAGATCGTGGATGCGCTCAAGACGAGCGAAGGTGCGAATGCGAGCTATATCGTCTACTGCGTCCGATTCGAGGTCAGTCCGCCCTCCGTCGTCACCCGCGCGCAGCACTCCCCCCTGTCCCATCGATGCTGACCTTGATCTTTCTTCTGCAAAACATCATCCAGGGCAAGGAAGCACGCCGTCGTTACTCGGACTTTGATTCGCTCCGCCAAGCGCTCTGTCTCCTCTACCCATGCTTCATCGTGCCCCCTCTCCCCCCGAAGAACTCGCTCTCCTCCTACGCGCTCTCCGGCACCAAACCTTCCAAAGCCAAAGAGGATGCCGCGCTCGTCGCGCGTCGTAAACGCATGCTGGCGACGTTCCTCAACCGTACCCTCGCCCATCGCGTACTAGGTGTCGATCGTACGTTCCGCAAGTTCCTCGATCCGGAATGGCCCTGGAACGACGTGCTTCAGTCACCTCCCGTCACTCAGGTGCCCAAGAACCCGTTGAGAACGTCGGCTTCCGATCCCACGAACGCCGAATCCTTGGCCCTCTTCTCCACCCTACCCCTCCCTTCCACTTCGGCGAGTTTGCATAACCCCGATCAAAGGTTCTTGGATTCGGAGGCGTTCACGAACAAATTCTCGAACCACTTGGCCGGTACGATGGAGAAGGTCAATCGTAGGTTGATGAAGAGGTGGAATGAAGCCGCCGGCGATTGGGCCGATATGGGTGGAGGGATGAATGGGTTCGCTTTGAGGATGGGCGAGGATGGCAGTGGAGGGTTGGACGATGCGACCGAACGGGTTGGGATGGCCGTTGATGGTTATACGAGTGCGACGAATAATATGGTCAGTCCCCTACATCGGGCGAGCGTGAGCGCGTAAGCTTTTTTATATTGATTGATTGGGTTTTGGAACGCCGTACAGTTACAAGCATGGGAAAAGGACTTCACCGAACCTTTATCGGAATACACCCAATTCTCCGCGATCATCAAACAACTCCTCAAATACCGGCACCTCAAGCACGTGCAATACGAAACGACCCGAGAGGTCTTGGAGAACAAACGAGGGGCTTTGGAGGAATTGGAGAGGAGTGAGGTCGAGGCGCAGAGGTTGGAAAAGGCTTTGGAGAGGATCAGGTTGGGTGGGGACGCGGGGCTCACGACGACGGGGGGTGCGACGGGGTCGAGGTTACTTTCGGGTGAAGGAGGGGAGGGAGAGGCGGTGAATGTGGTTCCACCGCCTGTGACGACGAGTCCGAGGAAGGCGAGTACGGGCTTGTTGGGTGCGCTGAGTCATACGCTTTCCGGGATTGTGGATAATGATCCTGAGGCGACGAGGAGGAACAACATCACCAAGACGAGGGAATCTATCGCACAAGTACGTCCCGAGCCTGACCCATTCTGTGCCCAAGCAAATTTCCCCTCTAACGCTCCCCCTTCTTGGATGCACAGTTGGACGCAGGCATTAAAGCTCTTACTACGGACCTACGATACGCCTCTTCAACGATCCAAGCAGATCTAGACCGGTTCCAGCGACAAAAAGTCAATGATTTGAGGGAGATGTGCGTCGATTTGGGCAAGGCGCATCGGGAGTGGGCACAGAAGGTACGTTGATATTAACTTTGGGCGATTCATCAGGAGTTTGGGGGTTACTGATATCTTTTGTCGGTTCTGATGTGGTAGAATTTGGAGATGTGGCAGTCGGCCAAAGAAGCGATCGAGGCGATCGACATCGACTAGAGACACCGACCCAGACCCCTTCCAAAGACGACCTCTTTCTTGCCTGTGTTGGTGTGTGATCCTTTTCTTGTATGATATCGATAACGTCGTTTTTGGTTTTTGGAGCCTAGCTGGGTTTGGTTTTGGTTTTGCGGTCTCTGTGTCATGATTCACTTTGATTCTCCTGTCTCTTCATGTTGGGCCGGGAAACTGGAAGAGTTTTCGCCAGCTCGCGGTCGTGCGGGAGACCATCAGCCGTTGGCCACGCGACATTGATCTCGAGAAACGGTGCAAGATTACGTCAATTCGAACCCCCAACAAATGCGAAATAAAAGTCGTACACTCTTTCCAAACCCGATGCTACCCCCTCCCCTCCTCCAAATCGACCAAGCCGTCTTCCTCCTCCTCTTCCCTATCCACCTTGTTCGACCTCCTCAATTCCTCGACAAGGTTCTGCAGGTTGATTTCGAACATGGGGGAATCAAAGGTCCTAGGACTGGGTCTTGAGTGGGGAAGAGTAGTGGGGAGGGAGGAATATTTTGAGCTGTCCGAGGAGTGATGGGTGCGCCTTTTTCTTCGCCTTCTACGACGACGCCGTATTGTAGATGATGTAAGATCTGTGAGGAGGGGGGACGGAACATCGAGAAAGGTAAGCCTTTTCTTCTGGAAGCGCCCTACACTCCCCTAGAGACGACCGAACCCACCTTCCCCCTGCTGCTGCTCCTCTTCCAACCCCTCTCCGTCCGCTTGAACGTTCTCGGCCCATTCCTCGCCCAACAAAGCCGTATAATCCCTGCCAATTTCTTCATTCTCCTCCGTTCGTTCGACCGCACTGCGCCAATCGGGGTCGGCGAAAACGAGTATGATGAGTACGAATTGGGAGAGGGCGATGAGGAGGTCGAGTAAAACGAGGTGCGATTTCGAAGGGGTGATAGCTGGATGAAACAAAGAAGTTTCAACGCAACGCAACGCAACGCAGGGTCCTTTCTTTTAGTGGGATGTAACTTCAAAAGAAAACACCTCGCATAGTTCAAAGTTTGATTTACCTTGTCCTACGAAATCGACGATCAGTCCGGTCGAACTCCATCTTTTGGTGCCTTTCGTGCCTCGACTACCTTGCCAAGCGTGGACGATCACCGAAGAAGCATTGACGAAGAACCAGACGGTGAGGAGGTGGCGTAAGGAACGGGCAGGGTGTATCTTGCGCGAGGAGGAGAATTGGATGTGGGAGAAGAGACGCAGGAGGAAGGTGAGGACTGTCGGACAGAAAGGGAGAGAGAGAGAGAGAGAGAGGGTGAGAGGGGGGAGCGTGGGGTGAGCTGGTTCGTTCGGTTGGAGAGGTAGGGTAGGGGCAACGTACGATGGGAGGGTGACACGAGGTAGGAATGCACAAAGAGGATCCAGATGATGGCGTCGAGGGAGGCGAGCAGTTCGAGACGACTTATTGAGGACGCTGAGGAAGGGGAGGGCGATGACAAGCTGGGGCGGGGATGGGGATCAGTCGATGGCACCGAGTTGGACGTTGTCGCCCGGGAGGAGGGGAGCGGTGGGGAAGCCACGGTGGGCGAAGAGAAGGCGAACGGGAATGCACACCCCACGTGCGACAGACCAGGCAGCGGAAGCGAGCTCGAACACGGAAGGCACGATGCTGATCGAGGCAGGATGCTCGAGATGGACGGAGCCAGCAACTTGGTTCGTAAGCGCTCCGCTTTCTGGGACGCCGAGAACTGACGCCGCTTGCAATTCCGATTATAAACTGAGGCGTGCTCGTAAGCGCTCCATCATATCTGGGGACGGCCTGAACTGAGCGCTGAGCATTATAGCGCCCGACGCGCGAGTTGGGAAATTGCGATTACAAACGACGCGTGCCGACGCGTTTGTGTTGCCTCGCTGAAGCTCTGACCGAGCACTGATACTCTCTGTCGCGAGAACGCATTGCCAACCGCCGCCCAATCCCAATGTCGCCGCCGCCGAGGAGCTAGGGCCCGATCAGCAACAACGATGTCGATCCGACCGGTGATCATCCGCTACGCTGATGCTGATGAAAGGCCGCGAGCCTCACGAGCGCACGACGACGACGATGTAGTACGACGCGACTCGACCCGGCGGTCGGCGTCGGGGGCAGCGATCATCACCTCCGCCGCGGTCGCGCAGAGACAACCGCAGCAGAGCGGCAGCGTAGACAACGCAAAGGCGAACACAAAGGCGAACGCAAAGGCGAACGCACCCATCAACATCTCGGCTCGTTCGTTCAGTGACTGGTCATTGTCAGTCGCCATCTCGCGCAGCCGATCACACCCACACACCTCCACACGAGATGAAGCTGAGCCTTGCCCTCTCCCCCACCCCGCTCAAATACCAGGGAACAAGTCGAATCGGACCTGCACAAACAAGCGCACAAGCACGTCATTCGTCGCATGCGCCAAACATGGCTCGACATCGAACACCGCCACACGACCCTGACCCGGCCCCGATCGAGCGACCACCACCCCCACGCGCATTCGACCCGGTCCTCCGTTTCGGCGCTCTACAACACCCACATCGGCTCCAGTCGAGCGATCCCAGAGGAAGACGACGACATTATCGATTTGGAAACGATGCAGATCGTGCAGGACCGGGGCATGTTGCGGAGGATCAAGAATGGCGCCTTTGCCTTGGAACCGAGGTTGTGTGGGGTATACCAGACCGACCTCAAAGTCAAGAACAAGATCGATGATCAGATTCGCGCCCCCGACCCGGCCGATGACGATCACGAGTGGCAGTCTGACGACGAATCACCACCGGGAGAAGATCCAGAAGAGGAAGAAGAGGACGAACTCGCTCGCATGGACGACCTCACCTCGCAACCGAGCTACGAATACTTTGCCGAGAAACGACGCCGCATGAACGAACGCCAGTCCTTGCTCGAATTTCATCGCGCCGAACTCTATGCCAGGCGGTGTCAATCCGAGGCCATGTCCAGTCGCGCTTGCGACGATGATCCCGAAGAGGAATGGTCGAGGATGGAAAAGAGCCTCCAAGCGAGCTTTGGAGGGAACCAAGTCCTCGAGGACATCGACCCGGGGCATGGGATGCCAGAGGACCCCGAAGGGGATCAGGAGGAGGAGGATGAATTTGATGCGTTCTACGAGGATGCGCTGCCAAAACGGATCCAGGATCGACTGAGGAGAAAGCGGCGCGAGTCGACGATTCATCAGCTTTTGCCCTCGTCGCCTCGAGCGCGGCCTATGTCCCTTTCCAAGCGAAGGCCTTACAACAAGACACCGACCACTTCACTGGCGACCAAGGATCGACTTTCGTCGATCAAACGAACAGGTCCGACGTTTGATCGATCGTCGACTGCTCCTCCACCCCTGACGAAGACCACATCGCCGGGTTCGAGTTCGAGTCTGCGTCGGCTGAGCACCGGCTTGGGTCAAGTCAAACTGACCTCGAGCAGTCCTTTGGCGACTCGGCCCGTCATCTCGGGTACTCATTCTCCTTCGAACTTGAGTTCGGATCCCCCTTCTTCGTCCATGTCGCCACAACGCCAGAAGGGACGACCGAGATCAAGCTTGAGGCCTGAGGATTTGTCGAGCGAGGTGAGTTTTCAGATCGCGCCTGGTGCGGTCCAACCTCGCCTTTCACAGCTAAAAGATCATCTCACACCTCCATCACAGCGCGAATCCTCCCCACCACCGCCACGACCTCGAGAACCCTCACCCGAATTCGAACGTCCACCTACACCCGACTTCCCGCTCGCCCCCATACACGGATTCCAACGACCTCCAACACCGCCTCTATCCAGCTCTTCATCCCACGCTGCTCCTCGTCCCCCTCGAGTCCGACAACACAGTTTCTCCCTCGTCATTGAACCAAAAGTTCCGACGCCCAAACCTTACGTTCTGGGTGAACCGCCTCTGGTTCGTCAGCCTAGAAGGAAGGTGGCACCTTCTTCTCCTACAACACAAGCGCAATCGCAACCGCCAGCTCCACCGAGATTACCACTCTCTCCATCACCTACGCCCGGTCCTTATCCTTCCCGAAGAAGAAGAGCCGAATCAACGACGTCAACGACGATAGCGGAGTTGCCGAAGCAGGATTCTCAGACTTCGTCGGCTTCGCCAGCCAAGAAACATAAATTCGAACCGTTCGTGAATCAAATCTTGGACCCGTTGCCGGAGTATGATGCTTTGGACGAGGAGGAATCGGAGGATGAGTTGGGTTGGGATCGGTCGTCGGTTGGGGATCGCGCGAAGAGGAGGACGTCGAGCGGTCCTCCTTCGAGGAGAGCTTCGTTCGGCATCGTTAAGACGGGGATCAAGCGGGTTAGGAGACGAGCTTCATCGACGTTCGAGTATTCGTCTTTCGAGGCGAAGAGACTCGGAGGGGCTGAGAAGGAAGACGAGCAAAGGTTGGGGATGACGGGTTTGCCTACGCCACCTACTTCGAGAGGGGCCGAGGAGGCCGAAGCGTCGAGGTCTTTGATGTCGGGCAACGGCAGCAGCAGCAGCAGCGGTGCCGAGAGGTCTTCTAGCGTCGTGCCTTTTACCTCACCGCATCGCGAACGACCTCAAAATCAACACAACCAGCATCGTCGCTCCTATCCACCCTTGAACCACCCTTCCCGTCGAACAAGCTTCCAGAGCTCAAGCACCCACTTTTCACCCACCCTATCGACGACACGGCAGTTAACCTCCGAAGCGTCCTGGGTGCCTATAACGTATTTGACGCCCGAGGGGTTCAGGAGGGAAGGGACGGTGGTCTTGCCTAGTGAGGAATGGGTTGATGGGCCGAGCCAGAGGACTCGGGAGGAGGATGGGGACGGTTCGGATGATGAATTGATGCTCGGGCCTTGGGGAAGTCGGGACGATGGTCTCGTCAAGAAGATGACTTCTGAACTTCAACCTCAACACGAAGACCAAGCTGAAGCTGAACCGGAAGCGGAACAAGACGAACATCTCGAAGCAGGACCCCTCGACCCTCCCCCTAGAACGAAGCCCAAATCGACCTTTAGTAGTCCTCTTCGACCATCTTCGAGATCGCGTCTTTCAAGAAGTAAGACGATCATTCTTGATCTACCTCCTTTACCGGCCCTTCCGGAAGAGTCGGAGGATGAACTGGATTGTATTTGAGCGAGGTGGAGGAGAGGGGCGACCGACTCCGGAGAGGTGACTGTGTGGTGGGTATCTGTTTCGTTTTCTAGTGCCCGTCCCTTCTTTGGAGAGTTTGCTTTGATGTGCTTCTCTTGTTATGTGTTGTGCTATTTAAGATCTCAAATGACTGTGTCGAGCTCTCGATTCTTGTCCCTGGGATCGGCGGACGGCGCCATGCTTTCAACTCGCTCTGCTCAAGACGTTCCTTCCAAGTTCTCTTCGAACTGGCTAGTCAAGACCCTAAACACACGAAGCAGACCCCATCCCGACGATCCCGACCGTACCCAATCCTCCGTCTATGATGCGAGTTGACACGATTATTCTTGAAGATATCCTTCTATTGATTACGGCCTGTCCAGATGCGCGCATGAGTATTCGAACTCAAACTTGATCTCCAACCCCAAGCACCCCACTAGAGATCTGAAACAGAAAAAAATAATGGCCAAAACGACTCGACTCACCGTAATTCGTGCCCAGCCTAGCAATAGGTGGTTGAATGTCCCCCTCATAAGTCCCCTTGGCGAACCTCTGATTTTGTTCCCAATCCAACGGTGTCTTTGGCGCGTCCTTGAACTCTTCCTTCATCTCCCTCACGAGATCGACGAGATCGTCCAGAGCTTGAGGAGAAATTTGGTGGTGGATCACGACGCGGTTCGATCCGAGGGTGATGTGGCGTTCCTTGGCGCGTTCGGCGAGGTCTTGGATCGTGAACCCGATTGAGGTAGGTTGCAGCCAAAGCATGTCTGTTTTCAGAGTAACGAAAGCGTCAGCTTTTCCACTTTGCCCCTCTGGCCACAGAGACGACCTCCCGAGTATCAGAACTCAACTGGTCTCGACGGGCAACATCAATTGTACGCCCAAATCCGCCAACGGTTGCGCCAACCTCGACGCCATCTCATGCGTCTGCTTCAACTTGGGCAAATGGTTATCCAAGACCCAATCCGCGCACGCGGCCAAACCACCACATTGTCGAATCCCGCCCCCAAAACACTTTCGGAACCACTTGCAACGTTCGATGAATTTTTTCGGGCCGACGAGGACGGAACCTATCGGTGCTCCGAGACCTTTGGACATGCACAACGAGACGGTGTCGAACGGGCGACAGAGTTCTTCGAGCGAGGTGCCCGTCTTGGCGACGACTTCCCACAACCTAGCTCCGTCGCAGTGCATCTGTGAGTCATCTCTTTCTTCGGTCAGCACAACATATCTACGTGGACCGTAGCTCGTCTGAACTCGAAAGGTGACTGACGATGATGCCCTCCTTGCGCATCTTGTCCGAGATTCTGACGATCTCCTCCTGAGGGAAGACCATCCCACTCAACGTGTTTTCCAACGCGACCAACCTCGTAGGTGCCGAATGAATGTCTTCACCAAAGACGGCGTTGTTCAAGACTTCCTCCAAGGTGAGATGGTGACCGTTCGCGGGGGGTACGGCATGGGACGAAGCTTGGGAATGGAAGGCGACACCACCGGCTTCGTAGAGGTGGACGTGGGCTCGGGCGTCGAGGATGATGGAGTGCGGCGGTTGGGTCAGGTGGGATCGGATCGCCAATTGGTTCGTCTGCGTCGATCAGAGTGGGATCAGTTCGGGTTCCACCTCTTCTTTTCTGGCCCTTGCCTCTCCGATCGGGACTGACCATCGTACCCGAAACACAGAACAAGCCCGCTTCCTTGCCCGCCAACTTGGCCACGCGATCCTGAAGATCGTTCGTGGCTTGGTCCTCCTTTCGACAGGAACGGATCGAGGCCTGTCAGCCGTACACCCACCGACGGACGCGCACACCACCCGCACCACCCGAGCTCGCGATCCGTCCTGATTCGGTCTCCGCTGCTGGCGCCACTCACGCCATAGACATCATCACCCCTCGAGGCCTCCTTCATCAGATCAAACATGTCATCGGTCGGGATCGTGATGGTGTCCCTGTTGTGAGAGCAAGGTGATTGGATGCGGTGGTCGTTCCATTGATTGGATTGACGTGAATCCGGGGTTGAGTTTGATTTCGGACGAGTCCGTCGATCGAGTCAAAAAAGGCGCGCGCGTATCGACCCGTTCGTGTGAGGTTCGTGAGGCGCGGACGCGGTAAAACGATTGATCAGCTCAGCCAGCGGGAAGGTAAAGCACACTTCGGAGATGGCCATGAGCCACGAGTCTTGCAGCGAGTATCACATCCTCAGTAAAGGTGGGGGGGGGGGGGGACTTACGTCCTGAAATCCCTCGAGATCTGCTTCAATTTGAGCTCATTGGCTTGCTTGCTCGACACTTGGGTCATGCTGAACGATCGCAACGACGGCGAGCACTGGCAAGACGACGGAGACGAGAGACTGTACGGGGATGTCGAGGGTTTGAAAGCTTGTCGAGTGGTCAAGAATTGACGAAGACTCGTTCGACCCAAAAGTGCGAGCGACGGAATAGTGAATAGCGAGCTGAGAGCTGAGAGCGGTGAGGGAGGTGGAGGGCGTTGAGATGACGAAGAAGGATCGAGCTCGGTCTCGGCTCGGGAAAGTCGTCTTCCTGACTGCCCCGGCTCGGCACGGGTGTCGCGCGATCGGACCGACGGCTGCGCACGGTCGGCGGGTAGGTAGCTCGGGCCTCTTTTCTCATGGTCAAATTGGGGCGATGCCGACTTTGTTAACCCAGCTTGGATTCAAGTGAGGTGATCACGAACTAATTTCGGGGCTCCACATATTCCCGTAGGCTCAAAATCCCGACCGCGCGCTTCGACTCGGCAATTCGCGGCAAGCTGGCAGGGTGGGGGTCTCCTGCTCAACTCGGTGCACGCGTCTAGGGTCTAGGCACCTTGATCTAGGCACCTTGAGAAACATCTTTCATCAAAGCGCGTTCTAAACTGCAGCATAATGCGCCTCCGCTGTGATTTTTACCTTCTACAACAACGTCTCGCCCAAAGCGCAACGCACGAGCGATCGCCCGACCGAGATGGTTTGTTCGACCGAGAGGTCGTCCCCAAGAGAAGGGTTCACTTCCTATTATCGACGAAAAGGTGACGAGGTACGTCAGTTCATGTAGTGAAAAATATGAAAAAAAAGAGTGCTGGGGGTGACGAACCATAAGATCGAGAGAAACGAGGTTGCCCGTCTCGGCGAGAGCTGATGGGAGGCCATGGGCGTGCAAGTCAGTAAACCGAGTGCCACGAATGGTCTCTGGGTCTCTAGTTGCTGGATGGAACGGACCTTCGCAGATGTAATGCCCCTCTCGGAAAGTCAAACCACCGCGAACCTGCATACGCGCAAAAAGAACACCACCGCATCAGCTCCGAGCACTCAAAAATTAGGAGCAAGGTGCAAACTCACCGCCGTTCCGGTCGAAGGCGCAACCTCGGGATCCATCGCGTCGACATCGAACGAAAGGTGCAGAGGTCGGTCCCGGCCGACGTGCTCCAGAGCCATGTCGACGACTTTACCAATGCCGTACTTGTCGACGTGGAACATGGAGAAGCATTTGATGTCTAGACAGAGCGTCACAAAAGCACATCAGCCACACCTCGCTCGAATCACCATGACGTTGACCGAGCTTACTGTTCTCCTTCAAGATCTTGCGTTCACCCGAATCGATATCCCTCAATCCGATATAAACGATTCGACTCGGCTTGAGTACGGGCTTGCACCACCCAAACTCGGGAATCTCTTGGGGCGAAGTACCGGGGAGGCCCATGAGGAAGGAGACGGGGCAACCGTGGAGGTTACCGCTCGGCGTGGTCAAGGGAGTGTTGATATCCTGTAGGGAGGGAAGGTGTTCAGTCGTGATATGCGAAAACGTTCGATGGGCTTTACTGACTTACGGCGTGAGCATCGATCCAGATCAAGGCGGCTTCGGGGTAGGCTCGGAACGTGCCCGAGACGGTACCCATGGCCTGCAGGAGCTCAAGTATCAATGAGCTTATTTTATTCAGACTCGATAATCGTGCATACAAGCCTACCAGAGAATGATCACCACCAAGCGTGACAGTCAGGTGCCCTTTGCTGGCATGGGCGAAAACCCTGTCGGCGAGCTCTTGGGTGACCTGGAAGTAAAGGCTCATCATTGATGAGTTGATCTGACAGTGATCGCATTTTACGGCAGGAGTTTCCACTCCTACCTTGGATACCAATCGGGGCTTTTTGAGGATCCCAATGTCCGGGTCGGGTTGGTCCGACGTCAACGAGGTCGCGAGCGAGTCGGCGCCTTCGAATTCGACATGGTATCCGAGGGTCTGGGCAGGCAAGCGTGTACGATCATTAGCGTCGTACACCGAGCAGAATCTTAATTCAGTCAAGAGCTGACCTTGATGTCATCGAGCAAACCGGCTTCGATCAGTTGACGAGGTCCGGTCTGTGGAAAGGGACCCGGCCAAACGTCCGTTGGGTTCGTTAGCTCATCGACGATCGTGGCTATAGGCAAGCCGGAAGGGGTGTTTGGTGAAGCAAGGCTCACATCGACACCTTCCTTGGGTTGTCCACCACTGTATGATTCGTAGCCCAGCAAGTGGTGTACCCGATCAGCTCCAGCTCCACGCAGTCCAGTCAGAACAGCAGCAGGCCCTGCGCGTGTCAAATCGAACGCCGGAAGAACAAAAGTCAAAAGTGGGGTCGATGTACTGACCTGAACGGGCATCCGACGATCCCCGCCGTCAAAGGCGATTTGAGAAAGTTGTGAGTCGACATGATGCAAGGAAAGAGGATTGAGTGAGCTAAGGAGGGATGGAGAAGGAGGTCAAGGTCAAGCCGAAGCGGGTGAGTGCGAGAGAGCAAGGAGAGAAAGCACATCCGAGCTATGCCGAGGTGTGGTGCAGCCACGTCAGCGACGGGCCTGCGCCTGCCTGCGCTGGCCTGCGAGTGGCCTGTGCGGGCAGCCTGGCACTGCGCTGGCCTGCGCGCCTGCAAGCGGGATCGCCAAGAAACGCCGCGGCGAGTTCGCGCGAGCCCAAGTCACGTGCTCGGCCACACGCGCTTGCAGCGGCTGACGTCCGACCGTAACTTAACGTGGCGTCTTTTGAGTCCCGGAGACACTGATACCGCTAGCTGAAGTGAACCGAAACTAGCGATCGGAAGACTTGCACCCACTCCCACTACCAACAATCACAGTGACTGATCGCGAAAGTTGAGCGGCTGCGCTCGAAAAATTGCTGGGATTTCTTAGTCCACAGACTCATACGTTGTGGGACACGTCCATGATTTGTTCTTCTTTCTCAACCTTCCTGACCGCGTGCTCCCGCAGTCCCGCCCTGAGTCATGCCGTACTCTGGTTTTCCCATGCCGAGTCCCGACCCAGCGAGATGCCTGTTCGAGCTGCCGCTATGACCTCTCCATATTCGTCAGCCAAGCCGCAACGGCGCTCCCGCACTGCAACTCGAGCGTCTCCCCTCTTCCGGATCGGCCTGCACACCATCACCACTGACCTCCCCCTCCCCCCCATCGTTCCTTGCCCATCATGTCAGGAATGGACGTTGACAACACATCCGGTACGTTTGCGCGACCTATATCGTGTTGTCGTGACTCCCACGACCATTGTAACTGACTTGGTCCCCCGCCGCGCCCCCGCTTGCAGACGGCGTCGAACGCAAGGGTCGGGGATTTGCGAGTCGACCGGCTGGTATGTACGAATGTGGCTTGGGGAGGTGTGGTTGAGGAGTCGGGGGATGTAGGACCCACGTGCTCGTGATGATCGAGGCTCCCGTCGTGGTCGTCCTCAACTCGCCTCGAGGACGGTGCACCTCCCCTCACCACGACGACGACTCTGCATCACACCACTGTGTTCCCAACGAACTGATGTCTTGCCCCCCTCTCACTGCCAATAGATACGGACGTGGGTGTCGTGGCAGGGTATGAGACCATCCGCGCGGATCGAAGTTCTGCCGACCGAGCCCAACGATGTACGTCACACACACACTACACCCCAACGTCGAAGTACATCACAAACTAATTACCGTCGTGGTTCTATTACCTTTGTATGACGTCTTACTACCACTCGCGAACTCTCCCTCCCCTCCTGCTTCCCCTCGACGACACACCCCACCCCTCTAAAACCCCCTCCCTCCCTTTCGACCAACCAGCTATCGAAGGATGGATCATCATCGTGCGCAACCTCCACGAAGAAGCGACCGAAGAGGACCTGCAAGACAAGTTCGGCGAATACGGCGAGATCAGGAACCTGCACCTCAACTTGGACCGAAGGACCGGATTCGTAAAAGTACGTCTCTTTGCACCCTAGGACGGGGTGGGGAGAAGGGGGGGACCAGGAACTGATTTTCGATTGATTGGTTCGTTTGGTGGGTAGGGTTACGCGCTGATCGAATACGCAGAGAAGAAGGAAGCGCTCGACGCGATCAAGTCGGCTTCGGGGACCGAGTTGCTCGAGATGGAGTTGAACGTCGATTTCGCGTTCAGTCAACCCCCTGCTAGGTACATCACCCGAAGAGATTGGCTACTTACGAATGTGGGGATGATGAACTGATCGAATGCGTACCGTGATGTTTCGTAGTCAAGCACCTATCAAAGCGGATCAAAGGAGTCGAGGCAGGAGTCAGAGCCCACCGCGTCGAAAGCCGCTCGTCACCAGGATCGACTAGACTTCCCTTTCATATCGGGAAGAATGAGGGGAAGGCTCATGAAGAAAAAATAAATGCTCGATGAGAGGTAGCTGTGCTTGGGATAGATGGAGGAGGAGAAGTGAATGCTCTTGTATACGTAGTGCAGGAGGCGTGAGAGACGAGGAACTCCACACGAACGTGGAGAAAGGGTACTTTGTAATGCATATCACCATTGAGGTTACGTGTATCACGAGTGCCACTTAGTATTTCAGCAAAGACGAGTCGTACGCAGAGGAAGTTCTACGAATACATGTTGTTGTTGTTGTTACCCCCACTTCCTGCGCCTCCTGCACCTGCACCTCCCATCGAGCGACCAAACTGCTCGGCCATTTGACGCATCGTAGGATCCGACATCAGCTGAGAGAGAGAGAGAGAGAGCCGAAGTCGACGAGGGGTCAGTTGGGAGCAGATGAAATTCTGAGATTGAAGCGACTTACTGCGTTGATGTCGGGCATTCCACCGCCTGCTCCTCCGGCACCTTCCATCATACTCCTCATAGCGGGGTTCGACATCAGGCTGCACCGACAGCAGAAAAGAAGACGTCAGCGCGATGGTTCCTCAGATCTACGAGGCTGGTGAAAAACGCACCGCTCAAGACCACCATTCTGCATCATTTGCGAGGCCCTGTGATCGGTAAGCATACGAGAAATGGAGGCCGTTCAGCAACTACGCCGTTGGAAGGCATTTCGTTCAGGACTGATGCGACGCACATGTTCATAATCGCCGGGTTGTTCATCAGCGAAGCCAAGTCGGGCATACCTCCGCCCATACCGGGGAAGCCGGGGATCCCTCCTGCACCTCCACCGGGGGCACCTCGAGTTGCCGCAGCAGACGGGGAAGCCTCCTCCTCATCATCGTCGCCATCGTCAGCTGAGGTCGTCGGGATGCGTGACTTGGCCGTTGCGAGGGACGACTTCATCACCGCGTTCTGTGTAGGGTCAAGATCAGCGACTGTCAATCAACCTGCTTGGGGTTCAATGGCCCTCGAACCGTGGCACATACATTAGGGTCCAATTCGAGGCCTTTCTCATACGCTCCAACCGCATCCTCGTACTCGCCCGAACTGAACAACGCATGCCCCAACCTCGAATAAGCCTTGGAGAAGCTCGCATCGATCTTGATCGCCTGTCGAGCATCCTCGATCGCCGAAGCGTGGTCCTGCAATTGCGAGTACGCTGCGGCCCTGTTGGACCAATAGACGGCGTTGTTGGGGTCGTGGGAGATCGCTTCACCGTAGGCTTTGATCGCTTCGTCGTATTTCTTGGCGGCCATCAATTGATTGCCGGAGGATTTGGCCTTCTCGGCTGCGACCTTGTCAGCGGCCGAGGCGGTTTTCTTTTCGCTTGAGCCCGTCGAAGAGGAAGCTTCGGCGGAAGGGGTCTGGGTTCGTGCCAAAAAAACAAAAAAAAAAGAAAACGTCGCAGTAAGCCCTCCTGATCGTTGAGGCAAGCACGTCCCCCGTGTCCACAAACTGACCGATTTGGCAGCGGTCGCGGCGTGCTTCTCCAATACACTGACGAGCGTCTCGGGTGCGATCGCGTACGCCTTGCTGTCCGAGTCCGAGTCCAAGTCGACACCGAAGGCTTCAGAGATGCATTGGCCTGGTGTAGGACGAATCAAGGGGAGATGTTCACGTGGGGTGGGGTGGCGCAGGGGTCGGGCAATGACGTGTGTGGGAGAGGCCGGGACAATAGCGGGGGGGCAGATTCGACGCAACGAATACAGCCAGAGTGAAAGATGGACAACTGGAGAGAGTCAGCTGAATGTCCTCTTCCACCAAGCTCATGGCCGCGTGTTCGACTCAACTGGCAACTTCGATTCCTTCGGCGTCGTCAGCGCGGATCGAGCCGTCCTGCGTCGACGAGCGCAAGAACTGCAACACCGCGAAAGCGGCCCGTTTGGTCGAGTTTGTAGACATGGTGATCAGAAATCAAAGTGTGGTGGTGTGGGAAGGGTGAAGTTGGGTGTAGAGGGGAGAAGGGAAGCGAGAGCTAGAATCTCTGAGCAAGTTGGCCCAACTCCGACAGTCGGCTTGTGAAATGGATGCCCGAGCAAGGCACGCACCGCTTGGACCTTCTTTGAGCTTCCACCGACACGTTGAATCTTCACCCGAGTCAAATAGCTTAAAAATGTCGGTTACAAGGGGCGATCTAACCGAAAGCAATAGCGAGGCTGCAACATAATGTGCCTACATCGAAAAGAAACGCGTACAAGCGATGTACATGACGCTCACGAACGCCGTGACTCGGAGGTGGGGCAACTACTCGAGTCGCCATCATCGGTCGTCGTGTCGCCCGTCTAAGCCATAGCCATCGCCAAGTCTTTCTGTTGACGTTCCAAATTGCAACGACAACGCGCGTGTCAGAGTCCTCACTCAGTCGGCCTCAATGCAGCAAAGACTTACGAAAAACTTGTCCAAATCGTCCTTGCGCACCTCGATCACGCTCGCTTCGAAAGCGTTATGCCGAGTCGACGCGCCCGAGGCATGCGCAGCGCGTTCAAAAGCCATCCCAAAAGCGCTGTGGGAGACTCGGCAATACTCAGCAAAAATGGTCTTGTCCAGGGTTCTAGCCGAGAGGCACTCACTTCTTCTTCACGTCCCCATACTCGGGTGCGCCGACGATACCCACGACGAGGAACGCGTCACTGGCTTCGTTCAAACTCGCCAATACGAACGGTAAAGGCTTGGGCCTTTTCCCCGTCGCCGTTTTGCTCGCAACCAGGTCCCGGACCGCATCGACGAGCCAGACGGCCAACCGTAACAGCGTCGAGGGGTGACGGAAGACGGCGAGATCGGGGCCTTCTTTGATGACGGCGAAACGGAAAGCGCGTAGGGACTGGATCGATTGCTTCTCGAGGATGTAGCCTCCTTGGTCCATCACGGCTCGGTGCAGAGCCATCGAGAGGGGCAAGGCCGAACGCAGGAGGGTCGTACTGAACCAAGACGAAAAGAAGATGAGCAAGGTGGATCCGGAAAGGAAATCCTCAAAAGATGCTCGCACTCACTCGACGGCCAATGCATCCCAAGCGAGCCAAAAGTTCCTCAACGCCCAATCCTTCTCCATCCTCGCCTTCTTGTCCATCTCACTCTCCTCCTCCTCTTCCTCCGTAGCAGCGCCATCCGGTCTTCGGTTCTCCTTATCGCCTGCCCCCATCCTCCTCACCACTTGCCCGTGTGCCTCGCCCTTGCCAACCCAACTCTTCAACCCTTCACTCCATTCCTCTCTCCCGCCGTTCTCTCGAGCCGCTTCGTGCCCACCGAGGACGATCCCCCTTCTCCCTCCTACAGCATTCCCAAAGTTCAACCTCACCCCCGTAGCAACCTCTAACAAAGCCCCAAGAGCTTCAACCGCATCGGCGGCCGAGATGTCGGTCCGATACCCCGATTTGCGTACGAACGAAGGCACGATCAAGTCGTGTAGGCCGTATTCGGGCGCGAGGTTCTCGATCTTACCAAAGAGCGAGGCTTTGAGGTCGGTCGCCATGTGTTGGTACGTCTCGCTTGATTCGGAGAGTGGGCATCTGCAGCGTGAAGGGGAGCGAAGAGTGAATGAGCGTTCGGTCCGGGGCGAACCGCTTCGCTCTTCGCAAGACCGACTTACCCCATCTTGGCCAACATCCCACTCAAGTTCTTCCTTCCTTTTTCTGTCCACAACTTCATCCGACTCCCCAAATACCCCGAGTGGTACATCGAGTCGTACAAGTTCCAATGGCGAAACAAGCAGAACCTAATCTCCTCACTCGGTCGAATGCTCCGATCGTTCGGGCCCGTACTGGCCAACGCATCCCCCGAATGGGTCGCCAAGGACGCAGCGTTCGTCGAAAGACGCGCAACTTCGTCCGCTAGTAAGGAGACGTAGCCTTCGTAGCGCTCTCGGTCGATCGCGTTGATCGAAAATTGGTGCGCGAGGCCGAGGATGGCGAGCCAAACCGCGTCGGTGTCGGCTCGTTCGAGCAGGACCGCAAGGACGAAAACTTGGCCGGCGACGGACTGCCCGAAAAAGGTACCAGCTGTGTAGTACTTGTCGATACGCGCTCGGAACCGCCTTCGCTGGTTTTTGCTCAGGGCTTGTGGCTGTGGAATCAAACGTCGTTTCAGTCCCATACTGAAACGACGGTGGTGACAGTTTTGCTCACCTCTTGGGATGTCCGCCTGCGCTTGCCGATCCTGTTTCCGTCTTCATCCTCTTCCTGATCCTCATCAGAGTCTGTTCCAGATCGATTCCGTCTTCGGTTTCTGGCGTACTCGTCGTCCGAGTCGTCGTCATCGTCCGAGTCGCTGTCGGATTCGGGTTCGTACTGCGCAAGACAGAAGCAGGTTCATGTCAGCAAACGAGTCTCTCGAATTGAAAGCCGAAGGTCCACAACTGACCAGCAGAGCTTCCCAAGCCTCCTTCTCGCCTTCGCGACTATCATCATTCTCGGCATCACTCCACACGACGATGTTGAATTCGGGCGGGGGCAAATTGCCATCTGACCGAGCTTTCCCCCTGCTTCTCCTCAGGTCGAAGAGGGCGTTCGCGTAGGTCGTCGTGCGAAAGAGGTTGGCCAAGTTGATGGGCCGGTGCGAGTCGATGACGTGCACGAGGCAGGTGTCGGGAAGGAACTCTTCAAAGTAGTCGTACAGGTCGACGAGCGCGCCGAGGTTGAGCAGGACTAGCGATCGGACCTGAAATATGGCCAATGACGGAGACGTTAGCCTTCTACTTTTGCAACACTGTACGAGATGTGATGGTCGATCTTCGAGTAGAAAGTGCCCCCGTGCGATGATGCGCCCACGAGGATCGGTTTGAGGATTCGGCGCGCCGCGACGCGTTGCTTGCGGTACGAGATGCGCCGTGGTGCGCGTCGAGTCGCGCGACAGCGAGCCCCGGGTAGCTGAGCCTGACCAGGGGGGAAACATCCAGGTACGCCGTATAAGATAAAGCAAAGAGAACTGACCGTTTCACCCTGCAATCGTTCCCGAACATCCTCCAGGTCGCTCCAACTTCCGACGGGGATGATGGTGTTGACAACATCGTCCGTCTTGAGCAAATCGCTGAGCAATCGCGCGGCGCACAAGGCATCGACGTCGGGCGAGACGAGCAAAAAGGTCGTGGCTGAGCTCGAACCGCGTGCGCTTGAGACGATCGATCGATAAGCGGTTGGGTAGAGCCTCGACGGGATGTACACTGGAGGGATCGTCAGGGTGAAGCCACGGTGAAAACACGGCGCGTGGGCGGTGGAAGCAGTCGCGTGAGCATTCACATCGCGCCCGAGTGTCGATCGAGAGGATCGTTGCAACTCACTTTTGGGTGCAGCCGCGACACGTGAGTGGCCCGGTCGACGCCACGCTTGTTGACACTGTCGCCGTCGTTAGGGGCGCAGAGGTAGAAGCAGACGAGCTGCCGGACGAGGTGCAAGTCGGCGGCGAGTTGAACATCGAGCCAAGATCGTCGGCCGTGAAGTGCGCGCCGGTCCGGCAGTTTGCACTGTTGACAATTACGAAGCCTATAAGCGTTCTGATGCATCCCTTTGGCGGTATCGCACGATACTCCTACACTAGCCAGTGTGCTTACATGCTCTCCTCGGACTTTTCCACTTTCAGGCCTTAGTACAATTAGACTATGATGGAAAATTCCCAGATAAAAACAATGGCCGGTCCGGTCAGCCTCCGGGCCCGGGCCCCTCATCGAGAGTCGGTGTCAGTCTTGTCGAGTGTGCCTTTCAGTGGTGAGCGACGTGTGTGCAGTGGGAGACATTCCAGCAAGTCAGAGGTTACCGAGCACATGCTGATCAGCTGAAATTGCTGGATAATACCGACCAATAGCGTCTCTGCCACTCGTTCGCAACGCAGCGATGACGACGGTGGCTCCTATTCAAGCTCGTGCGACCGATCACTGTGGACCCGGTGCACACGACCCCACTCGAGACGTCGCCGCAATTTTGGGGGTTCCACCGGAGATCTCGGATCAGATTTTCTCCGAACTACACTTGGATGACGCCGTCTTGCGCCGTAAACAGCTATGGTCCGTCTGGTTGACCTACAACTTCTCGGAGTACTAGCCTAGTACTAAGCACCGCTTTGCCTTGCGCATCTGGGGTGGGGAAGCATGGCTCAATTTCCACTCCGTTCAGACCAGTTCTCCACCAGTGCGTCAATCTTACTGTGCGGTAGAATCCGCTTCAGGTGCTCGTTGGCAAGCAGCTCGAAGGACGTGACAAGGGCTTCGGATTCAGGGGTAGCGCTCGTGACGAAATGTGAAGGACCCGAGACGCCGCACCGTCACTCTACTGCACGGACTCAACACCGGAGGTCAGTTTCCCGTTCCAGGAATTAATGGGGTCATATAAGCTAGGTATGCTACATACCTGGCTATATCTACGCTCTTGAGAGGAGATCAGCAGGTTGGTCCTCATCTGCTGCGGTACGCTGAAGAGTATCGCGGCCTTGAAGACTCGGCTGCCGGTTCCCGTTCTTCGGCTCGTACGAGCTGACCCCATCCTTGTCATTTTCGGTGACCCAGATCGAGGGTATTTGACCTGCTTTTGAAGCGTTGCATCGCCTGTTGGGAGCCTCTAACCCCTTCCCAATCGGTCCCCGAGGAACGTGCTTCCGCAGTACGTTTACACCGAACCGCCGCCAGCAGCGCCAATGTTCCGTTTTCCGAAGTGCGACTGGGTTTCGATCCCCGGCAAATCCCCTTCGGTTCAACTCTAGAAAGCGTTGGAACAAAAAAAAATCCTCCTTGTACTTCAGAATACAACTAACAAAAACAAAGCTCATCCCAACTACAGCCTTTCCACCCTCTACCTCCGATCTAATAAAGCGTTGTCGACATATCCGAGTCAGTATGCAAATAAGTCTTCAACCCCGGGCCCGTCCCATACTCCGCCGTGCCACTCCCTCCCACAACACTACTCCTAATCACATACTTGTAAATGATCAACCCTTCCAACCCAACAGGTCCACGAGCATGCGTCTTCCCCGTCGCCACACCCACCTCCGTCCCGAACCCATACCTGAACCCATCTGCGAACCTGGTCGAAGCATTGACGAAGACTCCGGCCGAATCGATCCCTCGACAGAAAACGGACGAGTTGGGAGAGGATTCGGTGACGATCACGTCGGTGTGGTGGGAGGAATGGCGGTTGATGTGCGTGATCGCTTCGGAGAGGGAATCGACGGTCTTGACGGCGAGAATGAGTTCGAGGAATTCGGTCGAGTAATCTTTTTCTGTCGAAGGGACGAGTTGGGTTTCGCCTGAAGGAAGAGTGGCACAAGTTGCTAAGGAGGAGGATGACAGGGCTTCCAAAGACCGCGGGTCACATCGGAGAACGATGGGCCGTGCGAGAAGGGCGGCCGCGAGTTTGGGCCAAATCGTTGCAAGGAGGGACGAGTGAATGATGAGAGTTTCAGCGGAATTGCAAGCCGCCGTGTACGTTAACTGTAGGTATTTCTTCACTGTCTCAGCGGTCGCCCTGGCACTCAATGTGACGTCAAAGACCCACCTTTGAATCAAGCACGACCTTGACAGCTTTTGCCTCATCCGCAAACTCGTCGACGTAGACAGCGCACAATCCATCCGCATGCCCCATGACGGCTATTTTGGATGTCTCCCGGATATTCTTGACGAGCGCATTGCTCCCTCTCGGGATGACGAGATCGATGTATCGGTCTTGCGCCAAAAGGGAGGCGATTTCGTCGCGAGTCGATACGGTCTGGATGTAGGTCGATGGGATTGAAGTGGTGGCGATTGCTTGTTGAATGATGATGGACATGATCTTTTGTGTGTTGGACGATTCCCGACCTCCTTTGAGGATTGCGGCGTTGCCTAGAGAGAGCGAGTGAATGCGGACAGGCTAAGAGTCGGTATCTGCGCCGAGACTCGACTCTGCACGGACAACTAACCGGACTTGATCGCCAAAGCGGCGATGTTCACAATCACTTCCGGCCTCGCTTCAAAAATGACCAAAAGCACACCAATAGGGCACGTGATCCTCTGCAACTCGAGTCCGTCATCGAGTTTCTTGGCGTAGGTGACCTTGCCCGCCGGGTCGTCCAGTCGATCGACGTCGAGCACGCCTTGGAGCATCGAGTCGTATTTGTCCGACGAGGATTCGAGGTCGAGTCGTTTAAGTAGGGTTGAGGACATTTTGCCTGCTTCGACTTGCTTTCGTGCGAGCTGTTGTATGCGAGAGATCGCACGGAGACGGGAATAACGGGTGGGGGGGGGGGGGGGTTGATCGGTCATCAGGCTTTGGCGCTTCTCCGGGCCCGCTTGGCCTCCCCAAATTGTACAGCCGAGTCACTCACCTCGACGTCCAACCTGTTCGCTTCCAGAATCTCTGCCTTGTGTTCCTTCAACGCCGCTTCGAGTGCGAGCAGAGCATTGTGTCGCTCGGAGGCGGGCAAGAGCTGCGAAGCGTCGAACGCCTCTTTGGCCGTGCGGGCGATCAGTTCGGCCATGAGACTTGCTGAAGGTAGTGGGTGGTTCTGCTGGTGGATCTTTGAGAGTGACTGAGGCAAAGAGGAGAATGGCGTGCGTTGTGCGGGGTAGAGCGTATGGCGTAGAGGCCAAGGAGCAGGTAGACTCGGCGCAAGCTGTCCAACAAGTCTGAGTCAACTCGTTGAGAAACGTGCCGAGGGAATGCTCTTCCTTGCAGCCTAAAGCCAGACTCATTGACCACGCGTGAGTAGCGAGTGAGTAGCGAGGCTCGACAATCTTCGCAGAATGCAATGTTTACCCTCGGGATTTATCTTATCTGATGGGACAGATCTTCTCACATCGACTTCATCGCCGTGCACGCTCTCTCTCTCATCTACAGCGGCGAAGACTTATTCAGACCCACCGACCGATCAACCTCTCTCCATCCAGACCAGCCTCTCTCTCCGCTCCCCATCCGATCCAGTGAATGAAAGAAGCACGCATCATCATTTCAAAGACCCCTAACCCCCACCACTGCCTACACCTAATGATGTTCCTCCTCGGACATGGAAGCGGCATACTCCTCCGCCAACCTGGTTTCCCTCGCCCTCATCCTCAACAGCTGTGCCTTCTTGTCCTCAATCAGGCCTCGTTGTCGTTCCCTTTGAGATGAGACCGGGGTGGTGGGAATGAGTGATGGCTCTCCCAAGGGGAAAGGCGTAGCTGCATTAGGGCTCTAAAGATGCTTACTCGGCGTGGTATAGGTAGTAGCCGAGCCCTGTGAATGCCGCGACGGATAGCGCGTGGCCTCCCAAGTCTATCATATGTCGAGTGGGATTGGAACGAGGAAAGAATCCCATACAGATCCACAGGATGACGAGCGAGCGACGAGCGTCGAGGAACGGTTAGGCGGATCGAATCGAGCACGCGAGCATAGAGGTATCGTGTCAGCATCCAATAACAGTGTCACACAGAGACAAAATTCAACCGGAACGCACTGTCAAAGATGTTGCGCTTCATGATCGCCAACTGGTAACACCTCACGCCGAAACCAACGGCCGCGAACGAACTGATGTATCCCACTGCAATACACAGTCCGCACCCCCCCACCCCCGCGGTCAGCTTTTGACCTCTGTTGGGTCGGACCGTAGTGCATGACTTACACATGGTGTAGAGAATGCGTCCGTATCGGGTGTAGAGATGAGCGAGAGCCAACCTCCAACCTGGACTCCGCGCCAATCAGGTGCGGCTGGCTCACGCGGGTACTCGAGGCCGCCGCGAGTGACTCTCACGGTCCGAGCGCAAGGCCATCCATCTGACAAATCGCGCTTCCCAATCTATTCAAAACTCGTTTCCAGAAAATTCATCTCGTTTCATTTCATCTACATAACAGCTCGATCGCCCATCAAGGTCTTCGACGCTTCCATCACTCCCAGTCGGTCCATTCGAAAGGAGCCGGTGGATCCGCGATCGGACCCGAATGATCCTCCGTAGTGGTCGCCGCACCACCCGCAGCACTAGCACCGGCAGTGTTCGCCGCCCCTGCCCCAGAAGTATCAATCACCTTCATGACTTGCATCTCCAAGAACTCGGCCTCCTTGTCCGGTTCCTGATCCCTGACCAACAAGATACCCCCTCCGCCACCGACCGACGAAACCCCCGATGCAACGCCGGTCGTCTCCGACAAGCTCGCAACGGGTCGAACGGGGACGTAACGCGCCTCTTTGGGGAACGTGACCGTCGAAAGTTGCGGTGGGGTCACACGCGAGAGGTTCTGCAGTCGCGTCGAGGTCGGTTCACGTCGTTTCGGTTTGGTAGTGGATTTGTCGGCTCCTTCACCGGTCGCCGTCGTGCTAGCCTCTTCCTTCGAGGTGGCGGCCTGTTTATCGCCTTCCGAGGTGGTCGCTGGTGCTGTCGTCGTTGCCGAAGGCTTGGCATCGTCCGTCTCCATCGCCTCATCCGCCTGAGCGGACTCCTTAGCCTTGGCCCTCGCCGTCGTCTTGGCCGTCGTCGACAAGACCGCCGTTGCGACCTTCTCGACCGTCTCCTTCGTAGGTGGTTTCGTCGCGGCGACGTAAGCGTACAAAGACGGCTTGGCCTGACTGATGAATTCGCACTTGGGGATCCTCAGATCCTTATCGACGGCGATGATGGCCGTCGGGGTGAAGGCGAGCGAGAGGCAGTGCGCCAAAGGGAACCAATACCACAATTGCGTGAACAGCGACATGCCGACGATCGCAGGCATATGCGACGAACCGGACTTGTTCTGCATCGACAACGTGACATTACGACCACCTGCATCGATGATACCTTGCGCCAAAGCGGCCCCGAGTTTGGCCATAGCGTCCTCGTGTTTGTCCGCGACGATCTTTTCGTAAATCTTGCGCACCGAAGCGACCTTGGGGTTCAGCGTTTCGTTGGCTTGGATCAGGATCATCGCCAATGACATGCATGCACCTTGACGGACGAAATCGACCGGGTCCTTGGTCAACGGTTCGAGCAATTCGATCGCATCGGCGAGACCGGTGCCAGCGCACGAGATGCCCAACGCGAGTGCGGCACCGTATCGAACGTTGGGGTTATAGCTCTCGGACAAGAGCTGAACGATCCTCGGGACTTGGGTCGGGTTGCGGAAAAGCAAGAAGCCCAAACTCGTGACGCCGGCTCGTCGCACATCGTCGTTGACGTCCGACACGGCCACGTGAAGCAACTTGCGGATTGCTCGGTTGTTGCCCGTTCCAGCATACGCCATTGCGATCGTCTGGATACCGCCGTAGCGCAAGATCGGGTCGGCGTCACCGAGCAAGGTCTCGATTAACCCATCGGCCTCTTCTTCTTTGCCGTACATGAGGAACGAGATGCCGACGGCGAGACCGCGGATGATTTTCTCGTGTTGCGTCTCGTGTGCGTACTGCAACATCTCGTCTAGCGCCTTCTCCGAAGCCGTACCGAGCATGACCAACCCCATCGCGTATCCGGACGCCTCGCCGGCGATAGCCGAGTCGTTGAAGAGCACATTCCTCAACTCGTCGTAAATCTCCTCGTTGCCCGAACCCATCGCTGAAACACCCAAACCGAGAGCCGCACCGTGTTGGATCACCTCGTTCTGAGTGCCGGCCTTGAGCGCGTCCTTGAGGTACGTCGTCGTTCCGACGCCGCCGTGGTTGGCGTGGACCAAACCGAGGGCGTACAGACTCCCTCCTTCAGAGTAGAACGACGAGCTGCCCGTTCCAGGGCGCGGGAGGTAAGGTTCGAGGATCGCTTTCCCCTGGGCGAGGTTACCCTTGTGGATGACGCCCAATGCCGCCGTGGCGGAGAATTTGGACCAGTTGGAAGCGCGCTGCAGCCAGTCGAGGTTCTCGCGCAAGAACTGGTCCGAGGTCGTGCCCGCGTTGGCAAAGGCGTTCATAAAGGTAACGGCTGAGTGGTAGACGGATTGTCGGCCATCAAGCACGTCCTATGAGCGTTGTATACCGTCGTCAGCACATCGGCGTTCCCCGCACGCAACTCGTGACTACAGGGCATTGGCTCACCTTGGTACCCTTCAGGATGAGCAAATCGGCATGGTTGTTGCGGTACAGGAACTCGAGATAGAGCTTGATCGTCTCCTCTCCCGTCAGGATCGAAATAACGCGTTCCCGGTGCAAGTCCTTCCCTTCCTTGGGTGCGGCTGCGTCGGTCGATGCGGTCGCGGCCGTCGCCGTCGGTGTTGTCAGGCTGTTTCGAACGGTCTCGAGGAACTCCTGCGTCGCCGTCTCGGCGAGATCGAAAGCGATCTGGTAAGCCGTCAGGATGGCCTCCTCTGAAGGAGCTTTTGTGCTTGTTGATGAGAGACACAAGAGGGAGGAGAGCAAGTCGGAAGCGAGCGAAGGGTCGTTGAGGTATACGAAGCATTGCGTCACGGAAAAGTAGTCGGGCGAAGGAAGCGAGCTGAACAGTCTTAGGAGGAGATTCAAGACCTGTCGTGGACAGGGACGGAGAGAGCTCGGGGATGCGTCAGATGAGACGGGTCTCTCTCTATACGCAGGTCTGATGGCACAGGTACTGACCTGGGTCTTGTACGCTCGACTGGACCCACTGATGACGCCTTCGCGGACGACGATCTGCAGGATCCACTCCAAAAGCTCTGCATTTTTGGTCTGTACAAAGATGCGCTCGATCACGTCGAGTCGATGCGAGGACAAAGCAATACCCAAGGCCTGTGCGATATCTCCCACGGAAGCATTAGCACCTAGCAAGGCGGGTTGAGTACCGAAAGACCACACACCTGCTTGAACTCGCCGTCCCTTTCACATCTCTCAAACATCCTCTCGACGATGGCCTCGAGTCTGGCGTCGACGGGTTTGGAGGTCGAAGTCGAGGTCGATGCAGTGGCCGTGGCCGTGGCAGCGGCGGCGCGTGCATCGACGTAGGCATCGATCGCTTGGGCTGCGAGGAAAGTGATGCGGACGAATTAGCACAATAGCTCGAGCCAGCGAGCAGGTCGTGCTCTTGACGCACCGATGATGGTCTCGATGTATTCAGCCTCGGTCGGTTCCTGGTCATCGACGGCGCCTTCAAGGGTGAACCACTTGCCGGCGCCCAACGCGAACGAGAGCGCCTCGTCGAAATTGCCAAGGTGGTAGTAGACCTTGGAAGCGATCAACGAAGCGAGGGCTTGGGAGGGGAACGTCGGTGTCTCGGAAAGGGATTCACTGTGCAGAAAGCAGACGAGCGCGGTGGAAGGGGATGAGGAGCATCGAGCATCGAGCATCGAGCACGAGGGTGTCGTCAGCGCCGAGTACGGAAGGGGGCAAGAGCGTACTCTTGCGGATGCAGTAGGTGTGATCGAACACGGGGCAGAGAGACTTGCATTTTGACCACATGGTCGGCCACCTCGGCCCAGAAAGTGTGGATCAGGGGGTCGATCTGCTGCAACGCGTAAGCCTGCAAGGTCGCATCCGGCTCGTCGAGTAACGACAGCAGACCCGCTGCAACACCACACAGAGGGATAGATAGTCGTCAGTTGACTGTTAGAGAGGTGTGAGTACGCGCTGCAATACTTACCAGCTGATTGAACCATCGTGAGCTGTCGTGAAAGGCACAAGCAAGCACGCGCAGATGCTCGAGGGTGGTGGGGTGAGCGTGAAGGACAGCGCTTGAGCTGCACTTCAGTCCCTGCAGCGCGCCTTCACGCCCAGTACCACACACGGCTGGCAGTGCACCACGGCAGAGTGCACCTGCCAAGCAACTTGTGGGCGTGGCAGCAGTTACGCCGGTCTCGACGTGTTGTCTTTTGCTGTTGATGTTTTTCAGGAGAACCCCAACGATAAGTAAATATTTAACATGTCAATTGTAGGCTTCCTAGAGTTGATGCACTCGAACTAAGGCGGAGCTCCGAATCGGCGGGCGAGGGTCGAAATGGGGGAATTATTTCGAGCACCTTGAAGCCTCGTAATAAGTAGCTTTTCGCCGAAGGTAAGACCGAATTGGAGCCGCGCTTATCTTCCGATCGGAATTTTGACCTTCAAGTTATACGATCGAGAAGAATGTCATGAGGAGAGTTGGTATGACGCAAGTCGAGGGATGATCAGAAAACAAGCCAAAGGCAACTTTTCCGGAACATCGTGAGAAAACCGCCGGTCACTAAAAGCGTGATCGACTGGCGATTGTCGTCGCTCAGGCTGGCCCGCAGTCGTCGGAGCAGGATCACTCACCCGCGCCTCCGTAGCTCCGTATGCCGAGCCTGCTGGGCGGCCGACTCCACGCGGCAAATGACGACAGCGGCTGCGGAGACGTCGACGCGACGCCGACCCCGGCCCGGGTCCTCGCTTCGTACCCAACGCTTTCCCCTCGGCCATATACTCATCTGTTCCATTCCTCCGACTCTTCCGTAATCATTCTCTCCTTTCATTCGGTATCTGTGCCCTTCGCCCTTCGTTCTAGCCCTCAACACCGAGTCAATTCGACATCGATCATCTCTAATCAGCAAACGCCCTCTGCAGTGACTGACCTCGAATCGCGGGCGGTCGAGTTGGCTCCCCTCCGTGATCCCGCACCCTCCTCCAATCATGGCTGATCCATCCTACAAGTCAGTACGGCCTCTTGGCTCTTTGATCTTCCTCACTTTCTGATCCTTTGTCTCCCGGAATTACCCTGCAGCAGCCCGTTCGAACGGTCCTACGTCGGCTCGTCGTCGGTGGGAACCCCAGCTGCGGTGGCCGCGCATCCCCCGCCGCCAGCGCAACCAATCGAGGCCACTCCCGAGCCGCAGTCACTAGCCTCGACCTCCACGCCGTCGCGGATAGCGCACCGACCACCTCGACTCGTCATACCCGATGCTGATGAGTACCCGCACGGATCCGTCTTCCCACCGCTCGATCAACCCCACTACGCCGCAGCGCACCCTCATCCTGATGGACTCGCCGAATTAGGCGCAGCACCCGAACAGCACGCGACCACAGCCTCGACGACGACGACGACGACGGGCGGTGCAGGTGCCTCTTCAGGCCACCTCGGTGGCTCGGCGGCCTCCAAGAAAGTCAATTGGCCTGCAGAACTCTCGCACCACGTCTCGATCAAGATGGCCTCGCCCAAGACGCTGCAGGATCAAGGCGCGAGGGACGAGCTGACCCGCGCCTTGGAGGAACATTATCGCAAATTCGGTGCCGGGTCCGAGATGGACGAAGATGGGCCCGACCGAGACCGACCGATTCGATTCATCGGTCCCTCAGGTTCCGAAGTCCCTTCGCGCGCCAACTCGTCCGACGGCGATCCCGAAGAAAGGATGGAGGAGTTGAGGCAACAGATGGAGGTCTTTGTCGATCCTGGTGAGACGGATGGATTGCCGACCATGGCAGGGGGTAAATCGAGCGAAGCTAGAAATGCCAAAGCAGCTTGGGGCTTGGTCAGGAGCTACACCAACGGTGGTTCGGTGTTCCGTCAGAGGAAGAAGACTGGCTTCAAGAGTGGCCATGGAGCCAAGGCCGAGGACTCCGATCCTCGCGTCGTCAAGGCCGCTTCCCAAGATCCCGAAAAGGTCATGAGTGCCGACTCGAACGACGGCCAGCCCAAGTCTCCCTCTTCACCAGGAGGCGGAATCGGTGGATTCGTATCGCGGATGTTGGCGAATCATCATGACCCAGCAGACGAGGTGCCTATCGCCGCGGGTGCACCCAGTATAAACAATGGGGGAGGTGGCATCCTCTCAGCGCTCATTGCTTTGCAGCAGCAGCAAGCTGGGACAGGGATCGACTCGATCCCGCCTTCGGGAGCGACAACACCAACCTCGGAACTTCCTTCGCGTGGATCGGTCTATTCCTCCGAAGACGAAGACGAGGAAATGGAACGCATCAAGTTCACGCTCAAGCAACGTGAGAAACGAGCGAACCGGTCCATGATGCACGGCGCCTCAACCGCCATCTCGAATGCGGGCAAGTCGGCCGGTCACGCGCTCGGCTTTGGTCACCATCACGCAACGGGCCAGCGCGGACATCGACCCTCCTCGTCGGGCGAGCAGACCCCTGGTCGTACGGGCACTCATGGCGCGACCAAGCTGTTTGCCCCTCCCAACTCGGGCCACACCTCCGCCCCGGGGAGCCCTGGATTCGGGTCGTTCCCGAAGCGGCGATCCGGTGCTTTCACCGACAGTGTCCACAACATGCTGGGCAAGGTCGGCGCGAACTTTGAAGACTCTTCCTCTCGACCCGAAGCCGCGAGGAGTGGTGCCGGTGTCTTTGGTGGGCTCATGTTGTCTACGGCAAACATCGCAGGGGCCGCCTCACCTGCCGCGACGTCACTCGCGCCGAATGCGACACGGCCTGGATATAGCTTGTCGCGCTACTCGGCGCCTTCGGTTCCTACCATCAAATCTGGAAAGATGGAAAGTTCGGTCGATACCTCGCCCGAGAACACGACGAGCACGTCCACGCTCAACAACTCGCCCACAGCTTCGCCGCCGCCGGGTGAGGCGCGCCAGACCAAGCAAACCCCGCCGAATATCAAGGTCCCCAAGCACAAGCCAACCTTCTCTCTGGCTGACCTGACTGTGAGTGACTTCGAATGAATCACTGTTACCTTGTGTCAAGCCACTAACTTGCTTTTCATTCGTTTGTCTATCCGAGCAGCCGCATAAGATATCCTTCTTCCCAGGAGCATCGCGTCCAAACTCGCGGCCGGGGTCGCTCCACGAGTCACCGACGTATGAGTCGTCCGAGTACTTCCCGCACACCAAAGAGACGCAAGAAGACCGTGAGCGCCGCGAATGGGAGAAAGAGAAGCGCCGTCGTCGCAAGTTGAGGGAGAAGCGTAAGCAACAGGAGGTCTTTATCACGCAGCACGTTGCCGCGATCCTGGAGCGACAGCAGTTCATCCTCAAGCTCGCTCGTGCGTTCATGATGTTTGGTGCGCCTTCGCATCGCCTCGAGGCGCAGTTACAGGCGACAGCGCGGGTGCTCGAGATCAATTGCCAAGTCATCTACATCCCAGCCGTCATGCTCGTGTCCTTTGGCGATTCAGCGACCCACACCTCCGAAGTGAGGTTCGTGCGGCAGTCCTCGGGTCTCGACCTCGGCAAACTCAAGACGGCGTACATGATCTACTATGACACAATCTACGACAAAATCTCGGTCACGGACGCGTCGAAGCAACTCGACGACCTCATGCTCGCCGGACCGCAGTACAAGCTCTGGCAGAACATGCTCATCGGCGGTCTGGCCTCAGCGTTCATCCAGCCGTCGGCGTTCTACGGGTCTTTCATCGACTGCCTCATTTCGATTCCTCTTGGCGCTCTTCTCGTCCTCGTGCAAGTCCTCGTCTCCCGCAACGACCTGTATTCGTCCCTATTCGAGATCGTTATCGCTTGCATCAACGCCTTCCTCGCCGCCGCTCTGGCGTCCACAAACCAGTTCTGCTTCGCCGCGGTGGCTTCGGGATCGGTCGTACTCATTCTGCCAGGTTACATCGTCTTGTGTGGCTCGCTTGAGCTGGCCAATCGTTCTATTATCTCCGGAAGTGTTCGTTTAGTTTGTGCGTGCCGCACAGTCTTTCGGCCCAATCCAATCGAGGTAATTCGAAACTGACCCTCTGTCTGTACCCATCAGATTCGATTCTTTATTCGCTCTTCTTGGGCTTCGGGCTCTCTATGGGGTCAGAGGTATACCAGCGCATCACCAAGCTCTCTATCGCGGGAGCCACAGATTACCAGTGCACTGCCCTACGTCGGAACGCTCCCTGGTGGCGCGCGACTATCTCGCCTTATTGGTTCTTCTTCACGATCCCTTGCTTCCTCCTCTTGCTCGCCCTTCGCAACGGTCAACCTCTGTTCCGCAAGGAAAGCTTCATCATGGTCCTCTTCGGCTCGACCGGTTTCGTCGCCAACTATTTTTCCGGGAAAGCCTTCACGGGTCGTAGCGACGTTGTCAGTGCGATCGGATCCTTCGCCGTTGGCTTCCTCGGTAACTTGTACGGCAAGGTATCCCGCGGATCCCCTTTCGTTGTCATGGTCCCCGGGATCCTCTTGCAACTTCCTTCAGGTCTATCAAACGGAGGTCTTCTCGAATTCGCGGCAGACTCGACTTCGAACAATACGTTCACGTCTTCGACATCTTACGCTTCCGGTTTCAGCGTCGCGAGCTCCCTTATTGAAGTCGCGATCGGGTTGACAGTCGGTTTGTTCTTGTCTGCGGCGGTCGTTCTTGGGAAAGGATCTAGGAGGGGTAGGAGCTTGCATACGTTCTAGAATCGTTTTCTTTTCTGCATTTGGTCTAGATTTATCCCTTAGAGTTATTTCGTTCCGCATTCCTTCTTTATTAAACGACAACCCACCCTAGAACTTGTAGTACCACCCCACAGACACTTGCATCATTCTCTCAGCGAAGTGGGAACGGTCTCCAATGGTGTGATGACCGAATGCGGGTATGATAAGGGCTACACAGTGCTCTACACGATCTATGGCTACAATGAGGCGTGATTAACCTCAAGTCGTTACCTCCCAACCCAACACCCCTTCCCAACCCAAACCACACTCAAGCGTACGTTCTTCCAACCTTTTCGAAGGCTCGCTTGAGCTCGTACATCATGATATCACTCCAAAGATAAGACCCCGGAATAGGGTTGGGGTGCAAGAAATCCTTGAATTGATCGTCCTGACCACGCAACAAAGGCCCAATCTCATCGATGCGCAGTCGGTCATCGAAGCCAAAATCGATGGCCGCCTCCTCAGCTTCCTCATCGTTGTCCTGACGCTTTTGCTTCTGCTTCCATGTTTGTTGAAGATGATTCTTCATTGATCGGAACATGGTGGGATGGGAAACGACTGACTCGACTCGCAAATCATGGACCAACTTGCTCGTCAATTGATCCAAGGCGAAGGCACGAGTGTAAGGCGTGTAGTTATTGCGTTTGGGGTGGTGGAGCGAACGCAGCATGATTGGGGGACCTTCGCGCACAGCATGGGGGCCTTGGAAGATTTGCGCAACGTGTTCAAGCGCGTGACGCATGTTGGTTGACCACTGTTCTTCGCGATCTTTACCGATCGAACCGAAGGGGATGCTCGAGTCTTGTGGATAAGGTCGAGAGATCCCAGCAGCGATGAAATCCAACTCGGTCATGGCTCGCAAGTCCCAAAACCCGGCTGAAAGTTCAATCAAGGAAGGTTCCATGACCGAAGGTCGGTTCAATCCTTTGGCGACGTTCTTGAGAAGCGGGACCATGTTGTGGTCGAAGCGCTCCATGTAGGTCGAAGGGCTGTGGAAAAAGTCTTCGCCGGCGTAGATGGCTTCCATGTCTTGCAGAACGCCCTGTCGAGCATCCCATGACTTTGAGTATAAGTTCTCTAGCTCTGAAGGTCAAGCACTATGCATCCTCTGCACTCACCCAGGTGAAGACGTTGATGACGGTTGCATTGTACTCCTGGAGATCGCAAACCCACGGCCGAGTCTGGAACCAGTTATGACCCCTTCGCGATCCCCATTGGTCCTCGGACTGCGCACGCGCCGCCTTGGCATCGATAGAATCCCGTGTCTCTTTTCCATCGTCACCCAAGATGGTCGGAATTTCTTTGCGCACGATTGGAGGTGACCAAGGGTGGTCGGGATCGACGTTAATTTTGTTTCCCCCCACGAATTCGCACCAGACATTGTTATGCAGTCGATCCATCGAGTCACCTGCACAAAGTCCAATCAAACAGTTCAGTCTCACCGATTGCTTTATGTGCAAGCAAGGACCATGCTCACCATGCAAGATGACTGTGGCGTTGATGAGCCAAGGGAAAGGCTCCTCGATCACAGGCTTCTTCTGCCACGAGTTTTGCCGGCTGCGTCTGATGGCGAGATGGTCCAACAAATCCTTCATCAAAGTAGAGGGTTCACAGTCTTCGTCGAAATTGCCAGATGCCGACTTACATCTTTTTGAACGTCGACGTGCAAAGCTACCGAGCTCTTTGAAAGGATTGCATTTTCACCCCTCGGGGCTTTCGTGAGACTCAAAGTCGACGGCGAGCTTGCCCCGGATGTTGCGCTGCGCGTCGAGCGCCGCTGCACTGATGCCCGCCGAGCCCGCCGAGACCGAACCGCCGCCCGATCGAAGCATGAGCCCAAAGAGGACCACGACAGCAAAAACGTGTCCAATGAGCAGAGGCGATCGTAATGATCTCGGCGTTGTGACGGGAATTCTGATCTGGTTCAAAGATGTGGAGATAGATTTTGCTCGGTCACCACGGCGATAGTTTGGAGATGTCGAGGCCGAGGAGAGGAAGCCCAAGGGTGAGGCAAAGCTCCCGGTATTCGAAGGCGTCGAGCTCGCTGAAACAGATAGAAAAGGCTTGACCTGGGCGATGAGTGCCGCTCTTGATGTATCTTTATGGCGATCATGAACGACATCGATCGTGTCCGACTCGTCGGACGATCCATAGTCGATTCCGTCGGAGGTGGACGAGCGAGGCGAGCTGGGAGCCCCTGTTGCTCGGTTTGACGGGCTACGAAGAAGTGCTTGTGAGGTAGCTACGGACTTTGTCCCAGCTTCGGAGGAATGTCAGCGAGAAGGAGTCTGGAAATGCTGACTGACCGCCCTTTTCAGTCTCTTTCTAGGCAAAATCGATGGGGAAGTTCTTGGCCACCTTTGGTCAATCGGCTTTGCAGCGCGCCGATCATGAGCCCCTTTAGCCAGCGCCGGCAGAAATTTTCGCGAGTTCTCCTCTACAGGAGAAAGTGGACCATATACATACATTTCCCATAGGACATATTCTAAGCATTGACTGAAATATGTACACTCATCCTCGCACTCCTCTTCAGTAAATGTCGACTGAGGACTCAGGCCTGCGGCTAGCAACCGCCGGCCAACGATTGCGGATCAGTGCGCCATGCTGTATCTGCAGTGATACGGTTTTTCTTCGTCTTCAGCCGCTGGTCAGTATGTCTAACCCCGTGCGAAGGATCCAAGTAGGTACCTCATTGTGTAAAAGGTAAATATGGGCTTTCTGCTCTTACTTGCAAGGTACAGAAAGAAGGGAAGTTGGATGAAAACCTCCGGCATCAGGAAGGCTTGCTCCGATCCACACGTTTTGTCCGGAGAGCTCGAGGCACAGACGGACGATGTGGTGCCTCGAGGGTTTCTCGCGACCATGAACTTCCCGGTACACTTGAATCAGTTGAAGCTCTTAGTCTTTGATCGGCCCATTTCATCATGTCGGCAGCATAGATAGCGATGCGCCGCGGTTCCGTCCGCGAAGTTTTCGGAAGCGACGCATTCAGCTCCGAGTCCAAATCTCGCTAGCTAACGTCGTTCACATCTCCTACTTCCGCCTTGAATCACGACTGAATCGTAGGCCCAACGTGCCCGTATGAAGCTTCGTCATTTGAACACGGACATTTGGTCTCAGTTTGGTCGAAGATCTCTGCCCCACCGTCGTGGTGCTCGTCGGCCAGCAAATTCCGCTCGGCACTTTGCAGCAATGGCCTCGTACTGGTATCCGCGAGGCTTTGACCCAGGGTACAGCGGAGGGGCGTATCGTAGAAATCCAGTAGCGTATTTGAATGATCCGTCCCAGAAAGGATGGTTAAGCAAGAGCCCGACTATTCAGTGGCAATGTGATGGCTGAATAAATCGGGCCGCTGGACAGTTCTGCGCAACGGGTCACGTGACCCAACAGCCGCCTGTAATACGCTCGAGCTCGACAAATAGAGCTTGGTGCCATCTAGTACTTAGCACGGTGAATGAAGGCACTCTACTGATCTGCAGTGCACCGGCTCGACATCTCATCCAACGAGCTCGAGTTGCCACTGCTGCTCCGTCAATGAGTCATAAAGAGGGGAAGCAGACTCGGAGGTGCCACTTCAATTGAAGTGTGCGCGCGAAGAGAGAACGGGGCCAAGCTGGGCCCAGATCGGCAGGTCAGTTAACCCAGCCAAATGAGCTCCCCCGCGCGGGCGAGTTAAGGCAGCTTTTCTGTTTTTTGGCCCGGTTGGAGGTTGGTACAGGTTGGGTGCACCAATGCCCTCCCCACCCCGTCCCACCCCGCCTCAGTGCACCCCAAATGGTCATAAGTAATAAAAGGCTACTAGTTCGTGTAAGACTCACCATCATCACGAATAACACTTTCCGAAGACTTGTAAGTTCGAATTATGTCATAAATGTCATACAGCTTGTCGTACTCAGTCCATTCAATTCGTGTAGTTCCATATACCATCAACTGATATGTGTACGACAGATTCTGTGTAGACCTTTTCGGCCTGTTTTCTTATATTCGTTAATTTGGATACGACCGAGGGAGTACACACCGTGTCTACTATTGGGCCCGAGGGAGGGATCGGTCCTGGTCCCTCAGCTGGAATCCTGGATCGGTCCTCGGGCAGACAAACGCTTATTCTGAACGGTGTGCACTGTGTATAGAAAATGGATATCTAGTGAAGCCCCTTCGGACGGACGACTTGGATCCAGCGGCAATCAGTCCTGCATCAATTCCCAGAGAGTAATTGAACGGGCAAAATTGAGGCGGGGCTGTGCCTGGCTGTGCGGCCGCACGCGGAGCTCAGATTGGCGAGCGCTCTGCGTGAACACGTTGACCTCTGCACACTCACGTCAACGCGACAACGCGCACCCTTGACCCACGCCACGCCCCGCATCTCAATACGTTGAAACCTCCCTGCGCCTGTTGAACGAACATCGATGCTATTGCCGAATGGAGGTATGTGGACGCGTTTTCCCGCCTCACATCCCCCTTCATGGGCCTAATTGTGTTGCTCCACCATGACGCGACCGTCAGACATACGCGTGGGATCTAGGGAAGGTTCTCCAGCAGAGTCCATTTCCTTTGGCGCTCATCCGAGTGAGTGCTCTTGTCTGGTGTGCCAACTAAGATCCCTTGTAGCAGGGCTGAGAGCAGAGTGCCGGTCATCGACCTCATCCTTCTATCTACTCAATCCTGCCGGACAGCTGAAGAATTCTCTGTTCTCTCACACCTCTTGCAGGTCGGAGGGACGATCAAAGCGGTCGAGCATCCTCACAAGCCAGCACAACTCTGGATGAACCGTCTCCACGCCCGACTCGGAAGAGAAAGCGGCGCATGCCCGTGCCCCAAACCCCTTCGTCCGACTCCGACTCTGACGAGCCCAATTGGGGCGATTCCAGTCACTCCTCGGCTGACGACAGCGACAGTTACAGTGAGAGTGAGAGCGAGTTTGAAGATGTCGCGATCGACCATCGAAGAGCTATCAGGCTCTGGACGGCCATACATGGCTCGCATCGGAACGCGACCGGTCGTATGAGTCAAAGAAAGTGGACCTCGCTGAAGCACTGGGCCGCTCGAAGATATTACTCGGAGCTCAAGATGGCCGCGAAACTCGGCATATCCCATGCAAGGCTCGTTCAGGCCGTCAAAAAGTTCAACAGCCTCGCTTCGAAGGGCAATGCGTGGTCTAGATTTCTCTCGGACCCTGTAGTCAAGGTTTTACACCAGCGAGCAAGCAAGGGTGAGTCGGTCCTCCGGGCGCTTCCGGTCATGCCCACTCCACTCTCCTACGCTCTCGCTTATGCTTACCGCTGCGTCCGCAATATCTGTTCTTACATACCCTGGGTGTGTCAAACGTGTTCAGAATCGGATCATTCGAAATCGCAATCCATCACCAAACTTGCCGCTCAACTCTGGAACTTCCTGAGAGACCAGGGGGACCTCGGATCTGCCCAACTTGGCGAGGACGATGAAGAGCTTGTTCGCGCGGCTTTTGCAGCGGCAGAGGCAGGAAATAATACGACTTTCACTTCGATAGTACCACCCACCATCATCACACGGTCGCCATCCGACATTCCTTCCCCAACTCGGATGGAGCAATGCAAAAAGTACATTGCAGAATTGCGAGACCTGGCGCAACGCATGTCCAAGCTGTACGGAGTGGAAACCCTGGCCTTCATTGTCCCTCGTTATCAAGACGACGTATCGCCAGCGACGAAGGCAACCGTGCATTCGATAGGTGGGCTCAGATTTGCAGCTCACTGCAACGACTTCAAGGATCCATCCGGCAATTCCTTGTTGTCTAATTTTGCTTCCAAGATGAGCTGGGATGAGACACTCAAGGCCAATGAAGCGACAGATCTGAAAGAGGGTGAGCTTTTCATCGCAGATTATGCGCGCATGAGACCACGTTACCGTTACCAATTATGTGACATATGTTTTCGTCTCATCTATCAGCAAACACTCGCTCGATGGACAGTGCTACTCGCGGCGTTCTTGGCAAATGGCACGGCATTCTGTTCCGCGCCCAACTCAGTAAGTAGTCTGCATCTGATCGGGCTCGACTCCGTGCTAATCATTTCCGCCTTTACAGACTCTGCTCTCGAGACTATACATCGCCGTTCCGACACGGGATCATCGACAGGCGATTTCACACCTCAGAAGAAGATGATATGGTCTACCCAGGGCTTAAAGGCACTGGGTGTCAAATTGCGGATCAAGCCCGGAACGAAGAGTAGATACGAAATGGCTCTGCATCATAGTGCAGAGACATCGCCCAAGCAAACCGTTGCTCAGCTCAAGGCTATCATTGACGACCTCCGTCACGGCCACCTCGCTATCGTACCCTCGGTGGACCCGAACGACAATACGGAGGCAGAGGCAAGCGACGATGACTCGAATGGCGGAGAAGGACCCCTGAGCCCAAGATTTGGTGGAGCCGGGGACGAAGGCGGAGAGGTACGCGGCGGAGAAAAAAAGCGGAGAAGAAGATAGAGAAAGAAATACCGAGGGGGTGGCGGAGGAGACCGGAGGATGAATGAAGCAAAACATCGTCGATGGATTGAGACTGTTCTTATGTCTTTCTTTGGGCATATTATGCTCTGAGTCGGTCTGCAAGATGACCGATATTTGTTATGTCTCTGTGGTTTGTGGCGCGTCTTTCAGTGTAGATCCTTCAGTTTAGTTTCAGATGATTGTCATACACGCATACAGCGTCTCAGCTGCCATCTTGACTGCCATCTTGATTGTGGCGATTAATCTTAACAGGATTGTAAATTAACATGATCAAAATGCTCATTCTGTCAGGCTCTGCCAAGATCACTGGGCATACTCGACCCCCCCCCCCCCCCGGCCCCCCGGGACTGTTTCTTACGTCACGGCCCGGGGGCCCCTGTGTGCTCCGGGCGCCGGAACCTGACCAAGTCAGCGGCCGGCATCCCGTTCATCTACGGCCCCCCTTCCAGAGATTAGGCTGGAGTCTTCCTTCGCAACCAATGGTCCCGCACCTTTGTCCTACAAGGACTCGGGGCGCACCGCATAGGCCGCAGCACAACGGTGTGGCGCTCGCATCCAGGTAAGGCGACATCTCTGCGCATCTATTTACCCTTGGGTCAACGAAATTAGAATGGCTCTCGGGCCAACGCATCTCCTCTTTCTTCTTCTTCTTCTTCTGAACTTGTGATATACAACCAAATGGCCATACACCTTTTCCAACTTCGACCTCATCGCCGTTTCTTGCGCCTCCCGTTTCAAACACACTTGGGATCCAATCCCTCCTAATCATTCCTCATATCCATGCTTCGTCCGAAGGCGCCGTACTATTGACCGTGTCTCGTTGCATAAGTCTGTTTGACCTTTTGGCCTACCATTGTCTTGTTCCCTTAGATACAATCTGACTTCACCTTCTGGTCGGACCGGTTGCCACTGCATAACTCTCAACTGCCTGCGCGCCGCAAAACCGGACGGTGGATAACTGTGAGGTCATTCGTTGGGACTGCAATACAGGGGTCAGAC